TGTATTAATTGGGAGCTTTTAATTGACTAACTCAATCATATATTAATTTAAATAAACTCAAAAATTTTATGTATTAAAATTTAAGATAAATGATGAAGGGAATAATTGAGAGAGGATTTTTAACGTGTTTTGAGTAAAATTGAAATTTTTGTTTGGATAATAATTAAGGCTTAACCCTCATTTAGATTTTTAGGTGATTTCATTTGAGAATCCTTAGGTTAGAATAATTCACCGAAAAGGACACGCTACAAGGAATAATTTAGGTATTTTCTTGTGAATGTCCCTTTTTGTCTTTAAATTTATTCAAAAATTTTGCTCACATTTTTATTCGTTTATTTAATTTTTTGTCTCATTTATCTTTTAAATTTTGTCCATATATTAATTTAATTGTGACATAAAAGTTAATTTTTTACAAAGACTTTTTGATCTTATCTAATGTTGCCCTCTCTAAAAATACCGCATGTTTTGAGTCTGACTTATAAATACGTAATGTTTGTAAATAATATTCGATAAATATTTTAAGTGTTTACATAAATATGTATAGTAGGTATATTTTTTCTATTTACAATTTGTTCATTTTTGATCAAAAAAATATCAAAGATAAATTTAAGGCATTTCTTGTCTGAAAAGAAAGTCTGCAACTTTTTTTGCAAGTTACTTCAAATGCAGACAGTGTTTGTTCATCTGAATTTTTTGATTATGGGATTTTGAGTATTTCTTTATAAAAATATTTTAAATTTTTATCGTGATTGGAAAAAATGTTTTCGGGCACTGGAAATTAAAAACAAAAAAAGATAAGGAAAGGAATGTGATTTATTAACTATACTAAAACGATATAATTGTTTACAAGTTTTTTGTCTTAAAAAAGTGAATATTTTTTGAAGCGAAAATTTTTTAATGTTGATTTAGAGAAAAATAAACAAAAGACTTTAAAAATAAAAGAGAATAAAATTCTCTAACAAAGCCGCGTAAGTATTCTCTTACTTAGCACTTTTTCGCAAAGAAAGTTGTTTTTCTCTAATTTTCGCTGAAAATTTAACTGTAAACAAAAACAACCAGCCGTCCGCCATTTAATCGCAGGGATTACCAGCTGCGTGCCATATAATCACACACTTTTAATTTGTTGTAAATTAATCGCAAGCCATTTTGTATTAACTTTTGCAACTATCAAACTTTAATGGAACACTTATTTAAATAAGCACAGTTGAGTACACCCAAACACTGAGGTTTATGGGATAATGAGGAATATATAAATATTAGAAAATTTTAGGGGAAGAAAAAGGTGTTTATCTGGCGACCTGAGCGGTATATTGAGGGTTTGGCGGTATCAAGAGGGCTTTCGGGATTTGCAAGGCTTTCGTAGGATATTGTTGGTTTAGAGGTTTAGAAGATATCTAATTTATACGAAAATTAAAGAGCTAACTGCCGAGATACGGCTTTAATAAAACGATGTTAGATCATTAAATAATTTTGAATTTGGACAATCCGAAACTTGCGTACCGACTTTTGCGGACCGAAACATGCAGACCCGACGAATTTCTCAAAACATAGCTCATTCGAAAGAGCTCGACGAGCTGAGTCGGATGACATCAAAATCATCGTGATTGTACAAGCCTGGACAAAGTTTCAATAGTAAAACAAAAACCTAAAACTATGGTACGCAGAAGTCGGTCCGCAAGTTTCGCACTACAGTGCTTAAGCTGAGAGCATTATATCCGAGGACTATTGATTAATACTCAGGAATTAATGGAGATTTGGAGTGACTAATGGTGGATTTGAAGGAAATAAACGTTTCCCTGGGAATAAGAGTGGATTTTGAGGTGTTAAGGGTGGTTTAAAAGGATGTAAGTAATTTTGAGGGTAAAGTATGGAGATTATGGATTTGAAGGAAATAATGGAGATATCAAGAGATTTGTAAGGTTCCTTCTTTAATCAACATAATATTTTACTTTAAGCAGTCGCACTCTAAAATTTTAGGAGATCAAGCAGCAGATTTCGTACTTTAATGCGTCGCAGGTGAAAATTTTGAGAATTTTGGAAGCAAAAAGCTCGCTTTGTTCATTTTGAGCGCCGCATGCGAAAACATTGGGAATTTTTAATCTTTAATGTTTAATCAACCAATATAGCGCAAAAATATATTAGAGATCGGACCAAACAAATATTTGGTCAAATAAAACCAAATATTTGATCAAATTTTATTTGGTCAAATATTTGTTTGATTAAGGTTTAAAAAAGCAAATATTTGATCAAATATCAAATAATTTTAAAAATTATTTGTTTTTCGTTTTTAGCATTTAACGTTGGCATATTTTCTTTATAAAGCGATATGATAACCGAGATTTTTGCCACAGGACAAATTATTTAACGTATTAGAACAAATTATTTATCTAATATTTATAGTATTAGAGGTAAATAGTTTTAGATGATTTGGGAGAATTAAGTGGAATATAGATGGATTTGGGGATCAAAATGTATATTGGATTTGGCATGATTAAGAGGATATCAGAACATTTGGATGATATTAGAGAACAAGAGAAATAACGGGTAATTTAGATAGATATTTTGGATTTGGAGAAATTTTGGATTTGGGACGGATATAAACGGATTTGGAGAATGTAGGTGGATTAAGATTATAGGTGGATTAAAATTCCTAATATTCCCGATATACTCTCAAAAACACCGATTTATATGGTATTCTAAAATTAAAAAAATTAGATATTTGACCAAATATTCGACTTACAAATATGAATTAATCTTCAAATTATTTGTTCAGATATTTGATTTTGTAAATCATCCGAGCTCTAAAATATATGTATATTCCTTCAAAACTACCGAAATGCTTCCAAATCCATTGAAATCCATTCAAAACCCCAAGATCCCATTTAATCCCCCAATTTTCCTCCGAATCAATTTATACCCATCCATGCCGCCATATATCCACTTTAAACCACTGATATCCCTAAAATCCCCATATATCCCTCTTAATTCCCATTTGACTCTCTCAAGACCCGATATCACTTTTAATCTCCAAAATCCAATCAGGATAAAATCCACAAACTTCAAACAAACCAAAATCCAAAATTAAAGTTATATTTTAAAAATATCTTGAAAAAAACGAGAGTTAGTACTGAGAAAAGATCTTAATTTAAAGACGCTTCACAAAAAACTGATCAAATAACCCTTTAGCACCGGAGGAAAAATTTGTGAAAAATATAGTGTAAAATAGTTTTTCACTATTTTCTAACCAAAAAAATGAATTTTTGGGCAAATGAAATAATTTGGAAATTATTTGATAAAATTACTATTTGATCTGCTATTTGGCTTATTTTCGGCCTAATCTGACAATTAGTTCATCAAATAAAATCAAAAAAATTGAGCCAATATTTGATTTTCCGGCGTCAAATATTTGTTTGGTCCGATCTCTAGCGGCATTGTGTGATCTCCAGCGGCCAAAGGAATTCATGTGCTCTATGGATTGTATGTAGGATCTAGATTGCTTAGGTGAGATATTGGCAGATTTGAAAGGATAAATTTCAATAACCGTAGATTTCAAGAACAGAGAAACAAGACAAAACATTTTAATTTGCAAAAATACTTTTAATAGCTATAGGTTTTCCTTCTGATTTGCAAACTCACATTTTGTTGCCCGTATTCCTAAAACTGCAATTTTTCAAATACTTAAAAACGAAAAAATAGGCTAAAATTAGTGCCAAAACGCTTTGCAATTTCAAAAAGAAATTAAAACTGGACGGGCTATCATTGGAAGTTTTTGACAAACGCTACTGCGATAATACTTAATCCCTCCAAATTCCCCTAACACAATCAAAATCCCTGATTTACCACAAATATTAAATTTGGTTCGAACAAGTGCGAAATCATTTAGGGGCATATGCATTTAGATATATGTGTAAGTTTTCCATTTCCCTTTTCCTCAAATCTTATGTTTAGATATGCGCATGCTTCTTTATTTTGTGTGATTTCGTTTCATTTCCTTATGATAACTGATTTATTGTCGTAACGACAATTTTAAAGCCAAATCAAGTAAAAAACTTTTTTTCATTGTTGTTAATAATTTAAAACTTTTCAAAAACCGTTGAAATTTTTTAATTCAAAATACCTTATTTTCGGATTTCCCTTTTAATAAGAATGTTAATGATAATCACGGGATATTTTATGTCTGAGAACCTTTTTTCAAAACTCATTTTGTTACAAAATCGATATAACATATAAAAATACTATTCAAAAAATAAAACCAAAAAAATTTAAATTTTGGATTTTTAAAAAATTTAAAAAACTAATGTACGAGCGTTAAGGTGCCGCGAAGCGGCACCTTAACGCTCGTAAAGATCTAAAAAAGTAGGTTAACGTCCTCTTTCTATCACAAAATAATTACACTCTTTAGTCACATGCATGTTTTGCTCATATAAAAAGATTTATTAGGAGAAACAATTCCTTGCGATTTTTGATTTGTTTTTAGAAATGGTTTTTCCCTTTATTTGTTAACACTTTTAACACTAATTTATTTGTGGTAAAATTTTATTTTTTTCAAGTTTTTTAATGAACATCTGTTAACATTTTTAAATTTTATACAAATAAAAGAACCTTATTTTCATATGAATTTATTGTGTTCTTTTAAATTGATTTTTGTTTTAGTTTTTGTTAAGGTTTTTTGAGGTTTTTTAAAAATAGACTTCTCTCTCACATTCTTTACCACAGTAAATAAATGGAGGGGGGGGCAAAAGGGCGCGCGGCCATAACGGCGCAAAGCTATAACTTGATTCAAGATTTCCGATTCTTTCCAAATTTAGTATTAAACGATTCCTCTCATCGAGCTAAAGATTTAGTTCCAAAATTAATAAGGGCCAGGAATTTTCCATCAGGTTATGGCTTTGTGTCGTTATGACCGCTGTTGTGTAGTGGTGTCACTATAGTATAAAAGCCAGTGAAAGCGTCAGTCTATTTAGTTGGATCATACTAGCGGGGGCTAGTCACTGATCTCCTTCGTCTGTTCCAGCTCTCCATTCCCTTCGCCTTCACATTGTCTCTCATATTAAGGATTTGGAAATTATCTTCATGTTTGCGCATTAGCGTCTCGCACCCAAATGTCTTATTGAAAAAGGTTTAGCTCTTCCCATTTTTTTTTCTTCTCGTGCGACTTTTTCTACGTGTTTTTTTTATTCTGCATAGTTTAATTTTTATAAATATTTAATGATTGATAAAAAGGGGGGGGGGGGAAGGAAGGACAGAAATCACTAAAAAATATTTTTTGGTTAAAGATTTTTTTAAATTTATTTTCTGACGTTGCATTTTTAAATAAAATATTTTTAAAAATTTTTTCTTCCTTTTCCCTATTATTTTAAGAAAAGAAATGTCTTCTAATTCAAATAAATATTTTAATAATTTTCGTCGTCTATGCCGCAACAAGCCAATTTTGGTAACTAGTGTAGTTACTGGCGCTGCTTTGTCTGCTACAATTTATTATTTGGATGTTACTAATGAAGAACGTTTTAAAAGAAATAAAGTAGGTTTTTTTATATTTTTAAATTTTTTTAAATATGTTTTTGGTTATTCGCCCCTCTTCTTAGGTTTATTTTTGATTATTGGGTACTTTTAGTTCCATTCAGATTCTAGATTTAAGGAAATCTTGTCTGGGATTATTCGTTTATCCGGAAATGTTTTTAAAACTTTTTGCTTTAGTTTCGCTTAATGAACAACGCCTTTCATAGCCACAATCTGTTTTTTGATTTTCTGAATCTATAAATTTTAATAATTTTAATTAAACATTTCCGTTTTAATATTTATTAAGCCGTTGACAAGCAGAATTTGTCAAATAAACAAAGAAAAATTTGCTTGATTTTTTTAAATTTGAGGGGTGAGGTATCTGGATAGGTGTTTTTCCTCTTGAAATTAAAAATGTGGGCATATTTGCAGTTTAGAAAATTATTTTTTTTTAATTTCTTTTTCAGTCCAACTACTTTTCTTCACTTCGTGCACATGCAGCATCTCCAAGTCTTTTAGAAACCAAACAACAACAATTAAATCGCCGTCCATCGGGGCCTCTCCCGTCAAGAAAAGAACTTTTGAATGGATTAAGAGAAGAAGAATTTGATATTTTGGTTATTGGTGGAGGGGCTACAGGGGCCGGGGTTGCTTTGGATGCTCAAACTAGAGGACTTAAAACTGCTTTGGTTGAATTGGATGATTTCTCTTCTGGAACTAGTGTTTGTGGTTTTTTAAAATTTTTTTGTGAATGTTTGTTTATAGACCTTGTATCACTTTTTTACGTTTTTTCCATTAAGTTTAAGTGACTAAAAATGGTTAAATTAGGCATTATTGACAGGAAAAGAATTTATTAAATTAAATCTTAATTTTTGAAAACATCAACTAGGATTATAATTTGAAAACTTAAAAAGTCTTAAAAATCGATAACTTGTAGGGATTGGGCAAAATTGTAAGACAATTTTTCATAAAATTTTTTATAAAATTAAAAAAATTAATTTTCTAGTCTCGTAGCACCAAACTCATTCATGGGGGTGTTCGTTATCTTCAATCTGCAATAATGAAATTAGACAGAGAACAATATAGAATGGTTAAAGAAGCTTTGTTTGAACGAGCAAATTTGGTTTGTTTTTTTTTCAAAAATTCTTTTAAATTTAATATTTGAAATATTAATTTTTTCTTTTTTATTTTAGTTGGAAATTGCTCCACACCTCAGCTATCCTCTGCCTATTATGTTGCCTATTTACAAGTATATTTTAGTTATTAAAATAGTTTGTAGTTGGGGGAGGGGGAGTGGGGCTAGGATTGTCATTTTGGATATCCAAATTCTTTGATTTCTTTCAGTTTTTCTTTGGCAAGATTTTTTATTTTCCTTTTTATGTTCTAATATTCAGTGAATAATTATTTTTGAGACAATTAAAGAAATCTTCCTTGAAAATTTCAAAAATAAATTTAATTAATTTAAAAGGCTTTGGCAAGTTCCATATTATTGGTTTGGAATTAAAATGTACGATTGGGTTTCTGGCAAAAGATTGTTAAAGAATTCTTATTTTATAAATAAAGAAAAGGCTTTGGAACGTTTTCCAATGTTGAAAAAGGAATCTTTAAAAGGAGCTTTGATTTATTTTGACGGTTAGTTTGTTTGGGGTTTTTAATTAAATGAGGGGGAAAAATAAAGAAATCTTTACTTTTCCTACAATTTCCCTTATGTTTTTTTTCGAAATAACGATTTTAAGGGGCATTTGGAAGAATTCTCCTTTGCCATTAAATATTGCATCTCCATACATTAAAATTTATTTTTTAATTTTTTTAGGTCAACATAACGATGCTCGTATGAATTTGGCAATTGTTTTAAGTGCTATTAGAAATGGGGCAAAATGTTGTAATCATGTAGCTGTTGAACAATTAATTAAAGATGAATCTACAGGAAAATTATGTGCTGCTAAAGTGAAGGATATGGTGAGGTTTTTTCTAAATTTCAATCTTTTTGGAATACATAACTGTTCAATAACGAGTTAACACTTTCTCTCATTTGTTGGAGTTTCACTTCAATTTTATTTTCTTTTTATTTTAATTTTTTGAAACTTGGGAGCTCAGTTAAATAATCCCTCACTTCATTATAAACCAAAAATTTATTAAATTTTTTGTCACGGGTTTGTAACTGTCCATAGTAAATAATTATTGTTTCAATCTTAAAAAAATAAATTTTTTTCCTTTTTAAAGATAACTGGAGAACATTTCATTGTCCGTTCCAAATGTATTGTTAATGCTACCGGTCCTTTTACTGATTCAATTCGTTTAATGGCAAATCCAGAAACTCAGCCAATTTGTTGTCCTTCAGCAGGTGTTCATATTGTTTTACCTGGTTATTACAGCCCCGCAAATACTGGACTTTTGGATCCGGCAACAACTGATGGACGTGTTATATTTTTCCTGTGAGTTTTTTGGACTTTAAACTTTTTTGTGATTAATTAAAATTAATTCAGTCCATGGCAGAAAATGACAGTTGCCGGTACAACAGATGCATCAAGCGAAGTTACTTTCTCTCCAAAACCTCGAAATTCTGATATTGAATTTATTCTTAATGAAATTCGTGGATATTTAAATAAAAATATTACAGGTTAATTCTTTAAAAAAATCATTTTTTTAATTAAAATTTGTTTAAAGTTCGTAGAGGTGATGTAATGAGTGCCTGGTCAGGTCTTCGACCTTTAGTTAGAGATCCAAACAAATCTGATACAAAATCACTTGCTCGAAATCACATTATTGAAGTAGCTGATGATTCTGGACTTGTTACTATTGCTGGTTGATTTAAAAGAAAATTATTTTCTAAAAATAATTAAGGTGGTAAATGGACAACGTATCGACATATGGCCCAAGAAACGGTGGATGCTGCTATTAAAGCACACGATCTTAAACCTAAAAATGATTGTATTACTGCTGGTTTATTACTTGAAGGTATTTTATTAGTTCAAAACTTTTAAATTAGAAACGGGGTCGTTTTTTCAATAACAAAACTGATAAACAAATCGATAAATTTAATAAAAACTCGACTAATATATAACTTTATCTATCCTTTAATTTGTTTTTAAATTTAATTAATTTTCCTTATTTAGGTGCACACAATTGGGACCCATTGCTCTATGTCCATTTGGTGCAAGATTATGGAATTGAGGTTGATGTTGCTCAACATTTGGCAAATAATTATGGTGACCGTGCTTTTGTAGTTGCTAGATTGTGTAAAATGACTGGAAAGAGATGTATTTTAGTTTTTTAACTTTTGAAGATTTAAAAAATTTAAGGGCCGATAGTTGGAAATCGATTACATGGAGAATTTCCTTTTTTGGATGCCGAAGTATTTTTTAAATAAATTTAAAAATAATTTTTTCTCTCTTAAAAAAGGTTGATCATGCGATAAAAGAATATGCGTGTACAACAGTTGATGTTATTGCTAGACGGTTACGGATTGCTTTTTTGAATACTTATGCGGCACATGAAGTTCTTGATTTGGTTGTTCAAATAATGGCAAAACGTTTAAATTGGAGCAGAAAGGAAATGGAGGTTTACAAAAATATTTTTTAAACGTTTTTCTTAAGTTTAAAACGAGGAAGGTTATAATTAATGTTCCCATCGAAATAAAAAGTAAAAGACCTAGAAGGAATTCGAACCCGGTCTATTCACATAGCTAGGCATGATTTTTTCTACTAGGCTACATTAAAAAATTTTTTCCTTCAGAGACAATTACAAATGGCTAGAGATTTTATCAACAATGAAATGGGACAAGAAGCACGTATGCAATCAATGTCAAGTGTCCCATTAAATTTAACACGAGAGGAAATGCAAGCAGCCAAGGAAAGGTTTAATCAATTGGATCGTGACAGAAAAGGGCATATTACTGTTAATGGTTAGTTTTTGGATTGGAGGGTTTTGAAAAGGAAATTCTTGTTATTTTAGATATTCGCCGACATTTCCGTGAACATGGCAACAAAATTGATGAACGTCTTTTACACGAATTGTTGAATGAAGTTGATTTGAATAAAAATGGAGAGTTGGAATTGGCAGAATTCTTCCAGGTAAATTTTATTAAAAAAAATTTTTTTTAATAAATTTAAAAATTATTTTTAGTTATATAGCGGTCTAAAAACTGGACATATTACACAAAATCGTTTGGTAAGATATTTGGATGAAATGTCAGTAAAGGATGTTGCACGTTCTGGAGGGGGCTTCTAAGATGTTTTAAAAATAATAATATCTTTTAATATAGGAAATTAGATTAATGTATATTTATTATATAATTAAATAGAAAATAGTTTTATTTTATAAAAATGTTATTTTTTTAGTAAATTCTTTAAAAAATTGTTAATTCAGATAAATTCTAAAGCTGTAGACTCTAACTTTGTGAATCAAAAATTAGTGTTCGGCAAATGAATTTTTTTAATGTCAATACCAAAAAGTATTGCAAAAATACCGAGTCAATACTTTTGGGTGCACCGAACTGTGCCGAACACTGTCAAAAATTCCAGGTCTTTAGAGCTTTTAAATTTATCTGGTTAATCAAATAAAAGAATTTTTAAATAAAACACCATAGTAATTATAAAGGCATAGAAAGAGAAATCAAAAAAATTAGGTAATAAAAGAATTACAAAGTACTCCTAACTTTAAATTATTTCTGTGCCTATAATTATTCTAATTAGCCCAACAATTTTTTCGTGTTTTTTGTTATAACTGTGTGCTGAAGTTTTTAATCTCTTAATTATTTAGAAATAAGAAAAGTTAATCTAGAATGTCAAATTTTAATTTAAAAAATCTCCAAATTATTTTATTTGTCGATAAAAATTTAAAACAATTTATAAATTCTGTGTTTTACAGATTTGTTTCTCTTAAAGTAAAGCACTTTTTTATCAAAACATTTTTTCAAGCTTGAAACTTATTTTCGATATTAAATTTATTTTTAGTTAAGAGGTTCAATAAAATCTTCAGGGATCGGACGACCATTTCTATCGTAACCATCCAAATATATAATCTGTGGTAATAGAGTGAGTACATTCTCGCGGTAATTTGGAAGCTTCTTAAAAGAAAAAATATTAAATTCAAAATATATTTGAAAACTGGGGTGGGACTTTTTAATCCCCTCTATTTCTGCTGTATCCCATCCAGCAAAAATTTTTTAGAAAAAATTTTAATTAAATCAAAACATACCGTTACACTACAATCAGTTAAATCTAATACTTTCAATTCCGAAAGATCTTTAAATGGTTCGAGTGCTTCGATTTCCTTAAAGAAATTAAATTGTAAGTTAGGAAAAAATATAAAACTTCAATTTTGTTAGCAGATAAATTGATAAAACGAAGACGTGGACAGTTTTGCACAAGTATTTCAAACTCGCCACTTAATTCGTTATGACTGAGATTGATTCCACGTAAGGTTGGAAGCTGGAAAGAATAAAATGTTTTGGTCATTAAGAAAGAGTTTGCAAAAGTTTAGCCACCTGCGACCACCTGCTAGTTGTTGCTAGGCGCTTTCTCTCACTATATGCAGGAGCTCTACCTCTGAGCTAACGGGGCATCGACTAATGCTTTCTCTTCCTTTTTAGATCTATTAACCCCCGCCTAAGCGTTTTAAATGCTGCTGGGTGAATCATCCTTACAATTAAAAATAAAAAAAGCAAAGTGGTGGAAAAGTTTTGAACCAAGTTTTAAAATTTCTCGTGTTAATTTAAAAATTTCTATTATAATTTAGTGTTCCTCACGGTTAGATACTACGAGGTATTACTGAAAAGTAACGATTAGGTACTTATCGGTACTACCGATAACGAGAAAATCCATCTTCATACATTAACAGTGTTTAAATGATTTTCTAATGACAGCAAACTATACCGTGAGAAATTTTTTTTTGCTCACTTACTGTAAGAAAAAATTTGAAAAAATTATTGTGAATATGTATAAACGAAATCATCAAAATTTCGTTTTACTAGTTATAACGTAAATAAGAGTAAGAATTTTCAAAAAATATTTACGAAAGAATAAAAAGTAAAAAAAATACATACTTTAGGAAACCCAACAAGCGAGATAAGCATTTAAAAATTCTCGTTTATAAATAAGTAGTTGAAAAAATATGTATTAATAATAGATCTAAAAAATAGATTATTATCGAAAACGTAGCTTTAAGTGATGGATAGTGGGTGTTTTAGTTTCACTCTTACAAAGGAGAGTATTATTTACAAATAAGTACATTTTTAACATTTATGAACATTTTGTGATCCAATAAAGTTAATATTTAAGGGAGAAAGGCATTTTCAAAGGAATAATTTAAAAAAACACCGAAAATGATAAAAATAGCCTTGTGTTTATACATATGTGTAATGTCAAAAAATGGTAAAGTGCAATTACGAAAATTGTTAGTCGATTAATGGATAGAAAATGATTTAAAATATCAATTGAGTAAATTAAAATGACTAAAAAACATTTAAAATAAAGACAAAAAATGTTTTTTGATGATTAATTTTAAGAATGGGGGAAAATTATTTGAAAAAATTTAATTTTGGAATTTCGGCCACTATTGGGAGAACACCAAGCAATTTAAAAAATGGAGAGGGTGCTTATATGAAGCTATAAAGATTTCCAACACATTTAGTACCAAGAATAACCTGTCTTAGACATTTGCCTTGATTTAAGTAAATTATTTCCCTAATTTAAACCTTTTTGGACATAAATGACACACTCAAATAAGGCAACAAATAATCCAAACAAAAGCTAACATTCGAATAAAATATGTGGGTTTGTAAAGAGACTAAGTATATAGGCCAGAAAAATAGAAGGGTAGACAAAAGTTTCAGAAATGCAGAAAATATATATGTATTTTAGTTCAGAAAAATTTTTACTGTAATTAATCACTCTTTTTACTCTGCAACACAGGAATAAACAAATAAAAATTAAAGATCAGAAACTAAATAATTTATGTAAAAATGAACATTTTGGCTCTTTAGAATTTAAATAAAAAATTAAAAAGGATGATTATTTGTATGTAAATTATTTTTGTGCTTATAAGAATTTCAATTGGCTTAAAATGAGGAGTACTATAGAAGAAAAGTTAAGATGAGGAGTGCCACTTTAATTTTAAAAAATCACCAAATTATTTTATTTATCGATAAAGAATTTCTTTAAATTTAAACACATAATCTTTAAAACAAATTTAAAACAATTTATAAATTAAAAACCAAAACAAATGAGTAAATTTACAAAAAAATTGTGTTTTACAGATTTATTTATCAACACTTTACATTTAAAGTTTATTTTCATTATATGTCAATAATTCAAATCCATTTGAAAGGTCTGAATTTTGTGATTCTTTGTCTTCTTCTAATTCATCTAAAAGAGAATTTAAAATTTGAATTTAGAAATAGACATTCCTAAAATTAGAGAAACTTTTCAATTTATTGGGCCCAGTATCCAAACCTGGTCAGTCTAAAAGGTCAGTCCCCTTCTGCGAGAAGGGGAAGAAATTTTTAGAAAAACTGCAAACAACTTTTCCAATAACTAATTCAAAACCAACCAATCTTCTCTTGCTTTTCCTTTGTTTCTTTAATTTCTTTAATTTTTTCCTCAATTAATTGTTGAAAACCTTCTTTTAAATTTTTAATTTCATTTTGATGTTCAGATTTGAGTTTTTGGATTTCCTGAAAATAAATTTAGGAAATTAATTCTTTAAAAGACTATAATCTTTTTAAAAATAAAAATATTAGAATGCTAAAACGCCAAAAAAGGTAAACCCTTAGAACCGCAGAAAATCTATGATTTTCTAAGAGATAAGGGATAAAAGATTTAATTTAATTTTTTAATAAATTAATTTAAATAATTCTTCCCGTCTCTCTACCTCATTCATTTTCTTCTCCAAAACCTCCATTGCCTCCTTATTTTTACTTTCAACTAACGAAAGTTTAGTTTGAAAATTACCAAGCTTTCCATCAACTTTCTGAATTAAAAAATAATTTTTAATTTATTTTCAAGTCTCTAAACCTTTTCAAAAACTTCCTCATAATCACTGTTAAATTTATCTTCACCAAAATTCATCTGAAAGGCAATCTCCTTAAAAAATTTTAAAAATTAAAAAAAATTTATTAAAAAATTACTGTCATTTATATCAAAACCGTCCAAATATTTAATTTGTGGCAATAAAGTAAACATTTCCTTTCGGTAATTTGGAAGTTCCTTAAAAGAAATTAAAATATATACAAATATTCAAAATACAAAACCGTTACTCTACACTCAAATAAATCCAATTCTGACAATTCTGAGAGATTTTTAAGTGGTTCGAGTGCTTCGATTGTCTTAAAAAAGAGGAAAGTTTAATTACAAAATTTTGTAAATAAATTAACCTTAATTTTGTTAGCACTTAAATCAATAAAACGAAGACGTGGACAGTTTTCCACAAGTATTTCCAATCCTCCAGTCAATTTATTATCACCTAGTTCGATTGTATGCAAAGCTGGAAGCTGGAAAGAAAAGAGGTAATTTTGTGATCATTAAACCATTTTTAACGTAAAACGGGGGAAAAAGTTTAAAAAATATTTTTAAAATTTTACTTTCGGCAAACCATCAAGCGAAGTCAATCCAACATACTCTAAATAAAGTGCTGTCAATTGAGAAAATTCATCGGTCAGACCGCTGATGGTTTTTGCTCTACAATGTTCGAGAGAAAGATATTTAACTTCGGATGGCTTTTTGCCTAAATTAATATTTAAATTTAATTGATAAAAATATATATTTACCTCTAAGTTCTTTTATAATACGCTTTTCCATTTAAAACTTTTTCAATTAATAAAAAACTAATTGTACTATTAATAAATCTGAAAAATATATAAGTAAATAAATAATTTATTCTCTTTTATTTTTTCAAATCCACACCAAAAATATCGTTTACTCTAAATATCGAAACCATATTATCAACAGCAAATTTTTTAGATTTTATTATTATTGTTCCAACGTCGGGAAAAGTTGCTCCAACTACAGAGAATGTTTTAATTAAATTATTATTTGTTAAAAGCTAAATATGGGTATTGTGACGTGACTTAAAAAGTGTTGATTTCTTTTACGATTCTCGGATACGTCAATTTTTTATTTTTCGGGATATCCATCTCCCAATCCGATCTCTAGCTGAAACAGCTAACCAACTTCTCTGTATTTGGAACAACTTTTCCCATCGTTGGGAAAGTTGTATTTTAACTTCAACAAATAGAAATAAATAAGAATTCAGCGCTCCGAAAGTAAAGGAAAAATGAGGAAAGATAATATGTATGTAAGTAAAGGGACTTAAAAAGGGCGGTAAAATAATAAAAAATATAGGAGAAAGAACATTAGGAAATATTTACTGAAGGGCAACAATTTGAATAGTACATATGTATAATAAAGGAAGAAATATTTAAAATATACATAGATTGAGGAAATTATTTGAATATGTTGAGAAGTGGGGCAAAAAAAGAATAAAAAACTTACTGCAACAAAGAAAGATATTTACAACTTCAAACACGTAAATATATACCGATTCACGATGCCCGAAAATTTCTCGGATACTATCTTCCTTTATCATCGATATCTCCCTTAATCGTTAAGATGCGCAACAGAACGCTTGACATGGGGTCATTAAAAACGCAGCCTTAATTCCTCGATATACCAATTAATCACTCGTTTATCCCCCACTCGTTTATCCCCCACTCGTTTATCCCCCACTCGTTTATCCCCCACTCGTTTATCCCCCACTCGTTTATCCCCCACTCGTTTATCCCCCACTCGTTTATCCCCCACTCGTTTATCCCCCACTCGTTTATCCCCCACTCGTTTATCCCCCACTCGTTTATCCCCCACTCGTTTATCCCCCACTCGTTTATCCCCCACTCGTTTATCCCCCACTCGTTTATCCCCCACTCGTTTATCCCCCACTCGTTTATCCCCCACTCGTTTATCCCCCACTCGTTTATCCCCCACTCGTTTATCCCCCACTCGTTTATCCCCATTGGGGCAAACTTTTTAAAATTTTTATTTACATATAATAGTGTTTCGAAAGAAGTTCCAATAAGTGGCTTTAAATGCTAATCATTTTCTGTTGAATACATATTTAAAAAAAGTAATTACACCTTGACACTTTCCTAATTAATCATAATTTTATAATATTTTTTAATAAAAAATTGATAATTATTAATTAATATTAATTATTAATTATGTATTAATATCATATTTTTATTTATTCTATCCAAGTAATGAATTTTTAAATTTCTAATTTATTAAATATGAATCATATTTCTTTTAATTTCCTTTTTTTTAATTTTATAAAAAAACTGTAAAAAACTGTAAATAAATAATATTATATTTTCAATTACTAAATATTTTTAGTTTTTACTTTTATTTTAATTTTAGAAAAATAATTTTTAAATTTCCATTCGTTAGCAGTTTTAATAAATGAATAAATTTTTGGATTATAACACCACCCAACGTTACGTGGCCATCCAATACACTAACCAAGTCCCCTAAATCCTTTCCAGAATTCTACCTTGCATTAACGCCATATAAGTTATACACTCATTTATCGGTTCCTTTATTAGGGGGTATAACAAGTATCTTAATATTCTTTAACTTTTTAGAATCTTTCAGAGGAAATAGTTAAATAATGCTTTTACAGGCCTTTTCAGCCATTTTATTTATTTCTTGTTTTTTATTTACAAATTGTTCAATTAATGATAAAATGTTTGGATCGTTAAGTTCTGTTAAAGTAATTATGGAGGAGGATATAGAGAAGGTTTCGGAAATACCGGTTAATTATGTGGAAGGATGTAAAGGGTAAATAATTTAAATAAATATTTAGAATTGGGACATTAATTTTTTAGATTCTAAAAAAGATTTTTCAGGATATTATTTTGTTATCCCAGCCAATTTTCCGCGAATTCTGAAAACAATTGGAAACCTAATAAAGCCTTTGAATTAACAAAAAAAGGTGCAAGTAACCTCTGTCTAAATTCTTTAAAAGAATCAACTGAATATGAAAAACTTAAAAATATTCAATGGAATAGGGTGATGGTATTTAAAGAAGGAAAAGAAAATTTGGAAATATTTGCTGATATATTCCCTGAAAAGTAAGGGGGGGGGGGTTTAAATTAAAATTTGAGAAATATTAGAGGAAGAGGATCTTCTCTCAATTATTTATTCTCTTTTGAATACTTTCAGCGAAAATCTAAATACTGAGCAATAATTATTCAACCACTTATTCAAGCAAAATTTTCAACCCTTATTTAAAAAATAAAATTTCCTAGTCTCCTCTCTTTGATCCTTAATAATATATTTAATAATAATTTTAAAGTGATCAAATTCTTCTACACAATACCACAACATCGGTACTCTTCAATTTCTTGATAGGAAAGGATAATTCACTCAAAAGTGGGAGACTCTCTTTAATTAATTCTTAAAAAAATTTATTTTTATTTAAGAAAAGATTTTGTCGGAAAGTAAAATTGATAGAGAATATTTTAATGTTGATAAAAATCCAAAGCCTTTGCTAGATGATTATCCGGGCATTTTGGCATTGAAATTGGATATTATGTTAGGGAAATCCAAAGATATCAAGACAAATCCAATAAACCGACAGTTTATTTGGAAGTTAATAGATAAATGTGTTGTAAATAAGGTAAAATTTTTTGTTAGAGGGTACCTCTGTCCCAACATTGCTTAAGGAATTAATGCTCCTAAATATTTGAGCTAATTTTATGTCTCCCACACTGTTATTCGGTTGTCAATTCGTTATTACTATAACAAAATATTTTCTATGTCAGGATATGTTCATTACCAATAAAAAGTTTGTTGAAAATCGAATAGAAATATGGACATCATTATTTAATCTTGCTTGTGATGGTGCAGAATTTCGGAAGGATGATCGCTCAAAAAAGTGTACATATAAATCTGATGATACAAACAAAATGAGATAGTAATACCTTAAAAATATGCTTAAAAACTAGGGTTGCTCACTACCGCCGGTACTCCCGGGTTTTCGGTTCGGTTAACTGACTGTGAGCCTTTTTTATTAAAACTTTTAACACCCTTCAAGATTATCTATTTAAAATTAATTTCAGTTGGAACTCAGTCAATTTCACATTATGTTATGTTTCTAAATTAGGAAAAGAGGTAAATACAATCCTCTTTAAAATATAGTTTTACTTTTGTTTCAGCTAAAAAATAATCCAAAAAGTGAATATGCCAAAAATTGTAGCAAAGATGGGGAAGAAAAGCATGGAATTGAATTTAGAGTTTATGGAACGAGAGTTGGATTTAACCAATCTATTGAAGATTATTATATTGAATTTAATGTTGCCGTTGTACTTGGATTCTCTTTTTCAACAAAAACGTTAGGGGTTTTTTAAGTGGTCGAGGAGTATCACAGAAAGAGTTTGCAAAAGTTTAGACACCGGGCAGGATTGAACCTGCGACCACCTGCCAGTTGTTGCTAGCCGCTTTCGCTCACTATATGCAGGAGCTCTATCTCTGAGCTACCGGGGCATCGACTAATCCTTTCTCTTTTTCCTTTTTAGATCGTTTAACCATACACAGCCTAAGCGTTCTGGGTGAATCATCCTTACATCGCCCCTAAATATCCTGGGTCTGAGCCCGAGCTTAATACCAAAAATAGACAACATCCCTCTCAATTAGACACTAACCACCCTCTAAATTTAAAACATTTTTATCATTATTAGAATTGCATTTAATAAAACAGTTAAAGCAACTGGAAAAGTTCGACATTCTTATACTGGAATTCAAGATGAAAGATTATATTATACTTATCTTGACACGTTAAATAGAGAAGAAAGTTACATTTTAATATTTTCAATACAATTGGGGAATAATGGAAAAAATTTTGCAATTTTAACTGATGAAATGAATGGAAATGTTTATGATTATGGAAATTATGTTCTTACAAATTTTGGGAATAAAAGCATTCAGGAAATTGTAGAAGAAGTAAATTAACTTCCTAAATATGTACATAAAATAAAAAAAATTAAAAGGATGGGGCAATTGCAATGATTGGACCTGACATGAATTTGGAAGGAAAGCTTTTGCTGTCTAAAAACATTCAATTTTTACCGGTAACAAACGAATCATGCAGCATTCACACAGTTGATATAAAAATAAATAATGTAACAATTGAGAAGGAAATAAGTTGTGTGAGTTTTTAAAGTAATTTATTTTAGAGGGAATAAATAATAAATCTGTCCCCACTAGGGTTGTCGGTTCCTGGAAATTCTTCGGATATCCGAAACCGAACCGAAAAATTCTCGGTTCTTCGGTTCGGTCCTGAACCGACAACCCTTTTCCCCACTAATGGCGTTTACTTTAGTATAAACGTTCACCAAATATTTGTGATCAACTTGGTCTGGAGGAATACAACAAACAAAATAAGGCATTCAGTGAACTTTTGGAATTGTATGAAAAATGCCCTTGCTATACTTGGGAACCTCGTCCACCCTCCATAGTTAACAATAAATATATAAAATACCGTAAATAAATTATAAAAAAATCAGACAGATGACAGATTAATTGTCCATCCCGGAGCTAGAGATAAACGAAATGTTAAAAATGATACTTTGTTAGGAACTCGGGATGCTGAGGGATTAGTTTATGGTTGTGAAGATGCTAGGTATTTTGTTTTGGGTGATATTGCATTGCGTTATGATGATATCCTCCAAGAGCTAGAAATACAGCGTAAATGTAAATTTTTATTCTGGGGATTGTTAATTAAAGTCCTAGCAAGCAGGGGTGAATCGGAATTCCGAATTTCTGACAGTTCCGAGTCCCGACACCGTCGTCATTTCCGATTAACCTCTGATAGCAAGCAAGCTTATTTCCAACGAATTAGAAACATTAAATTAATTATTACTAATTTAAGGCTGTAAATAGATTGGCAAATTTCAGCAAAGTAGACTGGCAATTCTCTAAAGAAATTAAACTTTTGTAAAAAATTCCCATATACTTATACCTAATAATTTTTCTGATAAAATATAAAATTTAGATTTTCTCTCATTCAAAAATTTAATTTAAATATTTAATAAAATAATTAAAATATAAATTGGTTAATTAATTCTGTCTTTTTTGATTCATTTCTTTTTTAAATTGATTTTTTTTTAATTTAAAAAAATTCAAAAAAAAATTTCCTTTCGTCCTCAATGACTAAAAATTTTTTTCATTTAATTTTTAAATTTTTTACCGTTTAAATACACACAATTAAACACACTCCTCACCAATTCCTTTTAACATTTAAATTTAATTTTATTTTCTGATTTTTGTTCTCTTCTCTTTAAATTGTTCTAAATTAGTCTAATTTATAAAATAGAATTGTGGGTATTTAAATATTTGAAAAAGTTGCCAAATAAAATTTTACTTTGAAGAATTTGTCTGTGTCAAGATCTGTCTCATTTTTAAACACAATTTTACACACTATTTCGCCTTTTGTCTAACCTAAGAGGTAAAAATAAATACTAAATTATTTTTGCTATAAATATTTTCCGGAATTTTCCGGATTCTAATCAGACACTTTTAGATATACCCACGAAATTAGTACACCTAGAATAAATTCATTATCTTTTAGTCAGGTTTGAATGTATAAATTAGAAAATTCAGAAAAGAGCAAAAGACACAACGGATATATGTAAATACATCCACAAGCCTCTTGGATTAACACAACGAAAGTTAATTTTAATAAATTTTATAAAATAAAAATATCTCCATTTTAACCCTTATATTTTTACTAAATTTCATCTACCTATTTTTAATTAAATAACCATTTTAATTTTACAACATATTAAATAAATCAATTAATTCAAAATTCATTTATTGCCAAATAAAAAATAGAAATTAAAAAAATTTTCCCCTCTTAATGCGCTCAAAAATACAGCTGTTTGTGTACACATTTTATAAAACCTTTTTATTATTTTTTATTTGTCACCTCCCCCTTTACCTCCCCTCACCTCACCCCTCTCCTTTTATTTTCTCTTCTATTCTCGAACCCTTTAAAACCTTTTATTTTATTGTATTATTTGAGAGATTCTTTCTTTTCTTTTCAACCACAACCACTTTTATGGCCAATCCATTTTACACACTTAAACATTTTTTTAATTTTATTGAGATGAGTCATTAGAGTAAAATTGGGGAAAATTCTTATTAAATTTTAAATAAAATCTCTTTATTTAGTTGGTTAGAAGGTTTGGGGGCTGATTTGGAAAATTATTATATAAAAAAACGAGCTTTTTGAACCCAGACGTCCTAAGAGTGTCCAAAAAGCTCGTTTATCGAAATCAACTTTCAAGTTTTGTCTAGAGCATGTAAATTTATATAAATATATTTTCAAAAATGTTATTTTAATTATCTAGAAATTTTGTAATTTTTGATTGAGTACACAAGAATTTAAAATCAAAAATTTTTTTAATTTTCAAGTGAAAATATTTCCATTTTTCAGTTCTTAGCCCATAACTTTCAAAAAATCTAACCAAAAATTATGAAATTTACAAAGAGGGGGTTAGATAATACTTTAAAGAATATTTAAATAAAATTTCAAATCTTTAGGTCCCAAAACCTTATATTTGTTTAGCATCCAATCCCTTCCTACGCCCAAACAGTTTTTATCTTTTAATTTAAAATCTTCCTTTCTCTCGACTCAAACATTTTCTCAAAAATATTTTCATTTTTACATACATATTTCTTTATTATTTTTCAAAACTAACAAATAAATTCTCTCAATTGTTTGTCAAGAGTTTCACATGTTTTTTAAATAAATAAATGAATATATTTATTTATTACTTTATTTTATTTTTCAAGTTTCGCAACTTTCTTTTTTTTAATTTTCTTTTGTTATTTTTTTAAATATAAAAAACAAAATATATATTTCCATAAATCATTTAAAATATTCTTTAATCTTTTTATTTTTTAATCAAAATGAATATTTTTCTTCAATCATATTAGTCATATCAGTCCCCACTAAATATTTAAATAAGGAAATTTTGAAATTTTTTAATAATTTTTGTTTGGAAATGTGTATTTTTAATACTAAAAATTTATTTAAAATTAAAAAATAATTTTAAATTAAAGGATCCTTCCTCTTTCTCTTTTCATTTAATTTCTCTCAATTTATTTTAAACAATAAAAACTAACATAAATATACTATATGTATGTCCACATATATCTTATTTAACGTGAATTATCAAGCTGATTCGAAAATTATCAAAATTAGTGTTATTGAACGATTTTTAGCAAAATTATACAAAAATAAACTAGTGATTAGAGATCCGAATTTTGTTCCGTACCGTATTACCGATACGGAATACCGATAAATACCGAAAAATACGGCCGTAGTACGGTACGGTCCGATCTCTACTAGTGATTCCTTGTATTGGTTTAATGAGAGTAGTTAATTAATTGTATGATTCCCGTAAATACATGCCTCAATTAAAAATCTTTTTTTTTTCAATTTAAACATTTTCAACATTCCCCCCTCGTTTGCCCTTTTTTCAAAAAATTCTTTTTCCTTTTCCATTTTTTGTTTCAAACAAACATTTTTTATATATAAAATCACCTGACTTGTGTTGACAGTCACTTTTTCGCTTTCTTTTCTTTTTCCAGACAGAGAAAAAGAAAATTTTTTAAATCAGAAAACAGAATGGCCATTAAATAAATAAATGAAATTAAATTGTTTTTTTTTAAATTATTTTCCCACAATTTCAAAATAGCCTTGAAAATTGTTGGGTATTTTTTAGTAATACATATCATTTAGAAAAATAAATTTTAAAAAGGTTAGATTACAAAATTTTAATTTATAAATATTTTTATTAAATAATTTAAAAATAAAAAATTAATTAATTTAAATGAATCTTCAATATTTTTTAATTACCTTGAAATTTAAATTTATAAAATTGTTTTATCAAAAAAACTATCAAATTTTGCTTAGACTCTCATGTCAAAAATTTCCTTTAGTTTCACAAAAAATTTCAGAATTCCTAGTTTTCTATTTCAAAAGTTATTGCAAAAATAAGACAAATTTTATGCCAGGAAAGGGTTCTCTATTCTTTTTTAACCAGAATTTAAAAAATTTTAAATAAAAAATTCTGAAAATTTTTAGAAAAATTAAATAATGTTGAGAATATTTATATGTATAATAAATTTCAAGGCTACTTTTATCTTTGCAAAATTTTTAAATTCGTCCAAGGACGTTGAGGATTTCCTTCTTGACTATAAAATAGAAGAGCTTTGAACTGTGTATTTTATAATAAAATTTAGTATTTAACTTTAAACTTTTCTAAAAATTTCAGAATTTTTAATTCGTTATTTTAAATTCTGGTCGAGAAATGTACATAAATCAGACCCTACAAAATTCCACAATTAAAATTCCTTTCATTTTCTCTTATATGTAATTTAAAAACTTTCAAAAAGTTTCAGAATTTAGAGTAGGGTAGAACCCCAAGCCTTCAGGGGCGGAAGTGTCAGGTTTTGGGGTTTGCCGGGGTCGAAGTTTCTGTGGACAGGGTGCTACCCTAATTTAGGGTAATTATTTAACAACTTTACAGGCCCCTACCCTCTAACTACCTTTCAAATATTTTGGGATAAATTGTTTTAAATTTTTTAAACTTTATTTACTTTAATTTTTAACAACTTTTTTATTATTTTCTGGCAAAATTTTATTTTATAAAAAATTCTTTTCATTTATTTACTATTTTTTCCCTCTTCTTTTTCTCTTTGTTAGCAGTTGTCTCTTTTTTAAGCTTTAATGCCGGCAAGAATTTTTTTTATATTTTCACTTATTTAATTTCCTCTATATTGATTTTATGGCCATAAACTATGTATATTTACTTTATATATTTTTCTTTCTTTTGCGTGTTCGGCACATTTTTAGTCAAAAAATAAAATATTATATATTAAGTAAAATTTATTTTTTTATCTGTATATTACTTTTAAAAAAATCTAAAAATAATCTTTTTTTTTCTTCTTTAATATCTTTTTGGTCATTAGCTGAGTATTCTCTTTTTTTAAAAAGAAAAGAAGGGATTTTTATCCCTTTTTTAACATTTATTTAAAGTTGTCATTCACTTTTAAATGACGTTACGCCGCGCGCTATAATTCTGCCAAATGAACATTTTGGACCTTGAAATTTTACATGGATATAGTTTAGGTATATTGTTGTTTAAAAACACTAAAATTTTCAAAATTTTTGATAAAATAATTTTTAGAATTTATAGAGGAAACTATCAAAAAAATAGACATTTTCTTTTAAAAAATTGTGATATTTTCTTCCATTCCTTTAAATTTAAATAAAAATTCGAAAAAATTTTTGAATTAAGTAACATCCATATACGTATGTATTATTACGAAATTTAATGACTCTGCCTTGTTTTTTTTTGTCTATTTTATTAACACTCAATTTACGTCAGTTCCCGGAACTATTTTTTATAGGGGAGACTGTCTATAAAAAATTTTGACCTCTACGGATACGGAAATTAAAAAAAGGATTTTTTAAATTAATTTTTAAATTAATTTTTTATTATTTACAATTCTCTTTTTGTTATCTCGGTTTCCTTTCTAATTTATCCCACATCTTCACTTATACTCTTTTAGACATCCCATTGACTTTGATTGAAGAGATAAAGACTTTCTATATTTTTATTAAATCTCTATTCAATCTCTCATATCCTACTTTGCCTAAAATCCCTATATTTTCGAGTTTTCAATCTTAATAATATTCCAACGATTTAATAATTTAATTTAAATTTTTAGAAAAAAATTTATTTTATTATTTTATTTAACTATTTAATTTAAAAAATATTTAATAATGTCTAGAGTTGGTATTTTTGGACAAATATCAGAAATTAATGATCACCTTTTTCTCAGGTAAATTTCAAAAAAAATAATTTTAGATAATTATTTTTTAGCGGTGCCGGTGTTCTTCGGCCAGAGAAGCTCAAACAAAAGGGAATTACTTGTATAATTAATGCAACAATAGAGGAACCGACAACAAATTTATCTGGTAAAACAAAGAAAATTAATTAAAATTAAAATTATTTTTTAATAAAGGTATTGACTGCGTAAGAATCCGCATAGAAGATTCTCCTTATTCTCGACTTGATAATTATTTTGATTTAGCTGCAGACAAAATCAGATCCATTAGAGTAAGGAAATTTATTTAATATTATAATTCCGGAAACTGTCTATTGCACTCATTTAACATAGTCTCTTACTCAACTTCCGGAAAATATATTTTAATCCGGAAAATACAAGAGAATATTTATTTTCAGAAATTTAAGGAATTACAAAATTCCGGAGATATGATTCCGGAAATGTAATATAACAAGTTCAGGAAATTAAAAAGGATTCCGGAAAACATACATATCAGAATATATATTTCCGGAAAATACACACCTATGACAGTATATTCTCTTCCGGAAAATATACAGGGTGCGGCAAATTTAGCGCCGACTTTGTTTTGGCTATAACTTTTTTAATTTTAAACGAAAATTGATAATTCTTTTTTTCCTGGATTCCCAACACTTTAGGAAAATTGTTGATACCAAAATCGTTTTTAAATTTTATAATTAAGTTTGATTAATTTTCTATCAAATTTCGAGCAAAAATTTTTGGATAAAATATGGCCTGGATTCAAGGCTATTATTTTAATTTATGAAGTTTATATATCATTCGAATCAGCTCTCCAATCTGATTCGAATGACGTCAAAATCAGGCGTCTATCACATAAATGGACCGAGATATGGCTCACTGAATGATAAATTAAACAAAGTTTGGCAAATACGAATTTTTTGTGTGAAATTTTCAAAAATGAGATTATTAGCTATTTCGATACGCCTGAACGAGATAAGTCGATTGGTACCAAAATTATTCGGATTGGATGATTTTGAACAAAGTTATGATCAATTAAACTTTGACATGAAAAATCCATTTTTACCCGTTTTTATGTTCGGACTCGTTTTTCATTGATATTCGCAAACAAAATGTTTATTATTTGGTACCAATAGATTTCCTAAAGTGTTAGGTGTAAAACAAAAAAAGAATTATCAATTTTCGATTAAAATTAAAAAAGTTATAGCCAAAACAAAGTCGGCGCTAAATTTGCCGCACCCTGTATATAAAAATATAAAATTCCGGAAATGACAGAGAAACAATAGTATATGGCCTGTAATGTTTGCAATTTCCGGATCCTTTTCTCTAGTATCCAATTATTTACTTACACTTCTTTTAGGAACGTGGAGGTAAAACACTCGTTCATTGTGTTGCCGGTGTTTCACGTTCTGCTACTCTTTGCATTGTCTAGTATGTTCCTTTAATTTTATTTTTTTTCAAATTTTTTAAATTATTTTTTCAGTCTAATAAAATATGAGAGAATGTCATTAAGACAATCATATCATTATGTTAAATCCTCTAGACCAATTATTCGGCCAAATCTTGGTTTTTGGCAACAAATGGTTGATTATGAACGAAAACTTAGGGGTAGATAAAAATAAATTGAGATAAATATTTTTTTGTTTAAGGACATAGTACTGTTACAATGATTCCAGTTGAAGGTTCGCCTTTTGCCTTTCCAGATGTTTATTCTCAGGTAGAAGAGATTTTACCTTAAACTTGGAATATGTATAAAATTTTAGTTTAATTTGTTGTATGTAAGGACCTAACCCTCTATAAATTAATTGATAAAATCTTAATTTTTTAATTTATTGGGGTATAGTTTAACTTCTCTAACATGCCGCTCCTCCACACATACATAACTTTCCTTTATACGCGGCTCATTTCAATCCGAATTTATATTTTCTAATTCTTCGAAATTTATATTTCTTAATAGATTGGTAAATATTAACCCCATTTTTCGGATTAAAATAATTATTTCTGGCCCAGCTCAAAACTTATTCAGAAGGGGAGGGAGCCTTACATTTTTAATTAAAAGAAATTAAAATAATTTTAAATAAACTTTAAAGGATCTACGTAAACATATTTTAACCAATCCTGGTCCACCTCAACACGATTCAACATTAATTGCTTTACAAAAACGTTTAAGAGAGCGTGAACAACAAAGAGAAAATAGTAATGCTGCTGCAGCTGCTAGGGCAACTTTAATACCTATCCAATTAGTTAATACTACATCTAATGGAAATTCATCTTCTTTAGCTTCTCGTTTAAGGTAGATTTTTGGACACTTGATAGGATTCCCCCTTACTTACCCAACCCCTCCCCCAAATATTTTTCAATAAAATTTCCAATTATTTTCAAGTTCTTCAACAAACCAACGAAGAAATAACGGATTAGATTCTTCTCTTCGTCATCGACATTCTTCCTCTGCTTTACCTAGTCGTTCTACTCAAAATAATGTCCAACAAAATTCTTCAATTAATTCAACCTTTCCTTGGCGTGTTTCTTCACTTTTGTCACCAGCCCCAGGGAGGCGTTCTGCTGCCGGTTTCTCTAATGGAAGGGGAGAAACTGGGCTTTTTGGTATGCCATCGCTTTTTCAACAACAGCAACAACAAAGTCTTTTCCCGGCTTTTTAAATATTTTTTATTGAAGTAATGAATGGAGAAGAACAAAATTAATTTTTTTGATAATTAAAGGGGGTGGATATAAAAAACAATTAATTGGATTTTAGAGTCGTTTGGGTGGAAAAAACCAATTATTTTATCAAAGATTGAGTCGACTTCTGTTATAACTCTGAATGGATTATGTCCCCACTTCCACCACTCCCATTATCTTCTACATTTTATCGGGAATGGGGAAAATATAAAAATAATATTGCTGTTTTATTTTTCAGGGGAGGTTAATAACGAAAGTCAATTCAGTCTTATAAAAAACCAATTAATTTTCCAATAATTACCCAATTAATTGCTCCTAATATTTTTATTTTGTTGTGAGCAACGAGCATAATCCTTTTTAATGTTCCTTATTTTTAAAAAGAAAAATCCCGAAAAATTGCCACGATTTATTAAAATATATCCGGTTATTATCAACAAGCATACTATATACCCAAAATAAAGGCAGTCATTATTATTTTTTTTTAATTTTTACTTCAGAGATTTCGGATTGTTTCTAAAACTAGAAATAATATTTTTATTTTAGTCGGTTTTTTGGATTCTAAAAGGATGGGAATGATTTAAATCCGGGAAAAGATTTTTTGCTTTAAAACGTTAATGGCTGTCTTTATTCATAAACACTTCCTATTTTATTTCTTCCTTCCATCCCCTCTTATTTTAAAGTTAGAACATTTTATCCCTTTTAAATCCCTTAATCTGTTAATTTTAAAGAAGTGATGAATTTTTAGAGAAGAAACTTTTTCTGCCTTGTTTTTACCTCCAAGATTAGGACTTCAATTTAATGTTGTTTAAAATTTGGTTGAGAGAGAAATACCCCTCATTATAAAGAGTATGATTTTCTGGACTAAAGGGGGTATCTAAAAATGAATTTTGGATGATATATAGGCCTTCTTATCCAAGAAGTACTAATCTGAATTAAAACCCTTAAATCCGTCACTTCTTCATTTAACATTTTTCTCCCCTCTTATTTTCCCAATCTAAATATTTTTTAATTCTTCGGGTATGCGAACAATGCACCGATGTGTTTATTTTTTCTTTTTGGATCTCCAATCCCATAATATTGTGTATCCTACAGAGAAAATTTTTTAAATGCTGTTCTTTTAATTTTTTGGTACAAAATTTTTGAATAAAAATCTGGCAAAATTTGAATTTTTTATTAAGAAATAGTTTTCTAGTTTAGTGTCTTTCTATCCCCAAAATAATACAAATTTCTTCATGTGTGTATATCTACCTAAAAACATAACGCAGGCCGTGACATCATTTTAAACTAATCAAATTCTGTGCACTTCAGTAAGTTTCAATTAAGCTCGTTGAAATTGTTAGACCCATAGGCATGGGCCATAGTCTCCGGGATTCAAAAATGTAGAACGAAGTGTAATCTCTAGCAGGAGTGTATTCCTTAATTGATTAAAAAGGATCTAAACGATAGTATGTATGTATTCGCTTATTCGAGAATAAATTTTATTAGACAATTAGTTTACAAATCAAAATAAAAATATAAACAATATTTAATTGAAATAGTTATACATAGGTATATATAAATATATGTGGCAGCAAATATTAAATATATGTGTATATAGTTGCTGATATAGTTTACATAATTAAAAGTCAACATTAATATGTATTTTTAGTAAATAAAATACAAAAACACAAAAATGGCTGTGATATTAAAAACAAATAAAAATTTGAAAACAAAGTTGATTGGTGTTTCTTATTTTTTTTATCAACGAAAGGAAACTTTTGATCTTACAAACAATTACTTTGCAATTATATGTAGTTGTTTAACGTCGAGGAAAAACATTCGAAAAATACTACATTCATAATCTTAGAATTAGGGTTGCTCACGACCGGTTTTAAAACTGAAAATTTTTATATTTTCTGCCAAAAATTAACCGTTTTTACAAAATTTAAAAAACCGAAAACTTCTGAAAACGGGTGATTTTATTAAAAATTCCCCCAAAATAAAACCGGTATTTGTCTAAAACTCAAAACCGAATTTTAAAATTTAAAGAGAATTTAAAGTTTACATTTGGATTAGTTTTAATTTAATTGGATTAACCGAAAACCGGAGGTACCGGTTAATAACCGGTCGTGAGCAACCCTACTTGAAATCTCCCATTTGAAATATAAATTGTTTTTTTTTATTTTATCAACTTTGTTTAGATCATTTGTCAAAAAAATTTAAAAGGCGCGTCAAAATTATCAAATAAAAATCAATTCCCCCAAAAAATAAATTTATTTTCAACTCAAAACTTCCAATTTAATTCCCCTATCATCCACTATAGTTGTATTTGTAGTCATTGGTTGTGGCTGTAAAATTAAATTACTTCCAACTGCTCGTAATGTATTGGCGTTTAAATTATTAGCATTTGTTGTTGTTGTATTGTTGGAGGATGTAGTATTAGATGCTGCTGTTGTTGGTCTTTGACTTACACCAATATGTGTACGTACATGTTTTGTTAAATGATCAGAACGCATAAAACGTTTGCCTAAATTTTTTAAAATTAAATTAAATATTTAAAATTCAAAATACTCAAAAATGTAGCGGTCAGTTGTTTTTTTTGTTTAGATTAAATAATTTAACAAATTAAAAATAAAACTCACTACACTGTGGACAAGTAAAACGTTTTTCGCCTGTATGAGTTCGACGATGTCTCTGTAACTCATCGCTGCGAGTAAATCGGCGTGGACATGCTGGCCAATCTAAGAACACAAAATTTGATTTAAAATTAAATTTTAGATATCAAATCATCAATTAATTTCCCAATATATTCATTCCCAAAAAATATTTTATATTTAAACAAACCGCAAGCAAAAGGTTTATTTCCTTCATGTCCCCTCAAATGTGCACGTAAATGAGATGTTTTTCCATAAGTTTTATTACAAATATGGCAAATATGTTGTCTTCCCTTTTCTAGTCCACCTTTTATTCCATTTACACAATTTGGACAACTACAAGCAATTCTTTTTGAGCCCCCAATATTTGTTATAGGCAATTGGGTTGCTGCTTCCAACGGTTGTTGCTTAACATCAGTTTTAACTGGAAATTTTCCAATTCTTATTTAATAAAAAAATTTTTAAAAAACCAATTTTTGAAGCAGCATTAGCACCTTGCATAGTTTTTTGAGGCGTTTTAACGTTCGAACTTCCACCACTATCATTTGTTATAATCCATTTTTGTGGATCATTTGGGTCTTGTTGGAAAGATAAATGTCCTTTAAAAAAATTATTTTAGAAAAAGAAATATTTAAAAAACCCAAAGTAATTATTTGTTGAGACTTTGAAACCGGAGTTACTTGCTGTTGAGTTGATTGGGGCTGTTGTACTTGTTGTTGGGTCTGTTGTGGCTCTGTTTTGACTGGTGTCTTTTTAGGTTCTCGCTTCTGTAAAATGAAAATTTTGGTAGTTAAAAAATATTTTTGGAAGTAATATTTTCAAAGAATTTTTTAGAAAATTTTGCCCAGACTAATTTTATGTTCGTTAAGAAAAATATAAGAGAAACTTTCGAATAAATTTATTGATCAAAAAAACCTTAGTCTGTGCTGGCACTTTACGTGCTGAAGTTGGAATTGTTTGTGTAGGAAGACCAGTCTGTGTAGTCATACTAGCACTATTACTGACTTGGTTGGTTGTGGTGGTAGTAGGAGTAGAAGAGGTAACAACACCACCAGACATAAATTTACTTGGATCAATTGGTTGAAATTGAATTGTCTAAAAAATAAAATTTTAAAATTGAAAAGGATTTATGACACAAAATTCAGAATTGAACTCAAAAAATCCTCAGAGCCTTAAAAATCAACTTTAAAAAAACCTGCACAGGTTGTTGTTGTTGTTGTTGAGATGATAATAATAAAGGCTGCCCATTACTTTGATTATTGTTATTTTGGATTGTTTGACCTGCCACTTGGAATAATAATTGAGGTTGTTTCCCAGTAGAATTTATTTGTTGAGTTGAAGTACACGGTTGTGCAGTAATAAGTTGAGTAATAGGAATAAGTTGAAACTGAAAAATTAAATTTTTAACAAATCAAATAAAAGAAAATTTCCAAAAATTATTTTTCCCTATTTAATTCTCAATTTGAAATATTTAAAAACAATTTTTTTTCTTAAAAACCTGTTGTTGTCCACCATTTCCTTTTGCTGGAGTAGCTGCTGCTAAAAGAACAAATTGACCACCAAGTGCTGCTGTTGATTGGAATGGAATTGCTGTTGTAGCGACAGGAGGTGAAGTTGTTGGGGTACTTAAATATAAAATAGGTAAATGGAATGAAGCCAAAATGTTTAAAAATAAATTTTTAATGTATTAAATGGATAATCTAAAAAACATTCCCGTTGGCGGAATTCTTTTACACAACGAGACTAGTCACTACATAAAATTTTAAAATGAACAATAAATAAAACCTAAAAAATTTTAATCAAAAATTTTAACCTATTTGTATTATTACTGCCAACAGTTGAACGTGTTACATTTTGTTGTTGTAAAGTCTGTTGAGGTTGTTGTAAAAAAATTATTTGAGGGTTTGGACGTGTTATTGTTGAAGTTTGTATTTCTCCAGAATTAGAAACTCCAACAGAAGAACCACCAGCATTACTAACTTCGTTATTGTTAACTAATTGAGAAGGAACAGATGTCGGAACAAGCAACTAAATTTTGAAAAAAAAATTATAAATTTTGTAGACAAAATGCTTGTAAAACCATTGCCTAACTATAAATAACGAGACATGACAAATTTTAGAGGCATAATTTTTAATTTTTCAATTTCAGTTTTTATTAGACTCAAAAATTTTATTTAAAAATTAATCAAAATGGTTCCAAAATTATTTAAGGAAAAGAGAAATTTAAAAGATTCTAAACAAAAAAAAATTTCTTAGTTTTTTTTAAAATTATTTTCAATATTCGGCATAAATTTTGAAAAGTTTGAAAAGATAATGGCTAGGGTTTACCTTATCGACACACCTAAACTCATGTTTTTCTTGTCTAAAAAGATGTGGGAAGATAAAATATCAGTATAAAAGTACTCAAAATGGTTTACTTTTGCATTTTCCCCAAATTTTCAGACCCCTGAAAATCCGGGAACCATAGGGGGGACCAAGCTGATTTTTGGGGTCAAAAATTCGATTATACAAATGATACCTCATTCGAAAGAGCTCGTCGAGCTGAGTCGATCGAGACCAAAATCAACGAAATCCGACTTGATTTGACAAAGTTATGACCGTCTGTTTTGACCACTCCCATAAGGTCTTCGCGGAAAAAAGTTTTTGCCGCTGCGGAGGAAGCCGGGCATGTCGAGCGGAACGACGGCCGCCGCTTCGCTACGGTCGCCGCGAGCGAAGCGAGCACGACCGCAGCGAAGCACGGCCATCGTGTAGCGAAGACCATGCCCGCACAGCAACTTAAAATAGGCAAAGGCTGCAACCAGATCTTTAGAGTCTTAGTTAGAGTCTTAGCCCGTTTTGAAGCGAAGGCATGTATCTCGGTCCATTGTCATTTCTATGACTTCATAGTGGTACCATTCGACTCAGCTCGACGAGCCGAATCGAATGATATATAAATTGAAGACTTTGGAACTGGATACTGGCTAAAATAATTCTAAAAGCAGTTAATACAAAATGGATGATTATAAAGCGAAATACTGGTTTATTTGAGGGGTTATTTTTTTAAAAGTATCTTTAGGGTATTATCTTTGTTTTTGCCAACCAGAATTTTAAAGATCCAACGTTTTGTCGAGAAAAAGCTTCTCAAAGTTGGCAGCTCAAAAATGACGATATCCTTATAAAAATAGCACGCGAAAAAAATAGAGTAAAAAGAAAAGGAGAAAAATTCAGTATGCACTGAAACGGCTCTTGGTTGCAGGTTAAGTTGCTGTGTGCCCGGCCTACCCTCCGTAGCAGCACAAAAACAGTTTTTCCAGCGAAGATTCTGTTGGTCATAACTTTGTCAAAAATCATCCAATCGAGCTGATTTTGATGTCATTCAACTCAGCTCGACGAGCTCTTTCGAATGAGGTATCATTTGTATAATCGAATTTTTGACCCCAAAAATCAGCTTGGTCCCCCCTATGGTTCCCGGATTTTCAGGGGTCTGAAAATCCGGGAAAAATGGCAAAGTAGACCGTTTTGAGCACTTTTATATTGATATTTTATCTCCTCACATGTTTTTAGACTAGAAAAACATGTTTTTGGTTGTGTTGATAAGGTAAACCCTTACCAAGATAATCCCCCAAACCACCAAATTTTTAAAAATAAAAACCTGAACCATTTGTTGCTGAATTTTTCTTTGTGATGTCCCTGGTGTTTGTTGCTGCTGCTGTTGATTTGTTGCAGCTCCAACCATAATATTTCCACCAAAAGAGGCAAAATTTGAAGTATTTGTTGGAGAAATAACATTATTGGAAGAATTTGTAGATGCTGTGTTTGAGGTAGTAAATGAAATTGAAGGCTGTTTTGAATTAAAAGAAGAAAATAATGAAGATTGGGGAATTGCTTGAAAAGTCTGTTGTTGTTGTTGTTGGTTTTGAATAATATTTTGTTGATGATTTTGGACATTGCTTTGATTATTTGTTGATTTTACTATTTTAGGCTTTGGTGGCATTCTTAAATAATTATAAAATTATTTGAATTTGAAATAAAAAACAAAAAATAAAATTCTAATAATTAAGTAGTTAATTAAAGAGGATGTTCAACACGAGATTCGAACCATGGCCTTTTTGGAAGAAAACCTACGCGTTTCCCACTAAACTAATTATGCATATAGGTGAATTTTTTAATGGTATGTTAAAGTCGCTTTTTAATTTGAAAAGAAGAGACTCAAAAATACACGAAAAGAAAAAATGTTAAAAGAAAAGGGAGGAGCGAAACGTTTAAGTCTTGACTGAAATTTTTTTAAAAGAAATGTACAAAATTTAAATAGAGGGACAAAACAATGCAGGAATAATTTGTTTGTCCACAGCTATTTTATTACAAAATTAGGTCTTTGTCTTGTTTTTGCTTGCAAATAAGGATTAGATAGAGATTAGGTAATTATTGGAGAGAAAAATCTTAGAAAAATCAGAAAATCTCTATACAGTTAATTCTCATAATTATGCCATAAGCCCCCTCTAATGTTATACCCCCCCCCTCCCCATCGTTTGGAAGGGGCTACAAGATAAAGCTTACATTTATCGAACAAAAAAGTAAATCCCGCCTTATTTGGACCGCCTATATAACTCCAAGTAAATAAAAGAAAACAATTTCCTTAATCTCTTGGCATACTAGAGAGGATAGATAAAACAATAAAAATATGTAACCCGCCCTGTAGGGTGTGGCTAAAAAATGTTCAGAGAAATTTAAGTATATAAAGCCAAAAGAATCGCTCAAATTCCCAGTTTAAATTTTCCCTTATAAAGTTAAAAATCACAACAACAACTATAAAAGGAATTTGTGCACACAAACATTATCAGAATCAGTCTTACAAAACGTAAAAACAGGAATGGGCGGAGGAGAAACAAGGCGGGAAATAGTATAATTAGAAAAACAGGTGAAATGCTTCTTAGAGCAATTCTAGAAGAAATTTGTGTAATGCACATAAAATTAGAAAGAGAGAGAAAGAGAGAAATAAGAGCATTGATTGGTTGGTTTTACTGCCTCTATTTTTGCCCAGTTTTGAGTCATAATGGGAGGGCCGTTGACGCCTAGGGCGTAGCTTTTTTGGTGAAGATGGGGCGTTGCTGTTGAAGTATATACCCGCCCTCATAAATTTATTCAACAATTAGAGAAAGAGAAAGAAAAATTTATTTAGAGATTAAATGGAAATGAGAGAGAAAAATGTAAAAGGAGAGCAATAAATCTTGAATAAATCCTCAGAGTTGAGAGAAAAAATATAGAAAGGCGGGGATCTTGATTAAACGGATAAAATGGCAAGATGAACAATAATCACCAGAATGGTCAAAATACAAAACGGTCAAAAGAACAAAATATGTCAAAATGGTCAAGGACAGAAACGATGTCACATGGAAAAAAATAATTGAAAGTTAAGTTAGTGAGATTTAACAGAATGTATGTAGAATGTATGATCCGCCGACAAGAATGACACTTGATGTGCCAAAAACTAGTTCAAAAAGTAAAAACCCAAATTTAAAAAAATTTTAAATTAAAAATTTCAAGATGCAATATTTAATATTATAAACTTTTTATCAAAACTTTAATAATTAATTTCCGTTTTACAGCCCAAAAGTAGAAAAATTATAAAGGAATGGAGAGAGAATATATAGGCGGAGTGATTGCTCACAAGGTCGGACCGCCTTAATCGATGGGTGTGTAAAAATTGGAAGGGCAGTTCTTCTTCCTCCCACCTTCTCTCTCTCTCTCTCTTTTTCTTCCTAACTTTTCAAGAGGACCTGAATTTGTGGTTAAATATGTTTGGTATCTTTTTGTGTTATTGCGAGGATAGGAATGATATAATGAATAGTAAAGTTATTCTGACAAGTCATGGAGGAGGAGATGGAGGGGGGGTCTAATAATAAATTTTTTGGTGGGAGGAGAAAGAAGAAAAAAAATTAATACTTAATTTTTGATAGGACTTACTTTTTATTGAAGGTAAGTAGGAAGCAAATGGAAATGATTATCATAAAACATTCCCTCAGGAGAATTCCTGACTTGAATAATTTAATATTTTAGGGTCACTAATTTTCTCGTTATTGTCAATTCGTCCATTTTTACTTTTAAGCTTTTTGTCTGTTTGTCATTTGTCCATTTTTATCTTTTGGCTTTTTGTCTTTTCTCACTCCTATTGGCAATTTGTCCATTTTTATTTTTTGGCTTTTTGTCGTTTCTCACTCCTATTGGCAATTTGTCCATTTTCATCTTTTGGCTTTTTGTCGTAGCTCACTCCTATTGGCAATTTGTCCATTTTAGCTTTAATTTATTTTTTTAATTCTCGTAAATATTTTTTAAAGGAAAGGAAAATGTTTCGTAAATTAAAATCTAAAACTGGTGATAATTCTGCGAGAAATATTAGACAAAGAATTGAGGAAGAAGGAGATGCTCAGATTATTTCTGCTAAACGAACTCTTCCAGACGATAGCCAAACTGTTAATGTAGACAACGAAGCTACTATGCAAACAACTGGACCAAAACATACTGGACTTAGTTTTAACGAAGGAGAAGGTTTAATTCTTTAAATTTTAATAATTTTATGATTTTCTTTTGTTTAAATATTTTTTTAATTTTCAAGAAATATCCCAACTGTAATATACAGATTAAATATTTTTTCAAACTTTTAGGTGATGATTTAGTTGGATTTAAGTTAAAAAAGCACGGAACTCACGGACACCGCTCAGTTGTTGAAGCAAATGAGAGAACGTTAAGGAAACAGAAAATGCTAACAGCTAGAGCAGAACGAATAAAAATTGCAGCTGCTGATATCACAATAAAAAGAGAAGATGGAATTGATGAGGAGGCGATGACAAGACAAAATACGAAAAGCCCGGACGAAACGGTTTTTGTTTAATTAAAATGAGTAGGGTTTTTAAACTAGGATGGTTATTTTTGTCGTGAATTTGTGCTTTCGATATTTTTGGGTCTTACCATTGGGTATCACATGTCCAGATTTGCTTGCCTTTTTATTATTTCTTAATATATTATTTTTATAATTTTTCAGACTGCTTCTGAAGAAATTATTAGTGTAAATTCAATGGAAGATGTTCGAGAAGCATTCCCAACTTCATTCGATGGAATTCCTGATGCTAAAGCAGTCTATGAGGCAAGAAAGAAGAGAGAGATTCTTAGACAGGTTTTGATTCTTTTTTTTTATTTTTAATAAAAAATATTTAGAAGGGCACTGGAGGTAATACTGGAGAATTTATTCCTTTGGATGACACTGTTCGACTTAAGGCGAGCGGACAATCGGGTGAACGGTCTCGTTTGGTACGTGAGGATGAAAATGATATGTCTGATGAAGAAGAAGGCGGGAGGTAAGTAAATTATTTGTTTCTTTAAAAAAATTCGTTTTTTTAGTTTTTATTCTGCCAAAAAACTGCTTCAAACAGAAGAAGATGCTCGGAGAGAAGAACAAGCCAATTTTTTGTCTTTGGAACAGGGTAGTAGTGATGAAGATGGAATACCAATAAGAAATGGAAATAGGCGGAGAAAAAATTCGAAAAAGACTAAAAAGGACGTTAATGAAGAGATTTCTGATGCTGAAAATGAAGATGATGAATTACAACGTTGGGAAACGGAACAAATAATGAAGGGAGTTAGTTCAAATAAGGTTTGGATATTTCATAAAAATTTTGTCAAAAAATTCTACAACTCTTCTTTAGGTAATGCAAATGAGAAATGAGTTGGCGGCAACAAATTTGTATTATCCTGAATATTCAAATTGTCTTGAAAAAGAGGGGGAAGGCGAAGCTGAAATGGATATTGAAGTTGATTTGGAAATATTGGATGTTCAACAACAGAACGTAAAAATCTCGCCTACTATTCCAAAACCTGATAATTCAACAATTCCAGGTTTTTTATAAAATTTTTGAGATAAGTTCAATGATTTGTTACCTCTTCTAGCTAACATAAGAAAAATATATTTTTTAGAGTTGGCAAATGGCACAAAATCAAAGGTTTCCCTTGAACAACTTTTAAATGGGTTACAACAACGTCTTGATGAAAGGAAAGAGAATAACAGTACAATGGAATCTGAATTGAAACGAACACAAGGGCAAATTGCTGAAAACACAGATTCAATCCATAAGGTTTTTCTAAAATTTTGTCTGTAAATAGGCCATATTTACGCAGTCATTTTAACATTACCTGATTCCTTTGTTCATAACCTAATAGGGAAAGATATGGTCTGATTTTCATATTCGGATTTAGATTAGCTTTTTTCATAGCAAATTACTAATGTAAAATACAAAATCTGATTTTTGAAATTTAAATAAAAATTTGGAAAGCATTGGTTCATTTTTCAAATAATTTTTCTTATTTTAGCTTGAACATTATATCCCTCAATTAGAACATAAATTTAAAATGTTGCAAGATGTACGTATTTACACGCGTGATTTGCTTGATTGTTTGAATGAGAAATTTTTAAACATAAATGCATTGGAAGAGCGAGTAATGGAAATGTGGAAACAAAGAACAGAAAGATTAATAAAAAGAAGACGACAAGATGTCCAGGTTTTTTTTACAAATTTTTTAACTAAAATTTTGGTTTAAAAAGGATCAATATGAGCGTTGTGCGGCAAATGCAGCTGGTCGGTCTTTCATAATTCCCAATCCTGAGTTTGCACAAAGAGAAACTGAACGCGAAGCTAGAAGGTTGTTTATAGGGTTAAAATATTTTTTATAAGTCAATGAGGCACAGATGAAAAAAAAAAGAAAAGAATTTTCTATTAGATTTGGTTAAATTTATAAAAATAGCTTTAATTAAAATAATTCCAATTGTGAATTTGTCACTTTTTGTCTGTCTTGAACTCTAACTTAAAAAACTAATTGCCCATAATTATCTGTTTCATTTATTATTTAAAGGAATCGTCGACGAATTAAAAGAGAAAATCAACGAATGAGCCAGAATTTACCAACATCTGTGCAGGCAATGCCATCAGGCAGCAACATCCATTTCGACGGCTTAAGTAGTGACGATGAAGAAACACAAAGCCAACACGTTTTTTATGCAGAAACCCAAAGTATTTTTTCATATATTCTAAACTTTCAAGTGTTTTTTTCTTTAGGTTCTGTAGAGCAAAGTGCAAATGATTTATTTTTTGATACCGAAGAAGATTTTTGTCAAGTACAAAATATTATTTCCCGAATATTAAAATGGTTGGCAATAGATGAGGATTCTTTTGGGAAGGCTTATGTTTCTTTATGTTTGCCAAAATTGCTTGGACCTTTTATTCGTTTACAAATGCTCAATTGGCGTCCATTAAAGGTTTTAAAAGATTTCGATTTTAGCAACAGGTTCTCCCTTCAAATTCCATATTTTACTAAAGGGCAGTCCTTCCCAATTTTAATTAACTGGACTGTGTTGTTCTCGAAGGATTGCATTAATCCAAATTTAAAATAATATAGGATTTTCTTTTTCTTCCTTTTCAGAATGATTCATTGCCTTTACATTCCTTTCCTTGGTATAAACAATTATTGATGGCAGGATTGGACAATTCTGGCTTGGAAAATATAGAACATTCTGTTTTAGTTCAATTAATTCCTAATGTTGTGGAGAAAGTTATTTTTCCAAAAATTGCAAGTATAAATATATTATTTATTATCCACCTCCAAATAAGTTCTTTGCGGAATTAATTAAATTTTAATTAATTTCCGGACTAATTAAACTTGCGGATAAAAATTGCGGACATTGCCTGCAGAGCAGAAAAAGTCTGAGTGACTGAAATAATTTTTTTTTCTTTTTTTAGGAATTATCCGTGAACAGTGGGATCCTTTGTCTCTAAATGAATCCACCAACTTGGGGACCTTCTTGCGATCACTCATCGATGATTATCCAATAACCACTACTAAATCAAAAAGAATGAATGAGGTTTTTTAAAATTACTTTTAAAAATTAAAATTTTCTTAAATTTAAAGATTCTCGATTTGCTGCACTCAAAATTTCGAGATGTGCTGGAAAATGATACTTTTGTACCTCTATACAGCAAAGAGTTTAGTTTTTTGAAGTTTGGTTTAATAATTTTCAATTTTTAGTGCCATTGAAGCAGTAGAGACAGGTTGTGCAGAATTTATGGACAGACAGTTTTGGAAATCTATAAAGGTGGGGAAACTTAAATTTACATATTCCTAAAAGTTTAAAATTGTCAAGTTTATTTATTTTATATCTGTCATATTTTATTTTAATCTGCTTTTATTTTGAGATCATTTAAAAAATTAAAAATAATTAAAAATTAAAGATAATTCGCTCAATTCTTTGTTTTCGTGGAATTCTTTCTGATCTTTTTCTTGAAGAATTAGTAATGGAAGGACTTGTCAATCGATGTGTAGTTATGTCTCTTCAATTTGGCTCAATTTCAAATCCAACAATAATTCCAAAATGTTTGGCTTTGTGTTCACAAATTCCGGTAATTCTCTCAAAATTTTATTTAAAAATTATTTTTTAAAAAGGTTGATTGGTTTTCACAAAGACGACGCTCTTCCAATACTTATAGTAATTAAATTTATTTATTGAAGATTATATTTATTTGTTTTTAGGGCCATTAGAAATTTTACTTAAAAAAGTGATTGAAGTTCATCGACAAAAAGATAGGTTAGGAATTTAAATTTTTACTAAATGAAATTTTAAGAGTTATTATGAATATAGGGGGGAGAGGCTAATTACTAAAATACCTTGCGTATATTAAAGTCAAAAACTCATTCAGTTAATAAAATTAGCGATATTAAGTAGTCGAAAATTAAATCGTTGTAGGTCTAGGTTTGGGAGTTGTTTAATCAAATGTTTTAGTTTTTCTCTGCAATAATTTGTCCCAACAAAATAATAAAAAATCGAAAAATATTTAACTAATAATTAAAGGAAATTTGCTGAACAAATACAAAATTTCGTTAATTTGTTATCTGCTTCAATAATCAAAACAGAGAATACAGAAGAGGATGAAGAAGATGATGAATAGTTTAAAAAATGAAAACTAGAAACCGGTCTCTCTCACCTGTATATTTTTTTGTTATATTTTTAAATTGTCTATTAACAAAAAAATCAATAATAAGAAATATTAAAAAGGAGCTATTTTCTAACAAATTAAAAATCAAATTTTAAAACAAAAATTTTATTTTACAGCATTAAAATTTCGACAATATATACTAACATATTCCATATTCAAATAATAAATACTATTATATAATTTCCTCTATATTTCAATCTCTTTTTCCTCACAATCCTCCTGTCAATCGCTTCATTCCAATAAATCCAAAGGCTAGCAAGATACCAAAACCAATTCCAACAACCACATTCTCTGCCACATTCCTTAAATTGTTAAATAAATATTAAAATGAAGCAAAGATTTACCCAATACTGAGTTCTGTATTATTGCAACAATTTCCCGAGTTTTTGAAATAATTCTGAAATTAAAAATTTTTGAAAAAATCAATTTAAAACATGTTAACCTCACTATAAGGTCAATCCCGGGATGGAGGATCCTAGAGGCATCTTCCCCTCTCAGTGGCCTACCAAATTTTTAAAATTTTTCTTGTCGAGGTATATGTAATATCTCGTATTGTGTATAACTTATAGTGAGGTCTGACAGTATTCCAACTCACTCTTTCAATCACGAGCTCCGCGTTTGTTTCAATAGTAAATGTGCATTCACCGCTAAGTTCCCTAAGTAAATTAACAACATCCTCATTTGTCATTCCATCCAATTTCTGGCCATTTACCTTAAAAATAAGGGAAAATTATTACTCTTAAGAAACTATTCACAGCTAAAATCCGATCGCCCTCAGAGATTCCTTCAATGTCTTCTCTTCGTATACGAGAAATGAAAATTCCAGAATGGCCAGGCAAATACTGCTTATCCACACCACCAACAATGTTGATACCGAAGCCTAAAATTTAAAATTGAATTTAAAAACAGCCTTTTAAATTTACCTTGTTCGTCATCTTTAAGTATGACGACATCTTTAATCTGACCGATACTTTCAAGTTGTTCAGAACAATCAGAATTTTCAGATTGATGCACCATTTGAAGAATACTAAATATAATCTGATTTTATAATTTAGAAGTGTCATTTGTATTTCAACAGATAAACGGGCTTTTATAGTAAAATGGTTTGTGGGCGAGTGACTAGGAGTGACGGAATTTTAAAGTAAGGCTTTGCAACAAGGGTATGCCGAAACAGATTTTAAAAAGCGAGTTCAAGGAATGAAAAGGAACTTATATGTTCGATACAACAACGCTTATTTTTGTCTCATTTAGATCACTCGGTGAGATTTTTCGGAACAACTGGAGTTTCACTACTTCTGCCGTACATTCCGAATTTTTCTCCAAGAACGAGTATCCCTTATTACGGCTTTGCGATTTTCAGTAGTCTTCTGTATAACTTGCTAATATTTTGATGTTATTAAACTCAGATCACCGAACCATTTTAACATTAATATTAATTTTTTCAATAAATTATGATAAAAAATCAAAATTTAATTAATACAAGAAACCAGATTTACTCCTAAATTTAAAAAAAGGCTCAAAAACCAACAAAAAAAGAGAAAGAAAATATAAAAAAACTTTTAAATAACAAAATTTAATTTAAATAAATTTATTTTTTCTTTGCAGCAGTCAAACCAGCACCAGCATTAAATTTAAAAAATATAACATCCCCATCTTCAACTACATAATTCCTTCCTTGTTGTCTATATTTACCAGCTCCTTTAACTGCATTTTCATTTAATAATTCCATCAAATCTGCAATCTTCATTACTTCTGCCATAATAAAACCTTTCTCAAAATCCTAAAAAATTTTTAAATAATAATCTTTTTTCCGTTTACAATTTTTTTGAACGATTCCCTCATCTCAATTAGTACGCGGATTTCTTTTCTAAAAAGCCTACAGCCAAGATTATTTTATAAAAAATAATCTGAGCTGGGGGTTCCAACTTTAATTAACGAAGTTAACTTTCCATTTTTCAAATTAATAAATTAAAAACCGTATGAATTCTTCCAGCAGCTTGAGGCGCTTTTGTTCCTTTTTGGATTGTCCAAGCACGAACTTCATCCTTCCCAGCACTTTAAAAAATCTGTTTTTTAAAATTAAATTAAAAAACAAACGTAAAGAAATATTCCAAACACAAAGCTTTATAACCAGTTTTAATTATTTTATCTAAAGCACTACTAACACCAGTTTGACTAAAATATTCTGTTCTTGCTGCAGGGTCCATTTCAATAGCTTTGAGTTCAAAGGCACCAGAAAATGGAATTAATACCTTTTTAAATATTTAAATTTTATATTTGGACAATTTTTAATATTTAACAATTTTTAAAAATGGTTAAATTGGGAAAATAATTATTAAGACAATAAAAATTAAAAACGGTTGCTAAAAGTTTTTGAGGCGTTGCTGTCGAAAATGGAAACTTATTCCATTTTTTGAAGAAAATTGAATGGGATTGACTTCATAAAAAAATTTTTTATAAAAATTCTCTCAAAAATGTTTTTATTTTTGAGAGAAAAACCAAAAAAACACCTCTTCATAGTTAGTAAAACTTTCAGTTACACGCTTACACGTTACTCAAAGTTTTAAACTCTACAATAAACTCCAAAAAAATCATCTTCGTATATTCTATATAAAAAACAAACCCCTCCAGGATCATTAGAATCAATCCAAGATTTAATTTTTGGAAGCCATTTATTTTTCTTTTTAATATAATCTGTTTCAGATAAATTAACCAAATAGACAATTGGTTTTGCAGTTAAAAATAAATGTTTATTTAAAATTTCAATTTCTTTTTCGTTCCATTCGTGTTGTCGAACAAATTTTGTTGCCAATAATTCTTTTACTTTAATTAAAGTATCATATTCTAATTTTTTTGTTTTGTCTCCTGCTCGAATTGCTAATTTCTCTACTTTATCTAATGCTGGCTGTAAATATGCCAAATCTTTTAGTCGAAGTTCTGAACTTATTATTTCTAAATCGCGAATTGGGTCAACCTCTCCTGAAAAATAAAAAATTTTTTAAAAAGTATCGAAAATAAATTTAAAAAAAAAGATTTTAAACTCAAAAGTAATTGTTTCCCATCTTCTACGGAACTTTCGTCTCTAAATATAAACATTATGGTTTAATAACTGTAACTATTGTCAAAGGTTTTTAATTATTAAACATTTAACAACAATTTTTTAATTATAGGAAGAAAGTCAACGGATACATTAAGTAATAAACATTTAAATTAAAAATCCAAAACCCTTCATCCCCGGAAACAAAAATTAAAATAAAACCTTCAACATGAGTAACTTCACTATCTTCAAATGCCCTACACAAATGAAAGAGAGCGTCACATGCACCAACATGCGAAAGAAAAGCATTTCCAAGACCTTGACCTTCGGAAGCACCTAAAATTGATTTTAAAAGAATTTTCTGAAGGACAAAAAAACCTTTAACAAGCCCAGCAATATCCACAACATTTAAAAAAGCAGGCACTCTACTTAAAGGCTTATAATGTTCTACCAACCAATCAAATCTAACATCATCAATAGGTACTCTACTTTCATTCGGGTCAATCGTACAAAATGGATAATTCTCTGCCTGAGCTTCTGATTTTGTTAAAACATTAAAAAAGGTAGATTTCCCAACATTCGGTAAGCCAAGAATTCCCATCTTTAAGTTTTAAAAATTACAATAAGACGCCGAGTAGGTAAAATTTGACGATAAATTAGGAACCATAATTTAAATGCAACCACCAATGAAAGTTATAAAAATTACTAAAAACGAGAAGGACCCACCAATTGATGTCACCCAACTTTTTATAATAAAAATAATTAGAAATACCCTTAAATTCGTTGACAGTCTACCAAGAATTGGTCCATGTTGATGCTCTTCTTGTTTTTTAGGGGGCATTCTTGAATAAATTTATTTAATTCTTGCTTTAATAAAGGCAAACATATACAAAATATTAAATTGAAGAATGGTTTAGAACATGCATCGCTTGAGAATATAATCAAATAAACGTGTTTGATTCTCAGAATTCTTGATAGACTAACAAAAATTTATGCCAATAAGGATGGAGACAATCCCAAAATTAAAGCCCAAAGGTTCCAAGCTAGAGTTCGGCACGATTCTGTAATACTGATACTGTACAGAACAGCACGAACAAATTCTGAGACTTCAAGTATTATCAGGACCGAAGCAGAAAAAACCCCAAAATGTCACAGAACCCTAAGAAGAATCAAAAAATCAAATAAATACACTTATAGGGGCGCATACACTCGGATTCATGTCCTAAACCAGAGCCGAGAAAATTTATAGAACAAATTTAAAATAAAAAAAAATTCCAAGTGTTTTCATCACATATTTAATCCCAAAAAAGAGAAATTTTTTGATCATAAATAAAACAAAAAAATAAAGAGAAAAAGACAACCAAAATATTATAAGAGTTCTTCTTTTAGAACATCTTCCAAAATTTGTTTTCAACAGATTCTTTCCATCTTTAATTTCAACTTAAGCTCTTTCTTCACTTAGAATCTTGGAGGCCCATCCAGCATATTATAACCAGGCTGCATTGCTCCCATTCCAGGACCACCAATACCACGAACAGCCCCTTGAAGTCCTAAAAAATTTTTTCATTTTTTCAAATAACTTTAAACTTTTCATAAAAAACTTTGAACATTATTTTGTCAAAAGAAAATTACCATGCGGCACCGACGGCATTCCAGGCCCTGGAGGAATCATTCCACCACCCATAGGCGGAACACCACGTCCAGCACTCTTCGCCTGTCCAGCCCCTCCAAGTCCTCCAGCACGAGGCATCTGAACTCCAGAATCATCACGCGCGGGCGGACCCTCAACCGAGATGGAAATTATTTTATCTCCTCGAAGAAGTACAAGACCAAGAATTCGCTTCTCTTCTTCATTGACCGGCTTCTTTCCACCAGTTTTTGTCCTTACGCGACGAAGTTCTTCACAATCAGACAAAATGACGTTCATATGCTTGTCAAAAGCTGAAAATTTAAACAAAAACTAAATCATCTCAGAATCCAAAAAATTATTCTAACAATAAGGCCTAGAACAGGACAGGACTGGTTCCACTCCTTGTTTCCTAACAATTTTCCTGAAGGTCCACAGATGAAACCAAAATCGGTAATTTACGATTTTTCCGATTGGGGCTCGTAAAGGTTTTCCAAAATTCCAGGATTGATTTTTAAAAATAAACTTATAAGAACCTTTAAAGTAGCCAATGAAAGTTCGATTGTCCTGCACAATTACTTTCATCTTGTAATTGATGTGTTGCATCATCTTGTTGTTCTTTGAGATCGTCTGGAAATTTTCGAGAAATCATATTAGAAATTTAATAACAAAAATCTAACCATCTTGGCGGTTTTGAGCTGTATCAGCAATTCCAAACAATAAAATTAAAAGAAAATTTAATATCTGAAAGATATTTTAAAAAATAAAAATATTAAGATGGACCCAATATTAAGACGCACAATGGACCCAAGACATTCTCGTTAATATAGTTAATCTATGTATCATATCAAAAAACTAATATAGCAGTAACTTAATGATTTAATGCGCAATAGCAAAAAGATGTAATTTTGAAAGGGCAGCTGGAATTTCTGAAAATTTTCAGAAAATAAAAGAAAATTGACCAAACAAAAAATTTGCAGAAAGTTCCAAAATGAAAAATTTTAGTAGTGAAAATATCAAAATGGAAAAAAACAAATATGTTGAATTGTCAACATTAAAAATGGGGACACGCCCTCCTTGTCGCGGGCCACCTTGTCGCGACCACCTTGTCGCAGGCCACCTTGTCGCAGGCCCACCTTGTCGCAGGCCCACCTTGTCGCAAAGGTTGAAAATTTTTTATGCTGATATGGAGGGTAGTAAAAAGGCCTTCTGGGCACGATCGGGGTTTTCTGGAGTAATTTGAATCGGTTTTACTCTGTTAAAACTCCGGTAGACTTTAACCGGATAAAAGAAAGTAATAAAAGGAAAAAAACACTCCTGGAAATCAACTAAAAAATTAAAAAAAACCTAGAAAACAAAATAGAAATTCTAAACCTTCCATATTTCCAATCGTTGTAGCCGTGGGATGAAGTACGGCACGTGGCGAGTGAAGTTTAGGCCAGCCTTGAAATAAAAACCAAAGGAAAGCCTGCGACAAAGTGGCCTGCGACAAGGTGGGCCTGCGACAAGGTGGGCCTGCGACAAGGTGGTCGCGACAAGGTGGTCGCGACAAGGTGGCCCGCGACAAGGTGGGCCGTACCCTTAAAAATGTATTTAAACTTTGCCACTTACATTTCGATAAAGTCGAATTTTGATTGGTCTAATTCTTTTAATTTTGTTTTTTAAATCCCGCTTTTGTTTTGTCTCATTACGTGCCGCAATATTGAACAATCGCGGAGCTTTGATGGTTTCCTTTAAATTAGGATTTCGAAAGATTTCAATTTAACCCCGATCTTTCCGTCTTCCACCTTTTTAAAATCGGTTTGTAATTTCCTTAGTGTTAGTCAAAAGGTCTTGAATAGTATTTATCAGTTCTGGGTTGGAAATTCCACTTTTGACATTTGATACTATCAATTTCCGACATTTTCGATTTCAGACCCCTTGGCATTTACGACCGACATTTGGTCTTACAATTAGTTTATTGTATTTAATTCGACTCGTATTTAGGAGATTAACTCTAATTTTAGGAGATAAGGAGATAATCCTTTGCTTATTTAGGAGATAAGCCTTTTCACAATTTAAGACCTGTTAGCAGTATCATCTAACAAATCTTCCGATTTTTGCTTCTCTATTTTACTTTTTTGTTTTTTTAACTTTCCCCATCTTTTCTTTCTTTAAGGGCTCTCTTTGTTGCAATTCAAAATTTTAGATTTATTTGTAGATTAGATAAAAAGGAGTAAGACCAACGACCAAAATAAGTAATAAAGGTGCCTAAATTGAGCAGAAAAAGGTTAAAGAGAAATTTGGGTAATTCCAAGGCTGGTCCCCCCCCCCTTTTTTTTTCCTTTCTATTTTTTCGATTTTTTAAACTTTTTATGATAAATTATATATCATTCGAAAGAGCTCTTCGAGCTGAGTCGAATGGTACTAGATTCATTGAAATCCGACTTAAATAAACATAGTTATGAGCATTTGTTTTAATCTCTTTCAGCATCACAAAACGCACGTCCATCGAGGATTTAGCTTCATAATCCTGTTCAGAATCTCCAAATCGAACCGATCATAGTATCATTCTACTCAGCTCGAACAGCTCTTTCGAAAGATATATTGAAAATTATATGCCAAGCAAAAAAGTTCAAAATGGTCAGGGGAACAGAAAAAGGGGGGGGGGACCAGCCTTGGAATTACCGAAATTTGTTTTGAGAGAAACGATGAAAGTTATTTTTAAATAGATTACCCTTCTCTCATTAGTTTTTTGCATCATTTTTCATCTTTTTTAGTTCAACTCTAAGGGTAGATGAGAGACCTTTACTTTTTCTAAATTCTTATTTAAGCGGAATTGCTGAGAATTATTTTTGTTTGTAGAATTTAGGTTTTAGTCTCCTAGAGGAATTGCCTATCCTTTGAAAGTTACCGAAATGCGGGAAGGAAGAAAATATTTGAGAACCTTCACATATTCAATAAACTCCCATTTTATTAATTATTTTCAAGTCTCTTTCAGTTTCATAAACGTTTTCATTTAGTTTTATTTCAAACATTCTGAAGCCATCTCTTGGAACGTAAAGATTTTAATTGTATCAGGTCCATAAAGCTCTGTTTTGAAGCAAACAATTATTTTAATTTATTTTAATTTCCTCAGCTTTTCGATCTCGTGTGTTTACCTTTCACCCCAAAATTATTCCAATTTGTTTTTAAACGTTTATTTCTTTTCTTCTTTAGTTTTATCTCTACTACATTCATTTCTTTATTTATTCAAAAATACTTCAACCAAAATGTCTTGCTTTCTTCCAAATGGTACTAAACGTCCAATTCTTGATGTTAATTCTGAATATTTGGTTTATTTATGGAATTTTCCAAATCATTTGCCAATGCAAAATATTAGAAAGTATTTTTTATTTTTAATTTTTTTTAAATATTTGCTTTATTTTATTAATCGTCTTTTTTAAGGGATGTCTTTCGTCGTTACGGCTTTGTATGTTTTTTTCAAATTTAATTTTTTTATTTTTCTAATTTTATAGGTTCGCTTTATTGAAACTTTTGAAGCTTGGAAAGACAGAAGAATTGGGCAAATTATTTTGGAATTTACTGACCAAAAAGAAATGAATGATTTTATTGAGGCTTTTGAACGTAAAGAAGTTTTAAATAATTTTGAGCCGCCGATTGAATTTATTTATCTTCAAAAGGTTTTTTAAATGTTAATTGTTTATATATTTAATAATTTTAGATGGGCAAAGAAAAATTTTTTGATTACGTCAAAGAATGGTCAGGTGTCGATTTGCTTTCTTGTCGCGGAATTCCGCCAAGTTTTGACAGGAAAAGCAGGGTAAATTTTATGTTAATAAATAAAAATTGCGAAATATTTGTTTTTTTTTTGAATTTAACACTGACAAATGAGAGTATTTAAATAGTAGGCCGCAGCTAAGGGGTTTTATTAAATCTATATATTTGATAATTTTATAAACTAACTAGCAATAAGCGAAGACTTTTTAAATTTATTTATTTTTTCTAGAATCCTTCAACTTCATTTTCTTCGCCTCGTTTTTCTTCAAATAATAATGGAATATATAAACATGTAGATGATCAAAAAACTCAAAGAAATTCTCCCAATATATTTTCTAGAGTTAGGGTAGAAAAAGAAAATGACAACAGAGTTGGTGAACATCTTCGGCAATTTGGTGGAAGAGGTTTTTAAATTTTAATTATTTTGGGAATAGGAAGAATTTTTAATTTTTTTGATTATACAAAATTTAATGAGGACTTTTCTGGTACAAGTAAATTAAAGCTACAAATATGGAAAAACTAGCACAATTAAATAGACAAAATTAGAGTAAAAAAGGCTAAAATTCCCTGTTAGAAATTTAAAAAAAATTTTTGTGTACCTCAAAACTTTGTATTTTTTAAAACTAATTTTATTTACTTTTTTTAAAGGCACTGTAGGAACTGGGTCATTTGGTGGGAAGTCATCAACAGAAAATAATACAAATAACAACAGGATTAACAACAATTCATTTGGTAGAGATGATGATAGAAATGGGTAAACTTTAAAAATTAAATTTTATTGGGCATTTATTTTCCGACAAATTTTTTAAATTGAGATGACATAGTTTAATAAAATATTTAAAAAATAGTTTTTTAATATCAAAAAATTTTCCGTGAATTAAACAATTAAAATTTATTTAGTGGTTGGAATTCTCGTGATCGTTCTTTATCCTTTGGTACTAGACAAAATGGAAGCAATAATTCAAGACTTCAATACAACAAAGGAAATGATATCGGCAATAATGGAATTAATGGGGACGATAAAATTAAAGGTTTTTTTTTGATATTTTAAATTTTTTGTAATAAATTGAAACGTCGTGGTTTTTTACTATTCTAAAATTTCGTTCTAAAATTTCTTTAAATTTAGATAACAATGCTCGTCAATTTGGTAATGCTGCTGAAGGTGGTTTTGGTTCTCGTCGTGGAACTGGTAAAAAAGGAAGAATTCCGAGGCCATATGCTTCTGAATGGGAAAATAGTGTTGTTTCTCCTCGTAATGAACAAATACAAAATTTCAAAAATCAAGACAAATTTGGAAACGAAAATTTAAATAATAATGGACGTTCTGTCTCTTCACTATCTTCTCCTTCAACTTTGATTAAAGGTTTGAAAGTTGTTTTTATATATTTTACGAAAAAGAAAGTGATTATATGTGGTTTTTTGTTGGCTGGGCAGGGTTCCCTTGGGCCTCAGAAAATTTTTTAATAGACAAATGAATCGTTTAGCTCTATTAATCAAAAAACCAATATTATAAAGTAGAAGTTTATAAAAAAATTTGAGAAGGCTTGGCAGCGTTCAAAAACAGAAAATAATTAGTGACTGGAAAGCCTTCATCAAATTAGTTTAGTATTTTCCTTGTTTTTTCTTGTTGCAAAAGTTATAATTTAATTTTAAATTACAAATACACGTTACAGATTCAAACGACGACATCCTTGAAAATTCTAACACTCAAAATGTTTGCCAATCTACCAATAATAAAAATATTAATTTGGAAGAAAATGGAAATGTTGAGGTTTAATTTTTAATATCTTGCAATATGTTTATGAAAATTTTTTAACACTTCGGTTATCACTTATTTAACAAATAAAATTTATTTAAATTTATGAACCAAAATTTTTTCGTAAATGTATAAGATTCTATGTATTACTCGATTAATTTAATCTGTTTTCCCTCCCTTTTATATGTAACCTACTAAAAGTTTATTTAAAAAAATTTTTAAGATAAATGGTAAAGACAATAAAATTAATGGAGTCAAGAATGATGGAGGAAAATTCAAAAATAAAGAGAAAACCAACCAAAATAAAGAAGAAAAAGAAGAGGGAGAATTGACAGATGAAGAAGACTTTAAAGATTTATCAAATACTTCAACTTTAAGTGTTTGTTCAACAACAAGTTTGGCAACAGTTCGTCGTTTATCTCAATCGTCAGATAAAAATGATAATCTTTATAACGAAGCTGAAACCCGTCCAGCATCTGCAGCAGCTTCTCATTTTAATAAATATCGAACTAAACCGCCTTCGCTTGCTTCTGAAGATGATGAAGGGAGAAATACAATGCTTATTCGAAAGGTTTGACTTTTTGTTTAATTCTTGTTTAGTTTTGGGTGAATTCTGGATTTTTCTTATCTTGTTTTTAAGTTCTTTTTTCATTTTGGTTGAATTTTTGATTTTATTTTTATTGATTTCTGATTTTCAATTCCACTAAATTAATTTTTCTTATTAAATTTAAAATATAAAATTTAATTAATTTTATCATAATTTTATACATATTTATTATTCTTAGATCAAGCTTGGTTTCAGTATTGAAAGAATTCTTGAGGATTTGCAAAATTTTGGAGATATTATAGAATATAAACAATTGGATGAGGTTAATTTTTTGAATAAAATATTTTAAAATAATTTTTTAATTAATAGACGACAGCAATATTTAAATTTTTGGATGCTTCTGAAGCTGAATTGGCTGCTAAAGTTGTTTCAAAAAATTCTAATCTGTTTGGAAATATGGCTATTTTTGAGTTGCAACGTTAAATTTAAAAAGGAAACATTAATGGTTGTTTTAGAAAATTAAAAAATATTTATATGGCTAACATACTTTAAGTTATTTGATTGTTTTTTTTCTGGTAAATTTTAAAGAAGTTTCACAATTAGGTTTGTCTTGAAAATTAACTTTGGTAAAACCATTGCTATAGGGTGTTTTTTACGAAGGATTAGAGACTCTTTTTAAGGTCGTAGGTGGGGAGGGAGGGGATGAGGCGATGGATGCCTTTCGCGTGGTCTCTTATTTTACCAAATTTCCCTATTAGAGATGTTGGTTTAGAAATAACAGAGGAAACTGGAATTCTGCAATTTTTATATGGCTAGAATATTTAAATAAAAATTCCCAGTGATAGTACCCAATTATAAATTTTAAATGTAATTAATTATTTCGTGAATCCTTGTCTTGCCAGAATTCGAATTCAATTCCTACACAATGGACCTGCAAAGATGAAAAGTAAAAAATAATAAAAAAAATACCATAAAACCACGCGGAGATTTATAACTAAATAAACTTGTTGAGTGTTCATGAAATAAAGAAATATTAATAGCAAAGCCAGCCATATCCATAGGGAAAGGACGTTCTGGCTTCCAACGAGAATTAAAACCATTAACTGTATCTAAAAGTAATAAATATTAAAAATATTTAGATAAATCTCAAACAATTTGTTAAAGTTCTTTCCAAAAGAGGTCTCTTTCGTCCTTTCCCTATGGATATGGCTGGCTTTGCTATTAATATTTCTTTATTTCATGAACACTCAACAAGTTTATTTAGTTATAAATCTCCGCGTGGTTTTATGGTATTTTTTTTATTATTTTTTACTTTTCATCTTTGCAGGTCCATTGTGTAGGAATTGAATTCGAATTCTGGCAAGACAAGGATTCACGAAATAATTAATTACATTTAAAATTTATAATTGGGTACTATCACTGGGAATTTTTATTTAAATCTTCTAGCCATATAAAAATTGCAGAATTCCAGTTTCCTCTGTTATTTCTAAACCAACATCTCTAATAGGGAAATTTGGTAAAATAAGAGACTACGCGAAAGGCATCCATTAATTAATATGCTCTAAAAAATAAAATATACTATATAAGTCATCATTTGGGTTAAAATTGAGTAATCATTATTGCTGAGGTATCAAGAAAAGTGTGAAAAAAGGTTAAGTTAAAAATATGTAACAAGTTTTCACTTATTTCAATCCCAATATTAGCTTTGTCTTTAATTTTTATGTGAAAACTTCTTTAAAATGTACTTCTTGGTTCTAAATTATGTTTGTTTTTGAAATTTTAATGGTTTTTTGAATAAAATTATTTTGAGGTATAAAATGTGTGCTTTATTTCAATGAACTTTGTTTCTCCTAATTTCGGGTAAAATGAAAGGTAAATAACTTTAAATTTTAGATTTTTTTCAGAAAATCTAAAATTTTGCAAAACTTTTATCATAGATTTAAAAATGTATTTTTAAATTCAAAAAATTAAGCTTCAAAATATCTCAATTAGGTGTCTCCTTAATCCCCGATATATTCTTAATCCTCTTCTTACTCCTCCAATATCCCATTAACCATCTTAATCCCTTTTTAAATATTTTTTCCCTCAAACCACTAGATCCACTTTGTTTTAATCTTAATACTTTGTTTTTATAAAATTATATTAGATTAGCCATCATTCTTTCATACTTAAAAAGAAAATATTAATCTTTAAAATTTATTTTAATCAAAATTAAATTCATCACAACACACACAAAGATGAGGATTGGAAGTGTAAAAAATATTTTCAAAATTCGGTTTGAAAGCCAGTTTGATGCTTGTCTCGAACTATTCGAAGAATTTCTAAAAAATGGTAATCCTGTTTAAAGGCAATTTTTTACTTTCCAAAAATTTTTTCCCAATCCTCTAATATATTTTTACATAAAATATACACATATACAATTTATGTCACAATTTATTTTTTTCCAACCCCGAATTTCATTCATTTCTTTGTATTTTTGTTGTTGTTGTAGAAGAATTAACAACAAACCCTTCAAGTCTTTGTGAAATATTTAAATTAATATTTATTTCAATTTTGTCAACATCCACCACAGAATTGTTAAATTGTTGTAAATTTGCTAAAGAAGAAGAATTTGTTTCTTCCTCTTCTTCGTCTGGTTCACCCATTTCTGCACCTGAATCTGATGTAAATCCCATTGTGCTAGAATTTATACTTGATTCATCATCTTCCATTTCATAGGACTTGAAAATAAAGAAAAATATATTTTTCTTAAATTAAAAAAAATATTACACCCTCATGGTACAGAAAGAATTATGTCTTATGGCGTTCTTACATAAAAAGCTTCTTGAGTTTGCGGAAGAAAATATTATTGAAAGTAAAGAGAAGCGATTTTGTCTCCTTCTTTTCAATGCTATTTTCTTCCGCAAAACGTAAGCACGGCATTATATCGAGGTATTTTTTTAAATAGAGATGTAGTGGTGGTCAGCCAAAAATCGTATTTTAAATTATGGATTCTTAAACGTTCGGTAATATATCTGAGGGAGGATAATTAATTGTTTCAAGCTCTCACTTAAAGCATTAATTTTTTAATTTGTAAAAGCTTGGGAAAATATTTCTTGGAAATCGTTATTTAGATAAAACATAAATAAATTAAGAAGCTAGTCATATTAAACAATTTTATTTATTTTTTCAAAAAAAATATTTATAATTAATTTACCCAATTACTATTATCATTATCAGATAAAGGTGCCAAATTTTCAGTTGTTGCTGTTGTTTCAATCCAAACATCACAACAATTATTGCTTGTTTCCCCCAAACTTTCTAAATTTTCTAATAATAATTTTCTTTTAAGTGAAGGTCTTTTTTGTTGTTGTAATTCACAATTATTATTAACAACAATTTCTCTATTAGCAGCTATTGGTGGAGGCCGAAAACTTGTTTGTAAAAACATTCCAAGAATATTTAATAAAGAATCTATTCCAAGTATATAACCATCATCTGCACCTGTATATGATTTATCACCGAGAAAACCGTTAAAAGTGGAATGGGCAAAATCTGAAAATTAAAAAAAAATAGGTAAATGTGTATTAGACATATTTGGGAGAGTAGTAAGAGAATCGAGATTGATATACTATATCTCGAAAGATATCAATCTAAATATCTAAGATTTTAAGGACTTAGCAGCATTTAAAACGCCTAGGCGGGGCAATAAAAAATAAAAAGAATAAAAGAGAAAGCATTAGTCGATGCCCCGGTGCTCATTTGTCAGTGGTATGTAGAGTCCTGTATGTAGTGAGCGGAAGCGCCTAGCAATAACTACGAGGAGATCGCAGGTTCGAATCCTGCCCGGATAACACCCCTTTTCTAAAAAATATAATTTTTAATCCAATCCTTAAGATATCCGATTTTGTAAAATTATTTTCTTTTTTAAAGTTAAAAAGAAATTACCAATCATTTTCACAATTATTCCTCCACCTCCTCTTTGATCTAAATTACTTCCAACACTTATTTTTTCACCATCAAAGGCAATTAGAAGTGAACTAGAGAAGAATCGGAATCCCATAGCTCTAGACAATACTTTACGCAGTTTGAGTAGTTCCTTTAATGAAAATAAAGATATTAAATTAAAATATAATCAAAAAAGTCTAAAGGTTTCTAAAGAAAAAAATAAGGATAAATACAATTTAAGGACACTGAGTAGCAAGGGCATCCCCTGGACACGCCATAGACGAGAAGGGTTGTTATCCGTCCCCGACATGTTTTTTAATTTAAAAAATAAAAAACCTCAATAATTTTCCTCGTTCTTCTCTTTCCAGCTACTCTAAAGAATTTTAAAAGAGCATCACAAAATTGGGAATGATCCATTCGACGTCCCTCATATTTATTTACAAAACTTTAAAAAATTGAATTAATAAAATTAACTTTTAAAATTTAAAAGAAAATACGTGAATTGATTAGATTGACGATCATATATTTGCATTCCAACTAAACGTACACCAAATTTAGAGCTTGTAGATTGGCGGCTTTAGAAAATAAAAATTAATTTTTAAACAAAAAATTTAAGAGATATTGGTTAATTAAAATAAAACACAGGCGGGCCTAAATTTCAGCAGAACCTGAGTATCTTTAAAACGGGGATTTAGGATCCAAGGGGTCGGCTTCGGGGGAAAAGAATTCTTTAAATGACAAATAAGTCATTCAATGAAAGTGCCATATTAATAAAATTTAAAAACTAATTACCATTTCTGTGTTTGTGTTAACTTTTTTTGTGCAGAAGCATCATCGCCATGCTGTCTAGTTCCTTTGAATAAATTAAATAAAAATTGTTTAAAAATTAATTAAAAACCCATTTTAAGGTCTATAACACAAGGCTTTGAGTATTGCGCCACCAAGTCTTCCAAAACGATAAAATATTTATCGGTGCCTTTAAGCAATCGTTGAACAACCTAAAAATAAATTTTATGGAATTGTGTTGATAGCCGAACTCCCTTCCCTTCCCCAATTTTTATAAATTTAAAAAAAACCTTGCTCTGACACTGTCCTGCCCATTGATTCCCTATAGACTTTTCTGTTTCAACTTTTCCACTTTTAAGACGGAATGACATGGAAGAAGAGGAGTTTGTTGAAGAAGAACAAAAAGAAGAGGAAGATTTTGTAGAAGAGAATTCCTCTTTTAATAAAGAATTTTCTGTCCCACAAATTTTTGTTGAAGAAGAAATAATTGTTGTAGTTAAAGTATTTGGTGGAATTTGAATTAATTGTGGATGACAATCAACTAAAGTTTCTGTTGACATACTTACTAAAGCGTGTTCTTCTTCGGAAGCTGTTTTGGCAATTAAAGAATTGTTGTTGTTGTTACATTGAACTTTAATACGTCCTGAGAAAGCATAAAAGGAAAATATTTTAAAAAAATAAAAAGATTACATGTTAATTGGAAGATAATTTTAATGAAATTAAAAACAATATCTGGGTGAAATAAAATTTACAAAAATAATAATAGACATTAGAGAAAGATTTCGGCCAAAACTACTTTTAGACACTGGAGCTTTTAAATGTAAGAAACAGAATTAAAATATAAATTTACTCAAAAAAATTTAAGGTATGGTTAAATTGAGAGAAAAAGGTAGGGTAGTTCATGGCCGGTTAATTAATTTTTCCTTGTGGCGGGTCTTTTTCTCTTTTCTATTCTCTCCTCTTTTTGCCCGCTACAGGGAAAAATTAACCGGCCATGAACTACTCCAACGAAATTCCAATGTAAAAGAACCGAAAATTTACAAAAAATATATAAATAAAAAGAGCAAACCACAAAATTTAGCAGTGAAAGGCTTAAACCTCGGATCCAATTGAAGATAAAATTCATATTCTCTCTGATTAAGTAGTTTACAGACATGCCCAGAAATTGAAAGAATCCCCTAAAAATATATTTAAATTAAATAAAAATTAAAAAACAAAAATTCCAAACTTAACCGTTCATTTTGTGTTTAGGTAAATAATTAAAAGCGCCTCCCCACAAACAGGCGTTGCCTTCAAAATATTTTTTTGCTTTTTGGAGAGCTTGGCAAGCTCAAAAATTAAAAAAATTAAATTTAAGAGACTTACAAAATGGCCGCCAACTTGATGCGGAAATCCTGATACTTCCATTTTTTATTTGAAAAGAAAAGTAAAACTAATTTTAATCTGAAAAAAAAATATTAAAAATTCTCGAAAAATATTTTTTTACAAATCATCAAATTAAAGACATTTTTGTTCTCTTTTCGTTCGTGCCCGCTCAACTCATCTAATCCTTAACTCATCCACACGCCCAAAAACGCTCAACTCATCTAAACGGCTAAAATTCCTTAACTCATCCACACGGCCAAAAACGCTCAACTCATCCAATCCTCAACTCATCTAATGCTTAACTCATCCACACGCCCAAAAACGCTCAACTCATCCAATCCTCAACTCATCTAATGCTTAACTCATCTACACGACCAAAAACGCTCAACTCATCCAATCCTTTGGAACGAGACTATTGAGTACCAGTCGTTTGAGTCCCTGGCCGTTTGAGTCTCTGGCCGTCTGAGTCCATGACAAGTTGAGTCTCTAGCCGTCTGAGTTCATGACCAGTTGAGTCTCTAGCCGGTTAAGTCCCTGGTCAGTTGAGTCCCTGGCCGTTTGAGTCCATGACCAGTTGAGTCTCTAGCCGGTGGTTAAGTCCCTGGTCAGTTGAGTCCCGGCCGTTTGAGTGGTTGATTACCGCCGGTTGAGTCTTGTACCGGTTGAGACTCAACTGACCAGGGACTCAACCGACTAGGGACTCAACCGGCCGATATTTCAAGGATTGGATGAGTTGAGCGTTTTTGGGCGTGTGGATGAGTTAAGCATTAGATGAGTTGAGGATTGGATGAGTTGAGCGTTTTTGGGCGTGTGGATGAGTTAAGCATTAGATGAGTTGAGGATTGGATGAGTTGAGCGTTTTTGGGCGTGTGGATGAGTTAAGTGTTAGATGAGTTAAGGATTGGATGAGTTGTAGGGTAGCCCTTTTCGTTTTCTCTAATTTTAACAATTTAAACATAACGCCAGAAAATTAATTAATTAATAATTAAAGCCCCCGCGTATTTAAATCTGTAAATGATTGGAGTAATGAATGCCTCCAATCCCCTTTTCGATCATAACTTTTTTTTATCTTTAACCAATCTGAACAATTTTTATATAAATCGAGAGCCTTGAGTATGTAGATTATTTTACTTAAAAGGACCTATTAATTTCAATCATTCTGAAAAAAGTTAGAGCCGAGAAAGTATTATTAATCGTGACTTTTAAAGAAGTAAAGGATTGAACTAATTAATTGCTAAACCGAATTTCCTTATAAAAAGGTTTTGATTGATATTAAAAACTGTTCAAATTGATTGAAGATTTAAAAAGTTTTGGCCAAATAAAATTTAAATTAATTAAAATCTTTTGTAAGCCCCTCATTTAAATAATTTGGAAAGAAACCCCCCCCCCCCCCCCAATAAATTTAATTTTGTAAATTTTATCGATTTCATCATTGGATAAAGCAAATAAAGGTCTATAAAATTGAATAAAAAATTTTAGATTTTAAAATTAATTGGGGATGAATCATGAAAGAAAAAATGGATGGAAAAGACTAACTTTTCTTTTTTAAACTCAAATTTAATTTGTCAAAAAGGGACTAAAATAGACTAAATAGACTACAAAAAGTAAAGACAAAAAATAATATTTTAAGAATTTAATTAGTAATTAGTTTGTTAAATAATTAAAAACAAGGAAGTTTTTATGTGAATTTTAGTCAAAATATTTGTATTTTTAACGAGAATTTTAAAAAATGAGTGAAGCGTTCTACATTTTGATAATCAAATATGTTTTGATTATGATTATAGAGGTAATGTTTTTTAAATTAAAGCAAATGCTTGAGATTTTCGTTTTGATTTCTAAAGTGTTTAAATAATTTGTCTTATTGGTGAAGAGGAACGGCTGCCCGCTGGTAGCTTTAATTAATAAATTATTCAGATTTATTGAGGACTAAATTGCGGACTGGGGGGTTATTTCCCCTAACTCTCAATTAAACTAAACTTTCAATTTAACTTACAAATAAAAACAAAAATATGGTAGAATTCTAGGGAAATTTTGACACGGTTAGAGGGATACCAGAGACGGGCAACAGAAAATCCCAAAAATTCTTCACGGAGGGAAGAGGGCTTTAATAAAAATTAGATATACAGAGAATTGTCTGACGGCGAATTATCCCGCAATAAAATTACATTTTTAATAATTTTTGTCTATTTTTTAAACAAAAATCTTTTTATTAAAATAAAGATAACACAAAAATTAACAATTAAATAAAAATATATTTTATATCAAGGAAAGGTTTTATGGACCCAAAGACAAATAGAAAAAGATAATAAAAAATGGCAATAAAAAAAGAATTTTTGCAATAATAAAAGGTATAAAATAATATTAAAATTATTATTTTTTCTTATGACAATAAAGGAGGAGGGAGGGGAGAGGGTCATTAGATAAGAATGATTTAAATTAAATTTAAAATAAAATATATGGCCAGATTAAATTGTAGTATAGACGATTTTAATTTTTTAATTAAACTTCGATTTTAAATAATAAAAAGTAAATAGAAAAGTAGAGAATTTGGAAATTTGTTTGGACTTGCTACTTTGTACCACACCAATTACTGATTTGTAAACGAGGCCAAAACTTGAGAAATAAACTTGAGAAATAAACAAAATCTTAATTTTTTTTGCTTTTCTAACTATTATTTTTTCTAAAATAAAAAAGTGTAAATACATATGTATTAGTGAAGTTCGGGAGAAGAAAAACCCCGGGAATCGGTAGACGGGAGTCGGATCGGGAAATATCTTCGGGAGTCGGGATACCCGAACTTCACTAGTACATATTATGTATTTTAAATTGAAAGGGGGTACACTGCGTTCCAAAATGATACGCACCCCTAGTTTATTCATGTTTCATGAATTTTCCTATGTTATTTTAATCATATATTTTATCTATTGATTCTTCTTGATAAATTACATATCTAAACAAAAAAATAAAAAAATCCGTAAATTATTTACTCTTTTATGCCAATTTACTTAAAATACTAGTGTTCCAAAATTATACGCACCCCCCTCATAAAATTTTTGCTTAACAATATAAAAATCCACAAAAATTTTTTTGAACATATCTATCAATATAGATAAGAAATAAAAAAGAAATTAAGTTCAGATGTACTTCCATCATCGAGATCTTGAAATCCGAAAATCAACGGAAAACGGGGGTAGACGTCTTTAAAAAATAATTTCGACCCCTTGCAGGTGAAATAAAAATTTTATTTTGGGCTTATCTGAAAGCCCTTGAAATTTGCTATAAGATGGCATTAATTTTATTTTCCTAAAAAATTAACCTTTAAGATAAAATATGATAAACTTTCATGTCGTAAAAATCACTCAAACGCCCCCAAAAAGTGATGAAAATGTAACTTATAAACTAAACTCATTATTCCTCGAAGATAAATTTTTTCAATATTATGAGATAAAAAATAACTTGTAGCAAATTTCAAGGGCTTTCAGATAAGCCCAAAATAAAATTTTTATTTCACCTGCAAGGGGTCGAAATTATTTTTTAAAGACGTCTACCCCCGTTTTCCGTTGATTTTCGGATTTCAAGATCTCGATGATGGAAGTGCATCTGAACTTAATTTCTTTTTTATTTCTTATCTATATTGATAGATATGTTCAAAAAAATTTTTGTGGATTTTTATATTGTTAAGCAAAAATTTTATGAGGGGGGTGCGTATAATTTTGGAACACTAGTATTTTAAGTAAATTGGCATAAAAGAGTAAATAATTTACGGATTTTTTTATTTTTTTGTTTAGATATGTAATTTATCAAGAAGAATCAATAGATAAAATATATGATTAAAATAACATAGGAAAATTTATAAAACATGCAAAAACTAGGGGTGCGTATGATTTTGGAACGCAGTGTATTACTTAGGAGACAGCCCACCCCTCCCCCTCCCCCTCCCACTCCATCCCTCCTCCTTTCAATCTTCTTAAAAAATGTACATAAAATTGAGGTCAGCTTGTATTAGTTAATTTTTGATTTATGATCAAAAAAAGCCTCAAAAGTTTATTTTAATAATTTCCAAAAAATCTAAACAAAAAACGTCACAAAATCATTTAATTATAGACACACACACTTTTTTCAAAAAAATAAAAATATCTTTTTTCAGTCAATTTTTATTATTTTCTTCTTTACTTAATCCACCCACAAACAACCAGCTACTACTTAAATGAAAAAAATATTTTTTAAATTAAATATTTAGTTACTACGAGAGAGAGACTATGGATTTATTTAAAAAAAGACATATGACAAGAAATAAAAAAGCTAAAATAAAATTGAGAATAATGAAAGCTTAATATAGTCACAGACTTCAATTTTAAATACAAATTTTAAAATTTAGTTGGCCATTAGTGGGGGAAGGAGGAGGAGGAGGAAGGGAAAGGGGGGCTATGGTCTAAGCTCCAGATAACGGACAAGCTCGATTTAAATACAATATTCCAGCCCAAATTAGTGTATGGAGTGTAAATAAACAGGCAAAAACCAGAATAATATCAAAATTCTGTGAGAAATTAATTCTTGATTTGATTGGAATCTTTCAAAATCCATTCAAAATCCCCAATTGTTTTTATTTCGAATAGTTGTATATTACGTCTTCACAAATATAGTCTAAAAGGATTAGTATTTTGTTGAAAATTACGGAAAATAGCGGAACTTATATTTTATAAATAATTCGGAACTTCCGGATTATTTAGTTCCAGTCCAGTTTTGCCAAACTTTTAGCTCTAGAGAAACTTTACACGGGAGCGGTTTGGTGAGACTTAACCCTCTATTCACGCCTCTTCCATTAAAACGTCGGCTTAATTCGATCCCGAAGGTAACGTCTTAATTAGATTTAAATGTATATTTAAAATTGATAAAAGAAAACTCTCCCGTTATTTTCAGACAATAAAAAAAGTGTCAATGGAATAAAAGAATAAAATAAAAGTTTTTTCCAGTTTTTTCTTTCCTTTTCAACCCCCTAAGGCTAGTAAAATAATATCGACCGTTTTTGGTCGCGTGGTACACGCAAAAAGCTTTTTTTTCTTTTAAAATACGTTCTTTCTCTCTTTTAGCGTTAAGCTTCAATTAGCAGTATATTTAAATAAAAAAGGAGAAATTTTGGTTGGAAATAAATGGGAGGGGAAGGGGGGGTGTAGAGATGTGATTGGGTTAACTGAAAGCCGAAACTTGACCCAAAACTCGAAATTTTTTTAAAAATCTCTACCCGATTTTTTCCCTCAACCGAGACATTACTGACTTTTTTTTTGAAAAAATAGAGTTGAAGCAAATGAGAGTGTCTGTCAGTCACACCAGTCAATCCCCGCGGGGCCTCTTATTTAGTATATTTAGGGGGTCTCGGTGATACTTGGAAGTCTTTTTTCATTTTTTCCTATTTAATAGCAAATTATAAATCATTCAAAGGTGTTCTTCAATCTGAGTCGAATTACACTAAAATCATTGGAATCTGACTTAAGTTAACCAAATTATGATCAGTTGTTTTAATTCCTTGAAACGGGACAAAGATGTTTTTCTAGTATGGATTCAACTTTCATATTTTTGTTCGGAATGATCAAATTTGACCAATCATGGTATCATCGACCCAGCTCGAAGAGCTCTTTCGATGATATATAATTATAGATCAAGAAAAAAGCTCAGAATGGTCAGGGAAACGGAAAAAAGGGGGGCGAGTTTAAAAGTATACGGTATTATTTTTTTTTGTTTAATAAAAATTTTTTAATTTAAAAATCGAGTGTGTGTGAGAATATTATTAACTAAAAAATTTTTTTTAATAATAAATAGAAAATAGTAAAATTGCGTAAATAAAAAAATAAAAAGTTTGTTTGCACTCACAAAATAATAATTATTTTTTAATATCGCGTGACGCACCGAATGCTTTTTTAATTAAAATATACATATATCCATCCACATACATTTATTTTCTCATTTATTAGTCACACAATCCTTTATTTGTTTGGCTACTTTACTATAAAGATTATTAAAAATAAAGAACAAAGAAAAAGAGAGGAGGATAAAAACAATGAAACAAATAAATTGAAGGAAAATGAACGTGACCTTTTTTAAAAATTCTGAAGAAAAAACTTTTCCTCGTGTTTTAAACAAAACTTTAAATAAACATTCAAAAATAAAACTTTAATTAATTTATAGAAAACTAATAAAACTTGGAGGCAAACAAAACAAAGCTTAAATTTATTCTTTAAATGTTTCTTCTTTTTAATTAAAAAAAACAAAGTTTTAAGGCGTAAAAAAAGTTTTTATTTAATTTGAAAATTTCTAATTTAAAAAAAAGTTTCTAATAAAAAGACGAAAGTTTCTTGAAAGTTAAAAATAAAATATTTTAAAAATAATTTTAAAAAGTTTGTTAAAAGAATTTATTTAAAGAAAAGATTAAAATAAAATTTTCTTTTTTTCTTCAATGAACAAACATTAAACAACAACCGCTTTTTTAATTTTTTTTTAACTTTCCTGTGGATGAATCAATAAATTTTTGGGTAAAAAAGAGAAGAAAAGGAAAATTTTTTTAATGGTGAAGCAGCACTTACCCCCACACACATGTGTACACATATGTACATTTACCCCACACTTATGTACACCGCTAAAAAATACATATGTCCATTATTACTTTTGAAGGATTTCTAGTATTTCTCTGTTTGCTCTTTTCTCAAATTACTTTTCACAAATTATTTTTTAATTAATTAAAATCCCCAAATGGAAAGTTCCCAAAAATTATACTTTTTTAAACTTCTTTTTAATTGTAATTATCGATAATAAATAAAGAAATATTTAAAAAGTTTGGGGTTGAACAAAGTTTGGTGGAGGGAAGAGAAGAGGAGGAAGAACTTTTACATTTTTTGCTTTAAGACAAATTTTAAAGAAAAATGTTATTATTTTATTGCTTGGAAGGTTATACACAAATATACTAGCTAAAAATAAATAATTTTTTTCATAAGAGGAGATTCATTCTCCCAATTTTTTACTTTTTCTGAGATTTTATTCAATAAAATATGTATTATTTTACATAATTTAGGGTAGCACCACCCCGACTTCCGAAACCCCGATCATTTTCAGGCAAAAACCCTGACCTGAACCCGAAGGCTCTACCCCGCGATCCTCGACGATCCCGCCTCCAACGGCTAGGGATGCTATTTTAATTAATTATTGCTATTTTAACCTACTCTAGATAATTTTTATTTTTTAAATTTTCAGATTAAAAAAAAATATAATTTTTAATTTTATGTAAAATTATTTAGTAAATATTTTTTAAATTTAAATTACTTTTAAAATTCCTATATGTCAACAACAACAACTTTACGTAATTCCCAATTAGAAGTTTTAGTAGATAATAATGAATGGCATAAAGTAAATGTTTGTTTAGAAGAAACTTGTCTAGTTTTTACTCCAATTGGGGATGGATTTGTTGAACAAGTAGATAATTTTTGGAAATTTAAATAAAAATTAATTGTCTTTTCAAGTTTGGTCCTTTAAATGTTCCCGGTGGACTTTCTGGGGCGGCAGCCGTTTCGGGTGTTTGGAATGCTGAGAAACGTTTTGTTAGGATTATAAAACGAGAGGGAGAAGGTTTCTAATTTAAATTAAATGAAAATTGGTTTAAATTTTGATTTTTGTGATAATTTTTCATGCAAATATTTTTCTGATACGGATATTGATTTACTGGCATTTTTAATGTTCCTTTCTCTAATAATTAATCTTCCTTAAGTGAAATATTTAAAAATATTTTCTGCAAAAATTAAGTACAAAAACATTATCTCTAATTGAGTGGCCGGTCATTCTATTAGAGAAAAATACTTTATTATATTCGTATAATATTAATATATTCTTAATAAATATTTCAAACTTTAAACTAAAATTTAAATAATTTAGGTATAGGAATAAGCATTCAAGGAGGTGCAGAGGCAGGCAGACCTATTGTGATAAGTAAAATCTTTTCTGGAATGCCTGCTGACCAAACAAATTCTTTATTTGTTGGGGATGTTATATTAGCTGTTAATGGGGAATCTATGGCTAATACCAAACATGAAGAGGCTGTTAGAGCATTAAAACAAGCTGGGAAGGTTGTTAATTTACAAGGCAAGTTTTTGGAGAGTTTATCGAAAATTAAGAAAAAATTAATAAAAATTATAGTAAAAAATTAGATCATGACTAAATAGAAATTAGCTAATTTTTGGTTTTTTTTCTTACTAGAATCAAAAATTTTTCATGCCGAGTTCTGTTTGAAACGATTATGGGAGAAACATGCGGAACAAAAACATCTAAGGAAATGTATTAGGTATTTTAAGACTGCCAAAAATTGTTTTGATTTTTCTGGATTAAACTTTCGGACTTTTCCAAGCAATTTGCATTTTACAGATTCTAGAATTCAGATCAAAATGAGTAAAATTTCCAAGGAATAAAGAAATGGGACGAAAAAACTAATACATACATATAAGGAAAAGAACTCATTTTAAATTTTTTTTTCAGTCCAATATCGCCGTGATTTACATCTTCGACGTGAAAATATTCTTCATCGTTTAAGTTGGGATGATACCCCAACAACAGTAGCAACCACCCCTTCCCTACTTCCCTCTGATCGTCTTTCAACAATAAATATAATTCAAGAATCTCATCAAAATTCTCGAAGAATTTTTGCTTTAAAATTATCTTTTGTGACGAGAACACCTTTGGTACCTAATGAAGAGGATTTTGAGGGAAGAATTATCGAAATTAGATCTCACAGTGCTCGACATGTTTTGACTTTGAGGTGATTTTAGAATTGTTTTTAATTAAATTGTGAAAAATATCAAACTTTTAGTAAGACAATAAGATAGCAAAATATCTCCAGATATTTTTATCCTTGGTTTCTAATTCAAATTTCGAATCATATCTTGGAGGTGTTGTGGCATACATATCTAGACTTTTTGTTTGAGTAAGAATTTATACAAATGTCAAATCAAGATTCAATTCAAATAATAATAATTTTAATAAGTAGATACAAATAAATAATATAATTCTACACTATTATAGGCCCTTATCTACACAGATAAATTGGGGGAAACTGCCAAAAATACCTAATTATTTTTATTTTTGCGGATTAAAGTTGCAAACTTTTCTCTGGCTAAATTGTCACCCTAATAAAATTCGAAAATAAATTTTTTACTATTTTAGATGTGCAAATTCATTAGAAGCAGATGCTTGGTTCGAAGCTATCCATGCTTGTGTAGAAGCTTTACTTACCCATGCATTGGCACAAGTTAATTTAATTCTCGGCCAAAATCCTCAAGTTCGTAGAATGGGCTGGTTGGCAGAACAAGTATTTTTTAATTGTTAAAAAATATTTAAACAAAAATTTAGAGTCCTTCGGATTGTGGGCGGTGGAGGGCAGTTTTTGTTGCCTTAACAGTTAATGATTTGTTAATTTATGATTCGGTGCCAGCAATTAAACAGGTTTTAAAAGAATTCTAAAATTTTAGAAAATTTTCCCCTATAACCAATAGGAATGGGCTCGTCCAATGATCATGCGCCCGCTTATAGCAACAAGGGTTGTTCAAACTACTGCAAGAAGTTTCCCTGTAATCGCTGGACTTTCGGATGTTATTAGTTTCACAACAAGAACTGGCACACAAGAGGGTATTCGAACACATTTGTTTAGAGTGGAAACACACAGGGAATTGGCATCTTGGGTTAAGGTTAATTTTTTTTAATCCTTTGTGGGTTGACTTTAATATTATCTGTTTAACCACGGGGTGGGCGAGCTAAACGATAATCATCCTATTTAAGATGTACCTTATTATAAGAGAACTAAAAATGGGTTTAACCAATAATGGTTAAATGAATAATCTTTGAAAAATATTTTTAAAAATTTTTAATTCATCTCTTTCAGACAATGATTCAAAACACATATGAAGCTTGTGAAACTACTCTTCAAGTAAATGCTCCATGTATTTGGCAAGAAAGACGTTGTGAACTTAATATACATTTGGAGAGGGGCTTGAGTCTGAATGACTCTGCTGGTGGTCAACTTCATTGGGAATATCCATTTGAAGCAATTAGAGTTACTGGAGATGATGGGAAACAATTTTTGTGGATAGAATTTATTGGGGGAGGGGGTGAACAAGAATTAGATTTATTGGGTTCTCCCAAAGCAGTAGTTTTTATTTTACACACATTTTTAGCAACTAAAGTTTATCAGCTTGGGTTGTACGCGTAAATAATGGCACACTCAGTCGAGTTGGAAATTTTTTGTTTTTTGTCTCAAGAAAGATCAATTTTAGCCGAAAAATTAATGCATGATCCTGAGTGTGCTTTAAAGCTTTTGATATTAAGTACTTTAGTCAATTTCTTAGGCATTCTATCCATAATTTTTACCTCAATAATGCTAAGTATTTCCTCTTAATAATTCATGAAGGGTCTACTTGAGCAGGTGTCCGGTTTCTAAAGATATTTAAACATCTCCATTTATTCTTTTCGCTACTAAAGTACATATTTGAATTTTAGTTATTATTTGCAATATGTACATGTACTCATTATCGCTATTTCAAGTAGTATATCTTTAAAAACTGGTTACCGGCTAAAATATATCACAGAAGTTGATAGATTTATGAGCCAAATATAATTAATTTTACACTTTCAAAAAAATTTAATAAAACAATCATTCTATTTTTGTCTCATAAATCTATCAAAAATCGTATACATACTTCGATTATAGGCTATACTCCTTTATATTATACTTTGCTTATGCTCCTTTACAGCTTGGTGATAGCCAACTTGTGATCACAATTTTGTGAACCCCCATCCGCGGATGGATAGGTGGGACTACCATCCCCTATTTAATATTAGCGTTTTAAGCCGGCTTATTCCCCACGAACTACATTAATAACCAGAAAAAAGTGGTAAATAAAAATATATTGTATTTTTGAGAAATGAGAAACCCCTTAAAATTATACACTTGTAATATTAAAAATATAGAATAAAGTGTTTGGGCTTTGTTTTTACATTTTTATAGAGTATTTAAAAATTAACAAAATTGAAAAGCATTTTTATTTTGCATTTAATTTAGATTTTATCAAAGAAAGTTAATCTAAATAAATGGTTAAATAATTTTGGTGCTCAGAATCATAATAAATCAGTTAGTATTTCGTTTCCGAAAATAATTAAAATAAATTGTTAACGAGGAAAGTTCTCTTTTTTGAAAAATTTAAATCTACCGGATAATTTTTTAAAAAAATTTCGAAAAATATGGAACGATATGCATATTCACGAGTCTAAATATGCACATATGCATTAAGAACCAGGTCCTAGAATGAATGGGTCCAAGAAATGAATCTGTGCTTTTCTTGATATTTCATCGCATCAAAAGATGACATTATTGGATAAATATTTTGAATACATATTAAAATTAAAGCGGTATCTTGCTGCCCCCTACCCCACCTTTGAGCTTTTCTTGTTTGATAGATTATCTATTCATTCAAAAAACACCTTCGAATTGGTCGAATAATACCAAGAGATTTGATGATTCTAACAAAATTATGGACTGAATCCTCACTGAAAAACTTGTGCGCTGAAAGATATCATAACCTAGTTCTTTTGTAAGATTTCGTTGATTTTAGTGCCTTTCGACTCAGCTCGAAGAGCTCTTTCGAATGCTATTTAATTTGTTTTAAAAAGGAAAACGATGAAAAGAAAAGAGAGAGTGCAGCCGAAGTATTACCATTAAATCATAAAAATATTGAGTTTATTTAACAATAAAATTTGGAATTTTAAAACATTTAATTTATGCATATCAGAAAAATATAATAGTTTGGTAATTATGATGGATATGATTCCTCCTTTTATCTCCCAACTACATCATTGCATAATCTCAATTCATGCAATCAATAAATGATTAAGAACTCGCCACATTTGATTTCTAATCCTCTTTTATATCGCTCAGGTAAGTCATTCTGCTAACCTGGTTACGAAAAAGAACATCCGTAAATGCTGAGGTCGAACTATTATTAACGTGGCAAAGGTTGTAGATAGTTTATTATTATAGAAGATGAATGGGAATCATAGCCTCAGAATTACCAATAAGCATGTTGGTATATAAAGTCTACACATGCAATAGCTCCAGTTAATTTTATAACTGAATAATACTGGTAAAATTTCATTACTGATTTTTAGCTTCTGTGGCAAATCGTTCCCAATGCTCAAGTGTGTGTTGTTCACTCTCTAGTAATGCCTCCAGATATCCAATAATGGTTTGTTTTAAATCTTCACGACGTTGTTTCGCTTGACGTACATATTCCTCACGGATTTTCTTGAAAATTGAATTTTATTATTAATGTTGGTAAAAGAAATTATTGAAAGTGAATTTATAGACCGAGTTTTAGTAAATTTTACCTTGCTCGTAACCAAAAAATCTTTTTCCATCTGATCGGCCTTATTTTCAGACTCACGCAAATCTTCCCGACATTGTGCAACACGTTCACCCCGACCAGCCAATTCCCTTTAAAAATATAAAAAATCAAAAAAAAATCCAATTATAAAAATACATTCTAGTTTTGATTTCTCGCTTCTTTGTTAATATCTGTTGATGATTCTGCCAATTTTGCCAACCTTTTACACGTTCATAGAATACCTCTTTCAAAACGGACATTAATTGAAGTTGTTCCTAATTGATAATATTGAGCAAATTTAAAAATTAGCGGACAGGCCACTCTAATTTTATTTTGCTGGTTAATGGGACTTAATGACTTATTCGTAAATTGACTTTTCCCACCTGAAAACTTTCAGCTAATTGTTGAGCATCCTGTTCAGATTCGTGTTTTTCCACTACCGCCAACTTTTCATGTGTTTCAGCCAAACGAGAAAGAGTTTTAGCTAATCCAGTATTTTCTTCAGAAGAAGTAAGCAAAGCAATAGTTTTACTCAATTGCTCATCAGCAATTGCCAATTCTTTTCGATAACCAACCAAATTATCTATATGTGTCTGAAGACGAGTCAATAATTCTTCCAATTCCTCCACTTGACTATGAGCTTGTTCAAACCTTTTATTAAATCAATAAATTAAGTCTCTACAACAATTTATTAGTCCAATCCAAACTTAAGATTCCGATTTTTGATTAACTAAGACTGTAATAGAGCAAATTTAATAATAAAGTACCATCGATCATTTTCATCCATTGGAAATGCAATTTTTGTGAAGGCATCGCCTACCGATTTGAACATCTAAAAACAAAATCGCTGACAAGAAACGTATTTTGAAGGGTTGTTTCCGTTTAACGGTTATGAAATTCTGATTCAATTTTTATCAAAACAGGTGTTTAATTTAAAAATATTTGGTTTCTCGTTTAAAAATTTAAATTAGAATTCTAGAAGATAGAAACCAGAAATCAATGTTTCTCTTAAGAATATTAAAATTAAATATGTAAATACAAAACCTTCATAACAGAATTTCCACTAAAAGTCGAAGTAAAATTAGCTTTAGGTAAGTCCCCCTCAAAGGACAGAAAGTCTCGCATGTCATCGTCCACAACAAGTCTAGGATGTAGTGCTATACGACGAAGAAAACGTTCCAACAATCGAGAGCGTTTATCGGCTGCCTCACTATTGGAATCGGAAATTTAAAAAATTTTGTTTTTAAAAAACCTGTGTTCCTCTCCAGTCGTAAGTTTTGTTTTGGTCAATGAAGTAATACTTTTTTCTGGTGTATAAGGAACAATAACCCCTTTATGTTGATATTTAATTGCCAATTTCTCACGTAATCCAAGAAAGTCACTAAAACGTCGCCAAACTTCGAAATGATTTTTTGTATAGCCCGGAATGTTAGAAATCTATAAATTTAAGGTAAATCTTGAAAAAAGAAAATTAAAATACTTTAGTCTCAATTTTATAAGCAATAAATGCATTTATCCCCTCTCCACGTTTTTCATAGGCACGAACAAATATACAAATTTGACCATTAGCTAGCACGTTTGTAAAGTTATCATCCTCGCTAGATTTTGATTGTTTTTGTCGTGAGTTATCTGTAGGCATATTAAATAAATGTGGCTGAACCTTAAATATAAGATTTTCAACAAAAATTTAAAAAAATCAAAAATTACCAGGTTTGCCGCATCTTCTTTTTGTAGTGGTGATACCTGCGATGATTCTCCTTCACATTTTTTAGATGGCGAAATTAATAATTGATTTACTTTATCACCATCATTTTTGCTCTTTAAAAATCAAAACGAGCTTATTTTAACAAAAAAACCTGATTAATTTCCAAATCAAGCTCTTCCTCATCAGAATTGGAGAAAAGTTCACCTCCAATCATTTTTATTTGCTATAAAACTTTAACAAATAAAATTTAGTAGAACTATAGTAGAGATGGCGAAGAAGGAAGTTATTTCCGGCCAAGAAAATCTTACAAGATTTTTATTTATTCTTCAAAACTACGAAATTCAGTTTTAAATTAGATTGAATATTCTCCTTAATATTATTCGATAATATCGAATTTTAAATGTTAGGCCGAGACATGGAATTACAGTCAGTAACCAAAATCTGGATGGAATTGAAAAACAGCACTTATAAATAAGACATTGGATAAAGAATAAATTAAGCAATAGCTTTTTTACTTGGCGTTATGTCAGATAAATTTCACTTTTGTTTGAAATACCTGTTTAAATCCTTTTGCTATGTAAGTTTCTGATTTAGGTTCCTGTTAGGTATGTGAAGGTTTAGTATAAAAACAGGCATTAGAGATCAGTCTTGATCGGCACCTGGGCCGACCGTACCCGGCTGTCCTTAGTTATTAGTTATTCTCGTGTTTCGCCACATTCGTTATTCTTGTATTAACTATTGGATAAACGTGTTAATTTATTCTTATGTTATTCTGTTAATCACTAGGTTAGAGTGCACCCTAAGATATAGCAGTTTCAATGACTTTGAAAGTTAAAAAACGTTTGAAATTTATTGATAATATTTATTTATAAATAAAAAATAATTTTCAAGTCAACGAGATTTATAATAAATAAATTAGAAAATTTTAACGGTATAAAGTCATTTGGAATTATTTTAAAATTTTGAGTCAATTTTGCCTTCATATTTTATATCACCAAAAACCATTAAACTTTAGCTACTTCAGCATACCGTTCCCAATGCTCAAGTGTATGTTGTTCACTCTCAAGTAATCCCTCCAAATAACCAATAATGGTTTGCTTCAAATCCTCACGACGTTGTTTTGCCTGACGTACATATTCCTCACGAATTGTCTGTTAAGATAATTAAAAAATATTTTAGATTTAAAATACATTAGATCCCAATATAGTAACGTAATCCCACAACCGTTTTGCCGAAATAAAACGGGAAGAAAACAGGCAAAATCTATTGTTCATGAACATATTTAGCAGACTTAATAAGGAATGACGTTACGGAGCTTCCATTTATCCGAATAAGGTTTGGGTATGAATGTAACAATTAGAGGAACCGAATCCAGAGGAACCGAAATAAACAAAAAATTATATCAAGGACAAACGAAATCAAAATATCACCTCCAAAAATTTAAAGATTTCCAACTTGTAAAATTTAAAACCAAAATTTACTTTGCTAATCAACAAAAAATCTTTTTCCATTTGGTCAGCCATACTCTCAGAATTTCGGAGATCCTCTCGGCATTGTGCAACACATTCACCTCGACCAGCTAATTCCCTTTAAAAATAAATATAAAATTTTTAAGAATGATTTGAATTATAAAAATACATTCTCGTCTTAGTTTCCCGCTTCTTTGTTAAATTTTGTTGTTGACTTTGCCAATTTTGCCAGCCCCTAACACGTTCATAAAATACTTCCTTCAAAACAGACAATAATTGAAGTTGTTCCTATTTAATAATAAATTTATTGTATAAAGCCGAAAATTTAAAAAATTTCGAGGAGCTCTAATTTCCCGTCTTTTTAACCGTCGAGATTCTCTTCTATTTTGTTGGTCCTATTATATTCTTAAATGATTTGTCCTACCTGAAAACTTTCAGCCAGTTGTTGAGCATCCTGTTCAGATTCATGTTTCTCCACTACAGCCAATTTTTCTTGTGTTTCAGCCAAACGGGAAAGGATTCGAGCCAATCCGGTATTGTCTTCAGAAGAGGCAAGCAAATTAATAGTTTTACTTAATTGTTCATCAGCAATTGCCAACTCTTTTCGATAACCAACCAAATTATCTATATGTGTTTGAAGACGAGTCAATAATTCTTCCAATTCCTCCACTTGACTATGAGCTTGTTCAAACCTAGTAAATAACGAATAGACCTTACATATCCATTTTGTTTATGACTATTGGTTACCCATTCCTATATTTCTTACATATTAATAAAATGATTATGCAGTGAATTCATTATTCTTGAAGGAATGCCCACATATTTCTAGAGGTCGAATTTCGGGAGGCCACAAAGTCTTTAGTGTTTACTTTGCATAAAAACCCTTTGGATACCTACTTGTTGATAAAATAAAAAATACCATCGATCATTTTCATCCATCGGAAAAGCAATTCTCGTGAAAGCATCGCCGACTGACTTGAACATCTAAAGAAATTGATTTAATATTAGAATAACTCAAAAAGCAAAATTTTGGTTATTATAGAAATGCTGATTTAACAAGATTTCATGATTTTTTATTTATCAGGTAATAATCAAACTTTTTATGAGGACAAAGGTATATTCCAAAAATTCAGTTAAAAATTAAAACCTTCAGAACACTGCTCCCACTAAAAGTCGAAGTAAAATTAGCTTTAGGCAAGTCACCCTCAGAAGAAAGAAATTCACGCAGGTCCTCATCATTAATCAGCTGAGGATGTAACACTAGGCGGCGCAAAAAACGTTCCAACAATCGAGAACGTCTGTCTGTTGCTTCGCTTTAAAATTAAAAATATATTAAATCATTAAACAAAAACTATTAAAATTTAAATTAGCCCTGTAAAAGGAAAAAAAGGGGAGGGAAAATGGTTCAATTAGGGAAATTCCCGTGAATTGAGTAGTTGATTCGGGCAATCAAAGGCAAAAATATTTAAACCGCATAAGGATTTCAAGATCCTAGGGACTACAGCAATCTGGAACCCTCAAACCAAAAATGTAAATTTTGTTATTAAAAAACCTGTGCTCCTCTCCAGTCGTAAGTTTTGTTTTGGTCAATGAAGTAATACTTTTTTCTGGTGTATAAGGAACAATAACCCCTTTATGTTGATATTTAATTGCCAATTTCTCACGTAATCCAAGAAAGTCACTAAAACGTCGCCAAACTTCGAAATGATTTTTTGTATAGCCCGGAATGTTAGAAATCTATAAATTTAAGGTAAATCTTGAAAAAAGAAAATTAAAATACTTTAGTCTCAATTTTATAAGCAATGAAAGCACTGATCCCTTCTCCACGTTTTTCATAGGCACGGACAAATATACTTAACATTCCAACATTGTCCAATGTCGTCATGATTAATTTAAGTAAAATATTTGAAGAAAGTCTTTAAAAATACTTAAAAAATTTAACAAACAACAAAAAAAAAATTTTCGCAAAAAGAAAAAAGTCGAAAAACTTAAATTTTAGCCGGGTACAGCCCGAAATGTCGCGGGCCAAAATGTCGCGGCCGAAATGTCGCGACCGAAATGTCGCGGGCCAAAATGTCGCGAGGCCGAAATGTCGCCGGCCGAATTGTCGCCAAGCTTTTTAATTAAATATTCTGTAAAATAATTACAAAACAAGGATATAGTTTTCAACTTAAACCTATGGAGCGTCGGCGAGGCGCTTGTGCAAAACTCCGCGCTTCGCGCAGAGTTTTGCGCTCCGCGCTTCGCGCAGAGTTTTGCGGCACGCGCCTCGCGGGGAGTCTACGGTCGCTGGGTTCTGGGCTCGTAACTTAATCCTATTCCTTTTTACCGATTCTCAGCCTTGAATGCCGACCTACCCTCCGTAGCAACACCAAAACAGGTATTGAAGCGAAAAGGTGAACAAGGAAAAGGCGAAAATATGAAGAAAAGCTTGGCGACAATTCGGCCGGCGACATTTCGGCCTCGCGACATTTTGGCCCGCGACATTTCGGTCGCGACATTTCGGCCGCGACATTTTGGCCCGCGACATTTCGGGCGTGTCCCATTTTAGCCGTTTGGCACAAAAAATACATTTTGCCAAATTAATCTTGTCTATTTGAGTCTGATCTAACATGTGTCATTTTAGTCTCACCCATTCTTTCTGTTTTAAGTTTTTGTAGTTTTTTCAGATTATTTTATTCATCTTTTTTTATTTTCAGATTTAATTTTCTTTAAAAAATTTTAAATTATGACTTTAACAAGTTCAGCAGCACAATATGGAATTCTTGTTTCGATTGCTTCAAAAAATCGTGTAGTTCCATATGATTTGTTAATGACTTCGCTTGGAATTGGAAATGAGAGAGGACTTGAAGATTTTATTATTCAAGCTATTTATCAAGGAATTATTAAAGTTTTTATTTTAAATTTTGATTTTCTAAAATGAATTTTTGAGGGAAAACTTAACGCAGTTAATCATTGTTTGGAAGTAATTGATTGGAGAGCTTCTTGTGTTGAGAATCTTGATATGGATTTTATGACTCAAACATTGGAGGAATGGAGTAAGCGTTGTGGGGATTTTGTGAATTTGTTGTCTGGACATGTTGATGGGTATGGCTTTAAATTAACGAAAATTTGGATATGTTGGAGGGGGTTGGATTTCGTAAACACTTATTTTCGGAAATTTTTTGTGCTTAATTTTTTTTCAAAATTAGTAAAAATCTTGATTTAAGACAGTTTGTGAATATTTCAAATAAACTTTTATTTTTAGTGCTAACAAATTTGTGGCAGAATTTAATGCTAACGAGAAACGTATTACCGATGAAGTGGAGAACATTAAACAATTATTTACTTGTGCTGATGATTCTACTGTTCAACGCAAATTTTGGAGTGGAGTTGAAGGGTATTTCTTTTTATTAGTAGTTATCTTTATTAAGTCACAAACATTACTTCAATTATTAATATTTTTTAATTATTTTAGTCCAAAATCAGCTCAAAAACCGGAAACTAAGCGTTTCAAAAGTGGCGGACCGAAGCTGAGACGTGGCGGAAAGCCTGATAATTAAAATAAAGGGACATAACAGCAATTGATTTATTTCAATTTTTTGTTTTGCTTTTTTTAAATAAAATTATTGTATTTCAATTATTTTTTTCTCATTTTTGTTTATTAAAAACAATAATTTTTTCATATTTTAATTTCTTATAATTTTTTAAATGGAATTTTAGGACTACATATGCGAATGGCAGCATTTGATTCTTCGAACGATGTGAAAGCTATTTTAAGGCATAAAGAAGGTATTATTAAAATTTTAATTAGGGTTGGGAGTTATTATTTTTATTGCCTGTTTTTATGCTGATTTGAATGGGTATCGTCATTTTCTATATATTATTATCCTAACCCCTTTTTCAGGGGGTTAGTCGGCGTTGGGCCCCAAGAGTGGTAACCCACCCTTGGGGCGCGCCGATCCACCGATTAAAAGGAAAGCTTTCTTTTTAAACTTTATTCAACAAATATATTTAATTAAATATCAGGGAGAAAGAACCGGCCAACTTTTGGTCGGTGTTGAGATTGGCGAATGAACTTATTTGGCCAGTTCTTTCTCGCCTTTTATGGGGCATTAAAAATGGGCGTTAAATATTAATTTTTCTTAACTATGACATTCTATACGCGGGGGGTGGGGGATACAACAGGAGAAGCGGATATGGCAAAAAATGTGTGAAAATATTATCTTGATTTTTTTTTAAATTATTCATTTATCTTTCTTTTTCAATATTCCTCTCTCTCAATCTCTTCGCTTCCATTTTTTGCCATCAAATTTAATCGCGCCAAAATGCTGCTTCAGTTCAACAAATTCCCCTGACTTGGATGCATATGACAGCGGCAAATTTTAAAATTGGATCAGTAATAGTAGAGAATGGAGATAAGAAAATTTTAGTGAAAATCGAAAAAATATATAACAACAAGGCGTTCATCCAAGAAAATGTCACAGGGCTGGGCTAAAATAAGGGCCAAAATCCGCTTTTTCTTCCTCTCCTGGGGGGTGGGGGTAACATCGAAATAAGCATAGCGCAAAGATTGAGTTTTAAAACCATCACCAAGTATTTTTTTAATTCCTCAATAGTCATCAAATCTCGTTTGATCTGTGGGCCAGTATTGATCACCTTGATCATCGAAACAACAATCATTGCCAAATTGATCTTGATACTCTTCCTCTCCCCAATACTCATTATTTTCATTTGGCAACCAATGGCACTCCTCGCCGTCATAATTTTGTTCATGGTCATAATATTGGGCATGGTCATTATAATATTCATCTTCATTCTTATAATATAGGCCAAAATTCGGGTCAGTCATTTCCCCGCCCCAGTCATTATCCGGATCTGCACTTATCTCACCTACTTCATTAACTTCCGCTAGCGCCGCATTGACCTCTATTTCCTCCATTCTTTTCCAAGTATCCGCTTTAATTGTTGCATTCAACTCTTCCACTCTTCTCGCTTGCGACACAGCTTCTGCCAACGACGAGGGTACCTTCATAAAGATGATTTTCTCCCTAATTTCCGGCAACAGTCCGTATTTAAATCTTTCCAGGCAGATTTCCTCTCTGAATTTTTTGGCCATTTTTTCAATCTCGGTTTTCAAATTTTTCTTTTGATCATCATCTAATTTGAGTGCTGAAATATTCAATTCAAAGGACGCATCTGGATAAGCTCGTTCCACCAGATTTTTCAAATCATTGGAAAATTCTTCCAGTGATTCTCCAAATTCCTGCCTCCTTTCAGCCAGCTTCACGAGAGCCGTCTCTTTACTTGACATCTTTTTCAATCTGCTGGCTAAGCCTTCAATTAAAACCTTCCAAGAATTTTTCTCCCTATCTGGCATTCCTTCATACATCGCCAAAGCTGAGCCAGTTAAATACAGCGGTAAAATTTGCGCACATCTGGGTGGAGTCCATCCGTGAGCCGTGGCTACACGATTAAACGTCTTCAGATAAGAAACAAAATCTTCTGACCCATCATAGGATTTAGGATAAGGGAGTCCCAAAACACTTCCTCCGCTGGTATCATCCACATTTTTCATTTTCATCCCAAGTTCTGGGTTCTTCTCATCCTTCATTGCGAGTTATCTAACCTCAAACCAGCCCTCAGATTCTTTTAATTTTTTTTTTTATTTCCCAAATTTACCTAACACTTATATCTTTTATTTCTCTCTTCTTTATTCTTTTTTCTTTTTATTTATATAGCGCTTTTTGCCCTTTTTGATGGGATTTAGTAGATAACCGGCCGGATTAGTCCACTAAACTGTTAGGCAGGGATTCGGGATTCTTTTTTTTAAATCAACCAAAATTTCTCTTTTATTTTTTTTTAACGTGCACGTTTCTTCAATTCCAAGGCTGCGTTTCAAATTTAGAGGCTCGTCTAAAAGAATTTGAGTTCAAAACTTCGAATAATAGGTCCACGATTACGCGGCTTCCTTCCACCAAATCCAAAATCTTTCCTTCTATTCAATGGTCTTCGAACTTTTTCCAACCTCAGCTTCAGCGACAACCGCAAACTTCAGAATGTTTTAATCCAAAAATCGTCAGATGAAAATAAAGATCAGCCAAATCAAAATCAACTGGTTCCCTTTCAGAAAATCAAATCGAGATAAACCAAAAAACTGCCAAAGTTCAGCCAAATCAAATCAAAATCGGCTGGTTCCCCTTTTGAATATCCAAGCCAAAGATCCGCAAACAAATCAGCTACAGAAGCAAATAGGGATCGGCCAAATCAAATTAATCAACCCAAATCAGATCAGCCAGTCCAAGCTCAGTCAAACCAGAGCAGCTAACTCAAAGCCAGTCAAATCAGGTCAACCTCAGTCAAACCAAATAAGCCAACTCAAAGCTCAGCAAACCAAATAGAGATTAGCCAAAATAGATCAGCCGAATCAAAGTTTTAAACGCCAGTTATTAAAACTTTGATTGACTATTGCTTCTCAAAGCTTACTCGATTTGACTTTCCCTCAGTTTATTTTTCTTCCAAAGTTATTCTGGCTCTTCAGGTTATTCTGGCTCTTCAGGCTCTTCTAGTGTAGACTGCTTCTTGTTTGATGCTCTTCTTTGGAATGATCCAAATTGTTGACCAATGTGTTCCTATTTATGGGAATTTTTCTTTCACTTGAGCGCATGATCACACCCAAATAAAAGATTGACTCGCCAAAAAAACCACAATTTGGCGAACTTGATGGTGTAAAAAATTGGCCAAAAATTAGGCGTTTCTCCTTTTTTCCTTCATCTTTGCCCATTTCCGGCCACAAAATCACAAGAAATTGAAGAGGAAAAAATTTAGTTTAATAAACAAAAAGAATTTTTAGTTTAATAAACAAAATTTTTCTTTGCCAAATTAATTTGATTGATGACAAGAAGGAATAATTTTTTTTTAAATAAAATATTTTTGGAGTATTTTTAGAAAATAAATTTTTTTTTAATTAGAGTGGGGAAATATGAATATTTTTTTTTTGGGTGGAGATAGAAAAATTTTGGGGGCACCATATTATTATCCTAACCCCTTTTTCAGGGGGTTAGTCGGCGTTGGGCCCCAAGAGTGGTAACCCACCCTTGGGGCGCGCCGATCCACCGATTAAAAGGAAAGCTTTCTTTTTAAACTTTATTCAACAAATATATTTAATTAAATATCAGGGAGAAAGAACCGGCCAACTTTTGGTCGGTGTTGAGATTGGCGAATGAACTTATTTGGCCAGTTCTTTCTCGCCTTTTATGGGGCATTAAAAATGGGCGTTAAATATTAATTTTTCTTAACTATGACACTATAACATGATATGAAATTTTTTATGTTCCACATCCTTTACCGGTTCCGGATTCATTCAATTTTCTTAAGTATGATTCTTTATTAGGGTTGGCGATAATTCGTAAAAAAATGCATAAATTCTCTCGGGTTTGTTGGTACACCTCGTTTTTTGCCGACCAATCATGGCAGTAATTTATTTTTTTTATTTTATGACATGGTCCCATAACTTAAGGGTTGTTTAGGTTGAACTGTCATTTTTTATTATTATCAATCAATTTTTTTAAAGATAATATCCCAATGGCCGACGAAATAAGAATGTCTGACATAACATTTTCCGATCCTTCAAGTTATGATGGCGGTTTAACAAATTTATCGCACAAAAAAGATGATTATCTCTCTCCTCAACAAGCAATACAATCATCATCTTCAACGCCAGGCAAAAGTGGAAATAAAATTGGACATAGACGAATAGACAAACAAGGGGAAGTTAGTTATAAAAGAGTACCTACAAATGCTTTAATGGGTGCTATACAATTGGGAATTGCAAATTCTGTTGGTTCTTTAGCTGGAAAACCTCGAAGAGATATTTTGGTACAAGATTTTGAGGTTATCGAATCTGTGACTTTTCCTACGTTTGTTTTTTTATTTTTTAATAAAATTATATTTTTTGGTGCGTGTATTTTTGACTTTTTCGGAATTTGAGGCTCGAACTTTCAATTTGTCCATATCACATTTTCCCGTTATTTTTTAGGGCTTTCAACGCTTTTAGGCGTTTTCAATTAGAGTCCCTTTTAATTAAGTTTTATATAAATTTTTTAATTTCCAGTGATGGCTCTCAAATGACACCTTCACATCAATATGGCGATTTCCGTTTCAAATCCTATGCACCAATTGCCTTTCGATATTTTCGCGAGCTTTTTAACATTAAACCTGCCGATTTTTTGGTTTTATTTTTTCTTCAATTATTAGAAAAAAATTTATTTTTTAAAGAAATCTCTCTGTACATTACCTCTACGAGAATTAAGCAATCCAGGTGCCAGTGGTTCAATTTTCTATGTTTCAACAGATGATAAATTTATAATAAAAACTGTTCAACACAAAGAAGCTGAATTTTTAAGAAAATTACTTCCCGGTTATTATATGAATTTACATCAAAATCCTCGAACTTTATTGCCCAAATTCTTTGGTCTTTTTTGTTATCAGGTTTTTTTAATTTTAAGGAAATTATTTAGTACTTAAAAATCCAATAAAAGTTATTTTGGACATGCTTGTCGATTTTGATATTTTGTCTCTCAGAAATTTGAAATTTTATACAGTAGAAATAAATTTAATCGTTTTTTGGATTTTTTTATGATTTTTTTCCTTTTTAAAGCTAATTTTTTTTAAATTTTTCAGAGTCTTGGAAAGAATATCCGTTTATTAGTTATGAATAATTTATTACCTCAATCAGTTGAAATGCACCATAAATTTGATTTGAAAGGTTCAACATATAAAAGACACGCATCAAAAAGTGAAAGGGAAAAGCGTAGTCCAACATTAAAAGATTTGGATTTTAATGCAGAATTTACTGATGGAATTATGTTTGTTTTTAATTTTGTTGTAATGTTGTTTAAGTCTTGTTTTTTCAAACAAAAGTCAAAAGTAAAGGGGTTAAATGAGCATAAATTAACCGTGGGCAGTAATTACCTGCGACCCTTCGGCAGTTATTGCTAATCGCTTCACTCACTAATTTCAGGTCTTAAATATCGTTTAAGGATTTAAAATGGATCTTCCCTCTTTACATTTTAATTTAGGTAAAAGTCTCTTAGATTTATAAAAATCAGAAAATTTTAATAAAAAAATTTTCTTTTTCTGGTATTTGAAAGGAGTGTTTATTTCATTAAAAGTTATCTTTTTTGACAAACTAACGTAAAAATATTTAATTTTTAAAGGTTGGATGCACATATTTACGATATTCTTGTTGATGTAATTAAAAGAGATTGTTTTGTTTTGGAAAGTTTCAAAATTATGGATTATAGTATGTTAATGGGAGTACATAATATTGATGCACAACAACATGCTTCAAATCATAATAGATTACCTGCTGCTTGGGATGCTGAAGAAGCAGCGATTGCAGAAACTTGGCGTTCTTTACAATTGGATTATAGTACTACTAGAGGGCCACAAGAGTAATTTTTTTAGATTTTTGATGTCTTTATTCTATTCTAGAGGATCTAGTTTAATAGTTGTTTTTAAAATAACTTAAAGTGAAACGAGGAAGTTTTTAAGATTTTATTTAAAAATTTTTTTATCACATTTCTCCTGGTTTATTTATTTCGTTTTTATTTCCTCTAAAATTTTCGTAAGTGGGATTTGTTGTTTCGAATTCTAATTTTTTCAATAAATATTTTTCCTATTTATTTTATAGTTTAAAAAAGCCTCCCCTATCTATTATAACTTTCTAATTTTTAAATTTTAGTGATGGTGGTGTACCTGCAAAAAATGCAAAAGGTGAACGTCTACTCCTCTACCTTGGAATAATTGATATTTTACAAAATTATCGGCTATTTAAAAAATTAGAACATACATTTAAAAGTGTTCTACATGATGGGGTTGTTTTTAATTTTTATTTGTTAAAAATTAATTTTTTCAAAGGAAACTATTTCTGTTACAAATCCTGGTTTCTATGCAAATCGTTTCACTTCATATATTTCTACAATTGTTTTTAGAAGAGTACAAGGTATTTTTTTAAATAGATTAAAATTTTGTTGACAATAATAAGAAAATTTTTTTGATTTATTTAATAGAAATGATTCTAATTTTTTGAAACCATTGATTAGCAATAAACTGCCTGGATTCCCTGTCATTCACAATTTAAAAGAAAATAAGGGGCATTTCTTTTAGTTTACTTTAATTTTTTCATTTTAAGATAGTACAGGACAAACTTCAAGACATCCAGCTAGCAATAAATTCCGTTCACTTGTTCATTCTTATATTGGTGTGTAATAATTTAAATTATTTTTTTAAATACTTTATTTCTCGATTAATTCAAATGGTTAATTATTGTTTTAGTCCATCTATGGAAGGGTCAATTTCTTGGGGAGGGGTGAAAATTAACCGAGTAATTACAAATTTGAATTATATTTTTTCGAAGACATTTGTGGAAAAGTTAGAAATTTAGAAATCAGTCCTGGTATTTCGGGATATTTTTTTATTTTGAACACGAAAGATCACTAAAAAAATTTCCATTTTATAGCAATGAAATCTACCCCAGTACGTATACACACAACTCCCCAACAACAACAGCAGCTCCAAAATCGTCGTGTTGTTTCTACTTCTGAATATATAGACAATATTGATTTAAATAATCAACAACAACAACTTAATATTAGCATTACCCCTTCATCAAATGCTGTAAAAGAAAGATTTCCTTCATTTATTGAACAACGAGATATTAAGAATAGACGTTCTTATACAATGATTAAAACATCTCATCTTGGAGTTGGAGCTAGTGGAGTTGGGAATGAATTTGAGTAAGTTTTTTTATTTCTTTTGCTTGAAGTGATAATTAACGAAGAAGGAAGATGTGGGGTAGAGTAGTTTATTAAGTCTGAACCTTCTTTTATACAAAACTACCTATATTCGCATTTCATTATAAAACCACCCTCGAGATTGAAAAATCGCATCATATAATGAGATGTATTAAATAGGAGGTATCACCTAAACAGCTGGCCATCTAAACCCCTCGGTTATCCAAATTAAAAAATTTTTTTATCCAATGTTGGGTGCATTTATAAGGAGACTTAAATTTTTTTAAATAAAAATAAACACTTTATCTAAATATTAATTAACAATTTAAAATATTTTTTTAAAGAAAACAACGACGAAAAGTTGATCGTTTATTCGCTGCTAGTAACAAACAAAGAGAAGGAAGTATAAGCATAAACACAGTTTTGGGTGATGAAGATGGTAGTATTAAAAGTATTAGACAACAATTACAATCTACACAAGTTTAAGTGAATTGTGTTTATTCTTTCCTTTAGAGATTCTAATTAGTAACATATATTTTATTATTATTAACATTAATTTTGTATTTTCATAAAAGAATTTATTTTTTCGATTTTTTTTTCAATTTAAGTTGTGTTGTGAAGTTACAGAAACTGTGGGCAAATGAGAAGGACCTGGAGGGTCTCCGAAAATTGTTTTAATTTTATAAAATTCGCAAATATTTTATTTAAATTTTTGTATTTTCTCATCACTTAGATTCTTCTCAAATCTTGCTTGTATTAGCTATAATTTGTGTTTTAGTAAAATTATATAGCTTATTTTTTAAGTTACAATTCTCTGCTGTCTTCGATCTCACCAATATTTTTTAAATAAAATAAATATGTTTTTAGTAATTGGGAATAAATTTTAACATGACAATGTTTTTAATTTATTTTTTACATTTGTGTTTCCTCTTTTTTATTTTATACAATGATCATTAGGGCTCCCATTTATATGGATATAAAATCGAAAAATATGGACATAAAATATGGATATAAAATCCTGAAATATGGATATAAATATGGAAATAAACACTAAATATGGATATAAAATTCAGAAATATGGATAAAAAAATAGTGAAAAGATATTTTTAAAATCAGTATTTTATGTAGAAAACAATTATTTTGCCTTTATCCTTGCATTTTAAGAACGTTCTAAATGAATTTATGGATTTAAAATTTTTGTTAAATTTTTTTGAAAATAAATTTTTCCGAAAAATTTTCGAAAAAATTTTTTGACCAAAAATTTTGAAAATTTTCGCCAATTTTTACTAAAATTTACCAAAAAATGACCAAATATGGACCAAAATATTCAAAAAAGGTGAAATATTGACATAAAATATGGAAATAAAGGCTAAATATGGAAAAATATGGAAAATATGGGCATGATGCCAAAATATGGAAAAATATGGAAAATATGGATTATAAAGACCATTCTAGAAACCTTAAAACGTGCCAAAAACATGTTTTTCGTACGTTTCATAGTCATAGGAATCCAGGAAAAAAATATGGATTTCCATATAAATGGGAGCCCTAATGATCATATTCCAATATTAAAGGCAACTTCGTTTCACTTGAAGTAGTCCAGGATTTCGATAAAATCATGGTTGTTTAGAGGAAATTAAAAAATTTTGGCAAATAAAAATGGAAAATAAAAAATAGGAAATTTTTTTAAGGACTTTTAAGTAACGAAGAAAAATAAAAAGGGTGGATCCAAAACCACACGCCCTTAAGCTGAAGCGAAAATCGAAAGAAATCCGCTCTATCTGAATCGCGACTTTAATCGAACTTTACATTATAAAAACATCAAAAGCAAAAATATTTCTAAAATCCAAAATACATGTCAGTACAAAAGCCATAAAAATTAGGAAAAAAAATAAAAATAAGATTTGATCTCATGGATTAAAAAGATTGGCTCTATCTGAAAGGAGGTGCGGGATCATATTTTTTCCTCCTTCCTTGCACAAGTCAGCCTACCTTTCATTTTTCCTTAATATGAAAAAATGGTCATCGCATATTCAAATGAGAGAAATTAATAAGGACTTCCGTGTTATGATCGTTCCGTGATTTGGTAAGACGGTATTTTGTCTCATCCGTGTTTTGGTATAGCCCGTGTCTTGTCTGTTCCGAGGATTAGCCTGATACAATTCAAAAATGATTAAAAATCAACATTTTAACTTAAAAACTAGAATCTAGCCTTTAATTTAACTAAAAAAATCTAGCCTTTAATTTTGCATTAGACTTCTAAAAGATTTTATTGATTTAAAATTTCTGTAAAAAAATTTTTTTGAAAAAATTTTACCCAAAAAATTTTCCGAAATTATTTTTTAAAAAAATTTTTATATAAAAAATTTTTTGCCCGAAAAATTCCAAAATTTTGAAAATTTTTACTAATTTTTGACAAAATTTTACAGAAAACAACGAAATATGGACCAAATATGCAAAATTTGCAAAAATATGCACAAATATGCACGAGGGCCGAAATATGCAAATATATGCATAAAATAAATAAAAATATATGCATGTCGCGGACACACCGCGACATTTTACCGGCACCGTTGTCCGCTTTTAAAGGAGAGCCTTTTGGGTGTCCGTGGTTCGAATCTCTGGTTCGAATCCTTATTGGGGAATTAATTTATTTTAACATAATTTTGCTTTTGTTTTTGAAAATTTTATTTAAAAAAATTTTTAAAAACTTTTCTAATTTTTTTTGAAATTTCTTTTAAATTTTTCAAAGAAAGGAATAACTATAAGGCTTTTTCTGGAACAACCTGGGAATGAATAAAAGGAAGAAATAAATATTTAAGAAAATTAAAAAAAAGTTTTAAAAAAATTTTTTGACATTAAACATTCGGAAAAAAATCACAAAATTAATAAAAGACCAAAATTATGTTAAAAAAATTAATTTCTCCAATAAGGATTCGAACTTGGGGGAAAAATTAAATTCGAGAACGCTACCGCTGCACCACCGTTGAACACATTTATAATGGAAAAGAAATTGTTTATATGAGGAAAAGAGAACTTTAGGGGCTTATAACTCGGTCCACGGTACCATTAGCGAAAACGGTTTAAAGTTTACAATAGAAAGGGTATACTCTACCTCTCTACCAAATTTCATCCCGAAACGGACAACCCTTCACCCGCCCACTACACATCATGTACATTATCCTTTATTTTTTCAGTGAGAAGAAATGCTGGGAGGGAAGATGGCTTGGCTTTATTCAACGGCTCTCCTTCATCATCACAACATTATTATTGGAAAAATTTTCCTCCCTTTTTTATTGTCCCGTTAAATAAAAATATTTTTTAATTTATGTATTTCTTTAATGTAATTTTAATTTAAATTATATTTTTTCTTCATTTATTTTTAAAATAAATTCTTTTTATAAATTAATTTGTAATTTACATTTTAGGGGGTAATTTAAGATGGGTTTCCGGGAATATTAAATTTGGGAGTTCGAACAAGTGTTATGCACGGTACGGTATTACTGTGGTATTTTCCGGTATTACCGCGGTATTATTTTCGGTATTACCGATATCGTACCGGTCGATTTTGTAAGAAATCGGTATTTTTTCGGTATCAGTATTTTACCGAAAAAATACCGGAAATACCGGTACCGGATGAAAATAACGCGGTATTTTCGGTATTCCGGTATTTTCCATCAGAAGATTCCCAAATTCTCAAAATTTTCGCCTGCGTCGTCGAAAAAGTAAGAAATTTTGCTTCTCGGCCTTCCAAAATTTTCAAAATTTTCGCCTGCGGCGCTGAAAATGGAAGAAATATGGCTTCTCAATTTTTGCAAATTCTCAAAATTTTCGTCTGCGGAAAAAGGAGGGGGTATACGAAATTCAATTTTACCGTTTTAAATATTTTGATAAATATTTTGAAATACTACTAACTTTGTAATGCGTCTACTATTTTTATTCCTCAAATTTCATAATGTCAGCTAGATTTCCTTCTCAATTTAATTTTTACATATTAAAATATAATAAAATTGATGAATTAATTTTCATATGAAAATAGATTAAAATTAAAGAGTACTATATATTTCATGTAGTAAGTATGTTGTATATTTTCCATGTATCCATATATCTAACTACTCCAGGTATCCGAGTATTCTAATATTAGCCTTTTAGTTCATATGAATAATTTAGTTTAAAATTGTAATGAAATAATTAATAGCTAATTGTTATAAATGGAATCATTGACCAAAGAACTATTCTTAAAATTGTGTCAGAGGTTTAAAATTGTCGCGAAAGGCGACAATTAGAGTTTAATCTTTTAAAGTTTATTTTTTCCTAAAATTAATTTTTCTTTAAAATTCCAATCTTTACTTTTACCGCACCTGCTGTCTAGGAATTCTTTAATGTTTAAGAAATTTTTTCTAACTTTTTAAATTAACTTCCTTTTGTATTCAAAATTTGTTCTATTATTTTAACTTAAGCGCATCTATTTAATTTACTTTTTTGTACCAGCTGCCATTCATTAATTTCTATTTTTTGCCCACTTTTGGAATGTTGTTTATCTTTAACTCTGTCTACCCGCCTATTTTTCTGGCCTATAAAATCTCCCTTCCAAAACCCACATCAGCTTTCTAATCAGCTCTACTCTGTTGGTTCCTTTCTCTGGCTTACTCTATTTCTTTGTTGGCGCTTTTACTTTATTAATTGTTGGACTTTAATTTATTAATTGGAAAATAAATATTATTTAATTTGATTGGAAATTGTTTGTTGGAATTAGGCTGAGACTTGGAAACTTGGTCCCTAGGCTTCTACTACATATTTTTTGGTGCAACGGCTGGGAAACCATCCTGGTCACCGTGTGGAATCAATCTATTGCCTCTATTTGGAATTTATTGCTTTGGACTTAATCAAATTGGATTGCTATGGCTGCCTGTATTCGACGCAACATTACCGCAGTTCTGAAGGGAATACAAACTTATACGAGAGAAGCAACGCAGTTAATGGGCAAAGATATGGACGAGGGCATTTGTGAGAGACTAAGGTCAAAGAAACTGGACTTGGAATCTGCCATAGCACGAATTGTGGAATTGGACACGCAGTGGACGGATATTATAAATAGTCTTGACGCAACACAAAAAATGGCTGAGGAATCTATCTACATGAATTTCCCGCATAATGAAACTGGTGGATTAGAAGACGGAGATGAGGTTCCTCTTTCCAAAAGGCATTTTTTGGACCAGAATGAGTTTGCTCGTGAAGTTCTAAACATGGTTTCGGAAATGCTTAACACCCTGGAACGCTCTCGAACCAACTCTCGTCAGTCGGCGCTGAGTGAGAGTAATCATAGCGTAGATTTGAATGAGGAGGCAAATAATGCTAGAACTAACCATTTGGATGCTAGGATGAATAACACTGGAATAAACCATTTGGATGCTAGGACCAACAATTCTGAGAGGAATAATGCAGGATTACCTGTTTACCACGCACTGCAACCGCCCTTTTTGCAACCACGAGTGAATCTTCCGCCACTTCACTTGCCGCATTTCTCTGGTGATTCAAAAGACTGGCCAACCTTTTGGCAAATGTTTTCGTCTACGATCGATAATGAACCAAGCTATAATAATGTGGTGAAAATGAACTACCTGCTTTCTCTCCTGGATGGTCCAGTTCTGAACGTAATAGCCGGTTACCTTCCAACGAATGAGAATTACTCGCGTGTGGTGGAACTGTTAAGATCTCGATATGGAGACTCAAAAGTATTGAAGGAAGCGTTGCAATCTGAACTGTACCATCTTGCACCAGCCAATGACTCCGTAGTAGGACTTCGGAAATTTCTGGATGTAATCGAGCGGGTATGTCGGCAGCTGAGTGATTATGGGATCCAAGACGACTCATGGATTATCTTTGCTCTAAAGGAAATTTAGCGGATTGGCTCAAAAACCGCTAATTTAAACTAATTAATTTAAACACACAAATACAAATATTTATTTTCTTTTAATTTAAAAATACAATTGGTTAAGAAAAAAAGTCTCAGCGGATATTTTTTAACGAAGAGTGAATGAAAGTGAAAAACTCAACTTATAGAGAATTAAAAGTTATTTAAATAAAAGGCAAAGCGAACATAAAAAACTTTAAGATGATTATGTTAGATAAAGTCTGGGAAATTGTTTTGTGGATGAGTAATTTCAATAAAATTTATATTTTTAATTAAATTTATAATTCGCGTTTAGACGCGACACTCCCGGGCCAACAAATGGTTGGACATTAAAAAATTGGGATGGCAAGAGTGGAGTTGCGGGGGTTAAGATTGGTACAACAAACAAAATTTGGGGGTTGGGAATATAGGTAGGAACAGGTGCAGAAACAATAGAATTGCTACATAATGATTGGATTGATGTGGCTGGAGTATTTTTTAGATTAGGCATGAAATTGGGAGGTGGTGGCGGAGTTAGTAAGTTGTGGATATAAGTCGGGTTAAGATGGACCTTATTAAGGGGAGTGGGTTTCGGAAATGTAATTCTTTTACGAATTCTTTTATTTTTTGTCCTCTCCCATTTTCTTATCAAATTCTTCTTTATGGTGTGTTCATTGATGGGTAGGGCTTCGATTACACCAGTGTCCAGAATGCGCACTCGTGAGGCAATGTTGAGGCGTTGTGGTAGTTTGAGAGCGGCCAAAGGTGGCGGACCATCAGGTAGAGGGATGTTGACGGCAGCAGATTCGTCATCCGTTGTTTTATGATTGGCAGCAGGTGGTGAAGGCGGTTGAACACGTGGATGAGTCGGCGTTGTTTCTGTTGGTGGTGGTGCTGAGGATTCTGTAGTAGCAATGCCAATCGTCGGAGTAGGGTCACATTCCATTGTCGAGTCTGTTGTTTCTGCCTGTTGCGATCTGTTATCTTTTAAAGGAATTTTAGATTTATCATTAGAAATATTTATAAATTTTAAATAACGTTGTATATGGACAATGTCTTTTTGGGAAATTTTGGACATAATGAACTAAAATTTTAATTGATTTATCTTAAATAATGAAAAGGGATTATTAAAAATTGAATTTAACTTATTAAATTTAAGGGGGCTTAGTGTCGTGGGTTTGAGTGATTAACGAGCTCCTGGATGTTGGAATTTAAGTCTTGTAATTCAATAGGAGGTTGTGGTCGGGCGTTTTTGCCCTTGAACAAACGGAACAGGAAGATGGCTACTTTTACTATTAACAGTAGTACCAGGACGGATAGACAGCCGAAAACGGATAAAACCGCTACAGAAAGGTCAGGATGTTCAGTCAAAAATTGGGCAAAGGATTCAAAACCTAGATAAACAGCCGAAGTGGCTAAAATTGGAAGAGTACCTTTAGCAATAGGTTTTCCTAAACGTTTGAAAAGAGGAGGTTTCTTCCACAAGGGGGATTTACGGCCTGGAAATGAGTTAGTGCCGCCAACTAGGGCGATAAGGATAAAAAGCAAAATTACGAGAAAAGTCGGCGGGGGTGTCCACCGTTGAGTGTTTCGTTTTGGATGGTGTTGTTTGATTAAGCAAATAATTAAAGTTAAAATGATGGCAAAAATTGGCAGAAGGATAGCCAACAAATTCCAGTTAAGCCAATTGTAGTTGTCAGGCTCGGAAATAAATTGTAGTTCAATATTAATAAGTTCAAGGGAAATAAGACTACCCATTAATTCGAAAGAGAACTGCAAAAGAATTAAAATTAAAATTTGAAATTTAATTACAAAAATTAAAACTATTAAAAATTTTTAAAATGATGGGTTAGGAGTAAATTAATGTTTATAAAGTTCGCTCAAGCGCCCTCCCCCCGGGAAGTTGAATAGTGTTTTGCAGAATGGGAATTATAATTGTAAGAATTAAAACTAAAAGTTAATGTAAAAAACAATTTAATGACGAATGGCTCTATTCCGAAGCTGTAAAACATTGGTCGGGGATCGAAGGTTTCTCTCATTTACTTCCTTTTTTTGTTGTGTAATGTTTGGTTTTTCCTGTGAAAGTCTTTTTTCTGCTTCTTCTGTCGTTTCTAATGGATATAAGTGAGATACAGATCTAAGCAGAGTGTTTCCGCTATGAGAAGTTTTAACAAGTGCTGTGTCTGGGAATTGTCCTTCGTTAAAATGTACTTTGACTATAATCGCAATAGGCCAGAGAGCTTTAGGTGACTCACTATGAATTAATACCAGCTCTCCTTTTTGAGGCCAACGAGGATTTTGGGAGGAAATTTTATGGAATCTCTCCCTGAGAGAAAGGAGGTAATCATCCCGCCACCGTACCCAAAAATTTTTTGTCGTTTTTGACAAACTTTTCCATAAGTTTTCTAAAGTTGAGGGATTACTTTCGGGGGAATAATCGGGATCATTTTCGATTTCTTTGTTTATCATTAATGGCCAATTGTGGAGGTTGTAACCTAAAGGCCGCATAAAATCAATAGGCCTGAGTGGGAGGGGGTCCGCTGGATTGGAACTACAAAAACTAATTGGTCTCGAATTTACACAACTTTCTATCTCTGAAAGTGTGGTGAGGAAGTTGTCAAATTTATAAATATGAGGAAAAAGTCCTTTTGCCAAGGACCTACGTAAATGGAATTTTACCAAGGCTATAAGCCGTTCATAAAAACCTCCACGCCATGCGGCGTACGGTACTCTTAAATGCCAAACAATAGGGTGAGTTTTACACGAATTTTCAAAAAATTTCTTAAAAGAAATAAATGTGGGGGCGCTGTCTGAGTAAATTGTTGTAGGAGGTGAAAATTTGGCACAAAATCGCCTAAAAGCGAGTAGGAAAGATTCACTAGTCAAATCTGGCACATAGTCAAGGGAAATTCCTCTAGTGGACAAACAAACCCAAATAACAATCCAGAACTTTTTTGTTTTCGGGGTACTTGTATTTGAGGTTTTCAGAAATTTTTTATCGGTCCTTATGTATAGTGGACCGCAGTAATCAAGGCCTGTGGTTAAAAACGGCCGAGAAGGTGATACTCGTTCTATTGGTAATTGTGGGAACGGGGGTGGGTCGAATGGTTTAACTTGAAACTTCCTACACGGGAGGCAGGATTTGAAAAGTACGCGTTCAACAGTGCGTCGACCTTTAGGAATCCAATACTGTCGTCTTATTATCGACAACGTAAGTAACGGGCTGGCATGGTGGTATATGAGATGAGTTTCGTAAATAATGAGGGCTGTTAAATGAGAATTTGACGGGAGGTAGATCGGTTCAATAGTATTTATTGGTAATGAGGATTTTCCTAGTCTACCTTTTGACCTCAGTATATTTTGGTTATCAGTAAAAATTCCTAGTGCTTCGTTATTTTTATCAGTGGGTGGAAATAAGCGCTGTTCCTGTTGAAGAACAATCGAAAGCGCACGTCTATATTCTTTTATACTAATTTTCAGTGACGGGTATTTTTCTTTAAGCATTGGAAATATTTTGGATTTTGGTTTTAACTGAGAGAGAAAACGAATGACATACGCTATACAGCGCAACGCTTTATATAGTCTAGAGTGGTGTGTTAGATCAAAAACTGATTGGTGTTGGGTAATGGCAAACGCGAATATAGGGTTCTCTGCTTCCTCTTGTTTTGGCCCTTTATATTCGTTAGAGCGAAATGGCTTGACCTCTTTATTGTCTGGCCAACAGGTGGAAGGGAGTGGGAGCCATTGTGGGCCGCTCCACCACATTAAATTAGCGGATAACGACTTTACTGAGGAAATTCCGCGTGTTCCCAAGTCGGATGGGTTTTCTTGACCGGAAACGTGGCGAATAATCAAATTTGGGATTTTTTGAATACTTTTAATTCTATTGGAAACGAAAATGTCACGGATGTGTATTTTAGTATTTACCCAGGAGATAGCAACTGAGGAGTCGCTCCAAAGATTCATAATTGGGTCAATATTTAAATTCTCTAAATGTTTATACACAAATTGGAGGGCTTTTGTGGCCATTAAAATGGCAATTAGTTTTAATTGGGGGATTGTTCTTTTTGTTTTTATAGGCTTTACTTTCGTTTTACTAAAAATAAGTCTCACGTCCATTTTACCATCAGGCAAGTTTTCAATTCTCATAAATATTGCTGCGCACATTGCTGCTTCAGAAGCGTCTGTAAAACAATGTAGTTGGAATCTCTGTTGTTGATTGGTATTTGAGAGTCGTCTTGGAATTTTGATAGGTATTTCGTCAGTCCATTCTTTTATTAAAATATTCCACTTTTCAACCAAATCTACTGGAAGTTGATCGTCCCATTTTAGTTTATTTTCCCATAGAGATTGCATAAATATTTTTAAAGGTAAAATTAATGGGGTGATTAAGCCTAACGGGTCAAAGTGTGACGCTATGAAGGCAAGAATTTTTCTTTTAGTTAGTATTTGTGTTGGAGGGAATGGTTTTATTTTTATTTCAAATAAATCGGAATCGGTGTTCCAACAAAGGCCAAGAATTTTTTGTGAGGGTCCTTTTAATCTTTTTGTCTCGGGGATAGGATCAAGAGCTTCTTTGGAATTACTAGCGAACTCTTGTAGTTCCATATTTGCTTTTTCGAAGAGCTCATTTACCGCAATTACTTTAGTTTGAGCGTCTGGGATATTTTGAGCGGAAAAGACAATATTGTCAACGTATGTGTTATTGCTAATTTCGTCTGAAAGGGCTGAAGGGTGTTGTGAAAGGTGGTGTAAAATAGTAGCTCCCAATAGGAATGGCGAGCAGCAAAGGCCGAAAGGGACTCTAGTAAAGCGATAAATTTGTAAATTACTATTATTCAAAGGCTCTTCAATCGATTTAAGCCAAATGAATCGGGTGGCGTCCCTGTGTGAGGGGTGGACGGAGATTTGGAGAAAAGCTTTCATTACGTCTGTTATAATTACAATTTGTGGGATACGAAATCGGAGTAAAATTCCGACTAAATCTGGAAGAATTACGGGGCCGGGTTCTAATGTGTCATTCAGCGAATTTTCTTTTCCAATGTGCGCTGATCCATCGTATACGATACGAAGTTTGTGGGTAATTACGGGCTGGTGTGGGAGATAATGGAGGGGTGGTGAATATTGGGTGGGGTCTATTACTGGTTCAATAATTCCAAGTTTTAGTTGTTCTTGGATGATGTTATTGTATTTTGTTAGTAAAGCAGTGTCTTTATTTAAAATTTTTAAAGCCGAACGAAGTCGTCCGTAACAAAGGCCATAATTAGACGGTAGTGAAATTGTGGAAGGATCTGCTTTGAATGGAAATTTTACCTCATATCGATTGTTAACAAAGCGTATTTCTTTTTTAAATTTTTGGAATACTTCATCTTCGGTGAGTGCTGGAGGAGGGTCTGTTATACCAATACCTTCCAGGGTAAAGAAATCTGGGTTTGGTTCAAATGGGGTACTTTGGACGCAAAAATTAGTCACCGTGTTATAAATTTTTTGGTAAGTGTGTTTAAATGACTTTCCGGCAACTATTGGGCCGAGTAGAGTTTGGATCAAGTGATAGCCCGAAGGCAAACGGCAAATGGGAGTAGGTTCTATCTCGTAATAAAAATCACTACCTAATAAAATGGTAGGGCAGGTAGATTTAATTGAGGGGGTTAATTCGCTGTATTGAAGTACCTCAGGGCTAAAGGGTAAGTACGAGGTACTATGAGTGAGGTGGTCTAATGTATTAGCTTTGACCTGTAAGACCCGGCCATTCAGCAATTGGATTCCAAATGTGGTTGAGTAAGTCTGTGTTGGCTTAAATTTAGGGTTGTTAAATACTCCCAAATTCATAGTTGTTTCTTCCAGAGTCAATTTCAAAGACCTAGCTTCTTCTGTTCGGATGTATGAATTTGTACTGGCGTCGTCAAGTAATACAATTAATTCTTTATTAATTGCTGGGTAGGCAGGATTGAAAATTCTTGCGCAAACACATTTAAGCAATATTGGGTTGGAATTATTCTGCACTGTGCTGGTAGAAACGTTGATTTGATGGTTGTCTTTCGTGTTGTTTTCCATTTCATTTGCCTGTGGAGTCGTAGCTGGCTTAATGCTTAAATTTTGTATAGGGATTGGGGATGGGGGGTATACATTATTGTAAAAATACGGATTAAATCCGGGATACGGTTGGAAAGTTGGGTAAGGGGGATATGAAACAGGTGTGTTAAAATTCGGGAATAATGGGGAAATTTGGTTAGTGTGTATTGGAGTGTATTTATTAGAGGTGGATGTGGATTGAATATTGTTAGTTTGTTGGTGACCATTTTTCAAATTCCTAGGACATAATGGTCGAGGGTGATTATCGTGACATTGAGAGCATTGACTGGGCGAAGGACAGTTACTAGCAAAATGATTTGGCTTCAGGCACCTAAAACATCTTCTAAGAGCTCTAAGTCGGGAGTGTCTTGAATTTATATCGGAAAATTTTAAGCAATTGGACGAAAAGTGTCCAGCGTCTTCACAAAACAGGCAAGGTAATTTTGGACTAATAGTTGGCCTAGAAATTTTATTTTGCTCTCTTCTCTGAGTAGCAAACGAGAGGGAAGAACTTTGTAAATGGGATTGGTTTTGTGGTGAATAGGAGTCCGATTGGGACTGCGTGGGTGTAAAAAATTTATTAATTTTAGGCGGTTTCATGGGGGATTGGATTTCTTTATTTTGGTCCCTTATGGCACAAACCCCAAGTTTACGTTTAAGTATAGTTTTTAAAACATTACGTAATTTGTCGGTGCTCCAATTACCAGCTTCCTTGGCCTTGAGTATTTCTTCCAAAATTAGTGGTGGGAGCTTGCCTTCAATTTCCATTTGTATAGAGAGTGTGTTGGTGTCGAAATTCTGTTCTAGCATTTGTAAATAAATTATTTCGAACTCATCGACAAATGTCGAGAGTTCTTTACACAAAATTTCCGGTCCGTGGTTGGAATGGACAATTGGTAATTTGCGAAGGGAAATGTGTAAATTACGGTTTATTTCATCAGGTTGTCCGTAATTTTCTTTTAAAAGTCGAATAGCTTCGTTGTAAGAAGCATCGGTGAGTGGGAGTGATTTGACAAGTAAAAGAGCCGGTCCACTTAGACATTCTTTTAAATAGGAAAATTTTACAGAATTGGAAATACTAGTCAAATCGTGGACTCCGGCACAGAAAGAATTCCAAAAAGAAACGTATTCAATACAGTTACCCGAAAATTTGGGAAGCGATATTTTCGGTAAATGCATATGTGATTGAGTGGGTTGGTTGGGATCTGGAAGAGCGGAAATTAAAATTTGGCGAGAAGAACGGATATTTTTTAAATATTTTTTCAGTTGAAATAATGTGCCTAAATAGGGGGTGGTGGTCACAAAATTTTCATAAATGGGAGTGTCGGCGGTCCTTTCCGCTCCGGTCATGTTTGTTCTGACCGACATCCATTTTTCGTGTGTGGAAGAAATTTCGGAAATTGCCTCGGAAACATATTCAAGCTCTAATTCTAAAGAGCTCAACAATTTGCGGGTGTCGGAATGGAATTGTGATAAACTTACCGTATCGGGTGGAAGGGGAAAAGTCTTTTGATTACCAACAATTTCTAGACCTTGCTCGTGTAGGAGAGTGAGCTGGTCACGATACGGTGCGGACATAGTGAATTAAAAATTAAAAATAATAAAATTTCTTAAAAAGGGGGAAGTCCGTATGTGTCAATTCCGCAGAACGCAGGCAAATTAGGAAATAGTCCGGAACAGGTCACCGGCTGAGCTTTAGCGGATTGGCTCAAAAACCGCTAATTTAAACTAATTAATTTAAACACACAAATACAAATATTTATTTTCTTTTAATTTAAAAATACAATTGGTTAAGAAAAAAAGTCTCAGCGGATATTTTTTAACGAAGAGTGAATGAAAGTGAAAAACTCAACTTATAGAGAATTAAAAGTTATTTAAATAAAAGGCAAAGCGAACATAAAAAACTTTAAGATGATTATGTTAGATAAAGTCTGGGAAATTGTTTTGTGGATGAGTAATTTCAATAAAATTTATATTTTTAATTAAATTTATAATTCGCGTTTAGACGCGACAGAAAAGCTACCCAGAGGAATACTAGCTAAATTGATTGAAAAAGAGAAAATGGCAGGAAAAACCTGGAAGATTGAGAATTGGAGATCAGAACTTAACTTGCTCATATCAGTGAAAGAGGAAGTGCAGAGATGTACGGTTAATAAGGAAACAGAAGGACCGCCGCGGAGAGATAGACGCCCATTTTATCAGCCAGAGCCTACTCGTTCATTTCCAGTTGCTAACCAACCAAAATCGTCCTGTTGTTCCTTGTGCCAAGGAAACCATTTTCCGAGCGAATGTACTAGATATGGAAACCCGCAAGCAAGAAAGGACCGCCTAATGGAACAGAACCGTTGCTTGAAATGCTTAAGAGAGCGTCACCGAGCCAATGACTGCCCGAACCACCGTCGCTGTAGTAGATGCCAGGGACCTCACCACTTTTTGGTATGCTTTTCGCGAGATGTCAAGAGCCAAAACCGACCCAAATTTGTTGGATTCAATCAGAGGACGTTCGTTCAGCCTAGTCATCCTGTACCAGTTTTTAAGCCAAGACAGTTCACCCAGTCACATCCAATCTGGGAGAGAAGAGATCAACCGTATGCTATTGTTCATGGGACAAATTGCGACGCCAAATTGCCAGCGCCTAAAGAGAATTCTGTGGTAGCTACCGTAATGGATGCTAAGAATAAACCCACTGCCTATCTGATGACCAAGAGATTGATGGTCACTGCCAGAGGACGTAAAGAAAGAATCCCTGTTTATGTATTCTTTGACACTGGAAGCCAGACGAGCTTTGTTTCTCGCCGATTAGTAGAAAAACTCAACCCGCCTAGAGGCCGTGAAATTGACCAATTGGAAATCCATGGATTTGGAGGTGCCCTGTCTAACCCGCTAAAAATTCGATCGCCTACTTATCTGGTAAAAATCCAAAGAACAGACGGAAGGTGGGAAGAAATTGCCTTAAATTGCACTGAGGAAATCGCAACTCCGTTTGATATGCTAAATGTGGACGAGACATATTTTTCTAATCACCCTGAATTTGAGATTGTGAGAGAAAAGCCAGATATTATGATTGGGATTAGGCAATTTTGGAAATTCTTTGTGTCAAAAGGGAAAGAAATATTACCGGGTCTTCATTCTATCCGAACTATTTTTGGCACAATGACAGCTGGCGAAACACACTTTGGACACAATTCCAATAAAGAGTCAATGTCTTTGGTGGCAGTACATTCGAGTAATGAGGAACATCTTCCAACCCCTAATGCTGTAGAAGACTTTTGGAGTTTGGAGTCAATTGGTATAAAAGAAAATCCCTCACAAAATGATGATGAGGTGGCAACAAAGCTTATTGAAAAATCGATTACTGTAACCAATGAGGGAAGATATTCGGTTCGATGGCCATGGAAGGAGGAAAACCCCCGGCTGGACTCTAACTTTAAAATGGCTTATAGCAGACTAATCTCAGTTCTTGATAACCTCAGAGGCTCAGACATATTGGAAAAATATGACGCGCAAATCAAAAATCAGTTAACTGAGGGGATCATTGAGGAAGCAGACCGTAACCCTAATGGACTGGAACATTATTTACCCCATCATGGTGTTGTGACCCATAAATTGCGAATTGTATATGATGCTAGTGCTCATCGAAGAGGAAACCCATCACTAAACGAATGCCTATACCGAGGGCCTGTGCTTTTGCCTGACTTAGCTGGGTTGCTATTACGCTTCCGTTGTCCGAAATACCCTGTTTTGGCGGATATACAAGCTGCTTTCCTGACAATAGAACTCGAACCTGACCAGCGCGAAGTTTGCAAATTCTTATGGATGAGGGATGTAAAGCAACCCGTTTCGTCGACGAACCTAGTTGTTTATCGCATATGCCGTGTAGGATTTGGGATTATCTGTAGCCCCGCGATCCTTGCAGTGGTTATTCGCCATCACCTGGCCAAAAATGATAAATTGGAAATGGCTAACAACCTCTATGTCGATAATTTACTGTTGGAATGTGAAACCCTAGAAGAGGCAGACGCGAAATGTACAGAAGCTAAAGAAATATTCGCCAGGGCAAAAATGAACCTAAGAGAATTTATTTCTCATTCACCGCAAGTTATGAACTCAGTTGCGAGCGATGACCGTTTAAAGGTAGAGCAGTACGCCAAGGTGTTGGGAATGAAATGGCAGCTCGAGTCTGATGGCATACACTTCGAATTTCCAGGACTGAAAGGAAACGTGCCATCTCGTCGTTCAATTTTGAGTGTTTTGGCAAGTGTTTATGATCCGATGGGATTGGTTTCTCCGTGTCTTCTACCTGCGAAATGCCTCTTTCAAGACTCTTGGAATAACGCTAAAGACTGGGACGACGTGTTGCCGGTCTCTATTGCCACCAAATGGAAAGCTATTTTAACTGATTGGGACCAAAAGAGCATCGATGTACCAAGAAAGATTATTGTAGAGACGGGGGCTCGTTTGGAACTGCATACTTTCGTGGACGCTTCGAATTTGTCTTTTGCCGCTGCCGTTTATCTGAAAAGCCATATTGACGAAAAATCCATGACCAGCCTAATCTTTTCAAAAAATCGCCTGAAACCGCTTAAAGGAGGGAAGACGCTCACTATTCCTCGCATGGAACTTTTGGCAATTCTTATTGGTGTGAGAGCAATGGAATTTGCGAAAAATGAGTTAAAACGTGAAATTGCTGGTTTCCACCTCTGGAGTGATAGCCAAATAGCGCTCTCTTGGATTAACACAACTGAAACACAACCAATATTTGTGGAGCGACGATTGGGAGAAATAAGGCGGCACGAACATGTGCTTTTCCATTATGTGCGGACCGACCAGAACCCAGCGGACATCGCAACTAGGGGGATGAGTCCAATTGTACTGCGTGATACTAACCTTTGGTGGGAAGGACCCGAGTGGCTTAAACGCTCTTCCAATAAATGGCCAGCTGAAAAGGAATTTCATGTCAATAAAAGGGAAATACAAGAAATCGATTTGCAGGAACAAAAGGAAGAGGAAACGCGAGTCTATCTGGTGAAAGAAAGAAAACTTAAAAAAGCGAAAGAAATAAATAAAAATGACCGATGTATGGACTTAACTAGATTTGGAACCTGGAAGCGTTTAACACGAGTAACTGCGTTTGTGATGCGTTTTATTAAAAAAGTGAGGCCTAATTTTTCTGCTATTTCTGTCGATGGACCTTTTACCGCCGACGATTTTAAAACTGTTGAAACCTTATTAATAAAGAATGACCAAAGGGTTTATCTTGAAGATTGTGGCGAAAAAACTTTGATTGACCAAAATGGCATTAAACGCTTAAACACACGATTGTCTGCTATTGGGAAAATGGAACCAAATTTGGCACAACCGATAATGTTATCATGTCACTCTCCTCTCACCGCTCACATAATCCGACGCATTCACGAGGATTTACAGCACGGAGGTGTTGATTGGACTTTAACTGAATTTTTGCGTTCTTATTGGTGTTCGAAAGCGCGACAAACAGTCCGTAAAGTAATTGGTGGATGCTTAAAATGCCGGAGAATTTCGTCAACTCCCTTTGCTAAACCTGAAATGCCGCCGCACCCAACTGACCGTGTTGTGCGCCACGTACCTTTTGAATCCACTGGTGTTGATTACTTTGGACCTACTGTAACTAGACTTTCTGGAAATGTTGTAAAAGTTTGGATTGTTTTGTTAACATGCTTAACCACACGTGCCGTTTATTTGGAACCGACACTCGATCTTTCGACCACTTCATTCACAAATGTATTTCGCAGGTTTATTTGCCGGCGTGGACGCCCTAAGCGAATGATGAGCGATAATGGAGGACAGTTTGTACTAGCGAACAAAACCATGAATGAGCTTAAAAAAGACTTAATTGCTGAAGAATTGGCCCTAAATGGAATTGAGTGGAAATTCTTGCCATCTTTGAGTCCGTGGGCTGGAGGCTTATACGAAAGGCTAGTGGGCATGGCAAAAATGTGTTTTAAAAGAGCTCTTGGCAGGAAGATTCTTGAATATGACCAATTGGCAACCTTTACAGCTGAAGTAGAAGCTAGTCTAAATCAACGTCCAATCTCACACGTCTCGGGAGAAAGTGATGCGCCGCTGCCTTTGAGACCCATTGATTTTCTAATACCACACGGAACTATATCTTTGAATTTTGACTCAGCTGAGGAGTGGGAGGACGAAAGACGCTTACTGCCAGAGAAAAAGCTTGCTATAATCTGGAAAAATACACTGACGGTACTGGACACTTTTTGGGAGAAATTATCATCAGAATATTTAATCCTTTTGCGAGAACGGTCAAAATGGAAGCACAAGGGCCCCAGGCTACAAACCATGTCTTCACCCACCGTTGGGGAAGTTGTTCTAGTGGAGGAAGATTTTCGACCACGAAACCTTTGGCCTCTAGGGAAAGTGATGGAACTTAATACAAGTGGATCCGTTGTGCGAAGTGTTAAAGTAAAAATGGCTAATGGAAGAATTGTTACCCGGCCAGTGAGCAGACTTTATTCCCTCGAGGTAAAGCAAGTGGAGGAGGAAAATGAAAAGGAAATGGAAAATGATGAGAGAACAAATAAGAATTTGGCCTGCGAATTGGAAAGCAAAAGGGATGAAAATCACCGCCAAAATAAACCAAGAGTGGAAAAACAAGCTGTAAAACCGCATCCTATGGTTACGAGGGCTAAAGCTAAATTGGCATCATTTACTTTGGTTGCACTCTGTTTGCTCTTTTTGTTAAATAACACGACGGCATTGGCGATTAAGTCATGTTCTACATGTTTGATTCATTGCACACTGACAGGCGTCATGGTCTTTGGTCCAGTTGGAAATCAAAAAACGGAAATATGTTGCGACGAAATGTGTGTTATTAAAAACAATGTGCAGAAACTATCATACGAATTACCTACTGAAATGCTTTTGACGGACTACCACTGTGTGGCCAATTTTTGGAAAAGCTCGCGAGAAATGTTTCGGACAGAGATGACGTGCCCGGCTCTAAACGAATGCTTATTGATGGACTGCACGTTTTGTATCGACCTACTTGTGAACCCCTCATGCAATCCCAGTCTCGCTAGTGTTCTTTGGGCACTTGTTACTCTGACCATGCTTACAGGACTCTGCTGTGTGCTTACTCTTTGTCGATCTTGCCATCAAAACTTTCGAATGATTGTGGCTATTGGAAGGATTGGATTCCATTGCTGGAGGTGGATGAAAAGGAAGACTGCTTATACGAGGGCGCGCGCTGGAGAAACAATCCGAAATAAAAAAGAGAGATTAAGGATTGGAGCTAGAGAATGGAGAAGAACCGGATTAACGAGACTAGCAAGGATCGTGGCAAACGTCGTACTGATATGTGCAATTCCATGCGTAACCGCTTCGCAGGCTAGTGACATCGAGGACAAACTGGAATTCACTGCGTCTTTACTGCTACATACACTTTATGGCACGCGGGACAATCTGATGCTATGGTATACGAGATGAATAGAAAGAAACAGAAGAAAGAAAACAATTGGGGGCCCGGGAATGTCGCGAAAGGCGACAATTAGAGTTTAATCTTTTAAAGTTTATTTTTTCCTAAAATTAATTTTTCTTTAAAATTCCAATCTTTACTTTTACCGCACCTGCTGTCTAGGAATTCTTTAATGTTTAAGAAATTTTTTCTAACTTTTTAAATTAACTTCCTTTTGTATTCAAAATTTGTTCTATTATTTTAACTTAAGCGCATCTATTTAATTTACTTTTTTGTACCAGCTGCCATTCATTAATTTCTATTTTTTGCCCACTTTTGGAATGTTGTTTATCTTTAACTCTGTCTACCCGCCTATTTTTCTGGCCTATAAAATCTCCCTTCCAAAACCCACATCAGCTTTCTAATCAGCTCTACTCTGTTGGTTCCTTTCTCTGGCTTACTCTATTTCTTTGTTGGCGCTTTTACTTTATTAATTGTTGGACTTTAATTTATTAATTGGAAAATAAATATTATTTAATTTGATTGGAAATTGTTTGTTGGAATTAGGCTGAGACTTGGAAACTTGGTCCCTAGGCTTCTACTACAAAAATAAACACATGCCAAGAATTATAAAAAATTATGCTCAACCATTTATAAATGAAGTATAAAAATATAAAGTTAACAAGAATGTCTCAGAAGTGACTTTTCCTGCGGATGATAGCAGATTTGGTTAGTAAAACTATTTTATTATTAAGTTTATGGTTTCTTGTTGTATGAATAATTTGTTTGGGGCATCATTTGAACATTAAAATGAATAAATTATAAGAAATAGATCCAAAATTCTATGCTAGTCTACAGATTTCTTATCAAAAGATTTCGAGGAACCATTAAACTTACTAAAGAAAATGCAACCATATTTGTTTATTTCTAAATTAATTTAACTAGATTTTAAATATTTTAATAATACTGTTGTATATAATAAATTATTTTTCAAATAAATAGGAACAGTTTATATTTCCTGGCTTGTATATAAATGCAACGACCGATGTTTTAACATTATGATTCAAATTTTACATGACTACTTATTAAACTATTTGTATGAAGATTTAGTCGATGAAAAATATTGCTCCGGAATTGACATGGAATTTAGAGAGCAAACAAATAGCCAAATTCTGCTAATTTTTAAAAATGTGCCATCTTTACAAAAAGAAAGTTTAGTAGGCTATTATTCAAGTATACGACAAGCTGATACAGATAAATTGTATCTATCAAAGATAGGTAAAATTCATAATATTTTTGTCATTTTAAATTTATTTTGAAATTAAACAGACTTTTTCAAACTCTAAAGTATTTTGATCGACCAGAAAAGTTTGACATGGAAAGAATAAATAATATAATTGAAGATCACAAAAGAAGATTCCGTGAACTTATGGAAGAAAATCCACATGAGTTCATAAATATGGCTTTAACGATGCATCATTTATACGGATCACGTAAACTATCTGAACAAAAGCAGCAAATAGTAGACAGGCTGCAAAAAGTAAGTAAAAGTATAATTGGTATTAATGGGGATAAGGGCTTAAAACTGCAATTTCACCGTCAGGACATTAGAGTAAATTCACTATATACTTATACAGATGATAAAACTGGTTTATTTCTAGATCACATTATCTTTATTTACTTTCGGAAATAAAAATTCGGCATGGTTAGTACTACAATCCTTTAAGATTTGACTTTAAATTTTACGTGTTTTTTAATGCCCATTAAACTATAAATTCTCTATTTCGACGCAAATGAAAAATTTTGGATATTCAGACAAAATGGTAATTTTTAACGCCACCCTTTGAATAAAGGATGTTTTATATTAGATAAATTAAAATTTAATTTATATAAATTTTAATAATAAATTAATTAAACCAATTTGGTAAATTTTGTAATTTTTTAATATTTTAATCTTATTTTTAATACAAATAATTTATTTTATTAAAATTATGTTTATATATTTAAATTATGACTAATTTTAGTTTAATTGTATTTAATTAACGATAATTTAAATATTTATTTGGTTAAAATTTTATATTAAAATGTGTATTCCTTTAAATTTAAATTGAAGGATGGATCTTTGAAACTGACTCTAGTCCTTTTAAAATTTTTAGACATCCTTTATTCAAATGTTGGCCTTTAAAATGGCCATTTTGATCATACCCATGATAGCTGATCATATTCATGATCGTGGCCATGATCTGTATAAGTAGACAGTATTTTTTTACTCTTGTGGGCGGTGAAATGGTATGTCATTGATGTATTGCTTGTAGATACGAATGCTTAACTTATTGAAAAATTTTGATGCTTCTAAATGGCATCAACTTCTTAATGAAACATTTAATCAAGATTACGTGTGTATTCAAGGAAGGCCTGTTAAAAAACAAGTTAATGAAGTAAATACTATGGTTTGAAAACTGATGTAATTTTAAATTAACAAAATAAAATTGGAAGATGATACGAATCAATCAACAAAGACTATAATTCGACTAACACGGACATATAGAAACGGGTCTAATATTACAATTGCTAAAAATAATGTAGCTTTTATAAAGTAAAATAATGTGTTGATATAAATAATGTGTCTTTCAAAACGACTCAAGATGGAGCATTATCAAATCCTTATTTGGAATTAAAAGTAAATTAAAATATACCTATATGTAAATATTCTAATAGAAGAGCCCTGTGCTGTTATTTCTCAGTGGGTCCCATTGAGGTAGCTTCTACGAAGCCGGGCTTCTATTGGAACATTTACAGTAATTTAAAAAATAAAACAAATCCTTTTTAGTCACATACCAAAGCAACGATTTAATTAAGCTTCAACTAATTTCAACAATTTTGAAATAAAATTTATTGAAGAAAATGAAAAGATTTCTAATTTAGAAAATGAGGCCCTATCCGAAATGAATGCCGCCATCCAATTTTTCCTTTAACCTCGAATAGGAAAGAAAAAGTTAATTTTCGGCTGTAGTATAGTATACTGGTGGTAAGGTAACTTTGTCCAAACATATTCAATCACGGTGATTTATATGTCTTTTATCCAAAATTCGCCCATGTAGTTCTTCAATTTTTGTATCCCAGTCCGATCAAATCAGATTTAGTTGATTTTTGTGTCAATTCACTCAGCTCGTGTACCCTATGGTTTTTCGATTTTCGGGGACCTATATTTCGGTCCACAAGCATCATTGGAAAAAAGAGCGGACAAAGCGACTTAGGTCGACGAGACGAATCGAATGGTAGGGTGTTGTCGCATCCTGCGAATTAACTCCAATTAATTATTTTAAATAACTTATTAAAATTATGAAATATATTAATCACTACTAAAATTTCCCACACACATATTTTGAAATACATTTCCTCCAAAAACAATAACTATAAATATATTGTTTCCCTTCCCTTTAATCACTCTTCAATAATATTATTATAAATTATATATTCTCCTTCTCTTAAATTAATTGTTTTTTCTCTCGCGAAATAAATTTTATTGGATTTTGAATTAATTGAACTTAGAACTAGGATTTCTATAAATATTAGGGAAAAAAACCCTACAGCTCAGCCGGTGATCGAAACCGGGACCTCTCGCATTAATTTCAACAATATTTTAATTTCAACAATATTTTAATTTCAACAATATTCTCACCATTAAAATTGAGGCAACAAAGCTTTTTGCAACGGCAAATATGAAACTCAGAGAATTTGTAAGTAATTGCCCTAAAATTATACAAGACGTCCCAGAAGAGGACAAACTCCCCAGCTCAAAAATTAAATTTCTTGGTATTAAATATTGCCCAATAGAAGATAAATTTAGACTTAACTTACCAAATCCCCCTGAAATCTCCAACCCAAAGAAATGCGACATTCTCTCATTTGTTGCATCAGCTTATGATCCATGTGGGTTTTTATCACCCATTTTACTCCCTTTAAAATTATTTTTCCAATCCTTATGGCTCAATAATCTGAAGTGGACCGACCCCGTGCCCGAAGAAAAAGTAAATGAATGGAAGCAATTATTTTCCGAATGGAAAGACTTAAATTTCTCAATCCCAAGATGTATATGTCCCGACCCCTTAAATGTGAAACAGATTGAATTACATTGTTTTAGTGACGCTTCTTCACAGGCTATGTGCGCCGCTATTTATTTACGTATCCACCTTCCCCAATCAATACATTCAAATCTTTTATTTAGTAAAACAAAGCTTAAACCCATTACAAAGAAAGGTCAAAAATTTACTATACCAAAAATGGAATTGGTTGCAGCTCTAATTGGGTTAAGAGCTCTTATTTATGTAAAATCACAACTCCCTCCTTCAAATGTGGACGAGAACCTGACCCTTTGGGTAGATTCATCCGTAGTTATTGGTTGGCTAAATTCCCGATTGCCAATTAAAGACATATTTATTTACAATAGAATTAAACCGATAATGACATTCCACTCTACACAAACAAAACCGACGCCCCTAATGGAAATAAATAAATTTTCTCGTTTGCCAAAACTCCTTCGTGTTACTGCGTATGTTTTGAGATTTATTGCTTATAATGGACACCCTTCAATTTCCCCATTTTTGAAAAAATACCCAAGAATTAAGACTTTAAACATATCCATCCGAGAACTACGCTCGGCTTTGAAAATTCTCATTAAAAAAGAACAAGAGTATTACCCTCCAACCGAACAGGAAGAAAATTCATTAGGCTTATTTAACGATGAAAATAATTTAATTAGAGCAAATGGCAGGTTAGGAAATAGTAATCTCCCACAAAATACAATATTGCCATTATTCCTTCCAGCCAACTCCCACCTTACAAAATTGCTAATTTATGAAATCCATATTTTAAATCATCATGCAAGCCCTCTTTCAGTACTCTCAATGATTAGAAGAGAATTTTGGATACCACGTGGCAGACGGGTCGTACA